GTACTGAGCTCATGATCGACATGACCGAGCTAATCGGGGTGAAGACAAGGGTATAGACTGTCGGAGCGAGAGGAATCGTAAGACGGATGCTACCATTCGACGATGCATGCGAAAATAATTCAGCCAAGGTGCAGTAGAAATCAAGGACGGACAATGTGGCAGGCTTTGGCCATTGACTTCCGCCGTCTGCTGCAGGCTGAATCGTAGACTCGAGACTCGACAAAGCCAAGAGTTCTGCGTGTGAGATAAGGCGCCCCAGTGGCTTATATTCATGGGCGCTGAAGGGTTGAGATCTCAGGCGCACACCCCACTGACGAATCAACAAAGAGTAGAAGTCTAGAAGAGCCGATTGAGAGTGAGGCGTGCCGTCTAATACCGAGGCCTCTACATGGATCAAGAACTCCTGCCGCAGGGGTTCAAATTCTTGGAGGGGCAAATATGATAGTAAGTGGAGCACTTTCTCTTGATTGTCGTAGCCGTTCCACAGAAGGACATATTGCTGCAGAAATGGGAGCAAGGCGTGGGGCATTTCCTGCGGTCGAGTAAGTATTCACGATAGATGATACCGAACCAGAAGCCATACCTTTGTATATTGCGCATAGTTCAGTGCAAGGTCCAGAATGTATCCAAGTGACTCTAGCGCTTCTTGGTCGTGATGCTGGATGCGCTCTAATTGATCATCAAGGAAGCTTTTCATCCAATCATTCAGGCGCTGGTGCGCAGCCTCGGGCTGGGCTAAAAAGAGATACTTCTGAGCCAAAGCATCTCCCATCATGGATATTATCTGGTTAGGGAGTTCAATTCGATCAAGTCTTTCGACAAAGTGGTCCACACTGCACAACTCTTCCAACGCGGTATGGTATAATGAAACACGCGATGTTTGGACATCAGGCACAATAACCTCCATTTTCCCTCTCTTGACGAGTCCGCGATGTACTACCTGGAAGTTCGACGGCTGAGTAGCCTGAAGCTTCTCCAAATGCGTTTCTTGGACCTGTCTCACGTGAGCTGTCCACTCAGGATCAGGGTGCTTGAAGAACAGTGCCTTTCGCCCTGAAGGCCCAAAATCGCCCACAATGACATCCGGGCAGTAGTTCTTGAACGCCCTGAGTAGGGTGAGAAGCTCTTTATCGTCGCCCCCGGAAGCACCGAGAAGCTCCATGAGTGCCTGGATCCTGAAAGGTTTGACGTGCTTGCGCCGGGTGATCAGCGAGAGCAGGTGGCACAGAGGCTTTCGCAAGCTTATCATATCAAGATGGTTGAAGAGTACCGCATAGAGCTTTGACAGGTGGGATCTATCATCCAGAAAATCGTACACGAGAATCAGCCATCGCAGAAGCAGAGTCTGCGTCGCTGGACTGGGCTTGGTCTTGGCAGGTCCTAAGCAGCATACGACTTGGGTAACAATCTTTGAGGATATCCTTTCTTGCGGATATAAGTTCTTGATCAGAGTGGTAATTGTTCCTTGATCAAGATGATTGCTCTTGGTGAGGACTTTGAGTAGACATTCGAGGCCAAATTGAGAAATCCCGCTCTGGTAGGCGCGTGTAGCTATTGTTTTGGCCAGCTGGCCAGCATCCGTGTATCGCTGCTTGGAGGGAACCAAGGCAACTGGTCGGAGTTAGAGATCCAAAGCTCCAAAGTAATCTGTTGCTAAGGGGCTTACCAGCTTCAAAATGCTCAATCGCATCCTGTAGGCTGGTTGGCGCGATGTCGGAGCCTAAATGGATTATTAACATCGATAGTCAACGAAAGCAGGTACACGACCAACCTCTGTCTGAGTCCGACGACATCGTAGTCATTTATTTTTCTTATCGATCTGAGCAAAGATTCTCAGTGCAGTCCCAATGCGATATCTCCTGGCGCATATCAGGCTGCACCGATGCCTTGTTGCTTTAGATCATCCAAGTCGCGCGCGAACTCGAACGTGTCGCGTCTACTGCACGATACTCAACTGATTTGTCACAAAGAACAACCAGCAATAGATATACCCACTACTCTTGACTAGAGTCCCGTCTATGGTTTCTCTTGCGTATGCGGGTTTTGATTGCCAACGAACTCGGTCGCACTCGCAGATCTGGAAGAGAGGCGCGGAATTCGGAAATGGGTAAACTTTACCAGATTTGGCAATCAACTGGCGAGCGTTCAACTCGGTATTCATACCTCTCAACAACGGCGTTCACTACAGCGCGCGTCTAATGGTCAAGGTTTGAGCACCGTCTCAGACTCAGAAAGAGATGCAGACTGTCGAGTCATAACAAAATTAAATATGTTTTATATAGGTCGCCGAGCTCATTCTCCAGGTACGATGCAAATCGAACTATAATAGACCGCGTCGGCTCAATACTTTTCTATACTCAGAAGACCGACGCCACGTGCCAATGTATGGGACGACTGATTGTTGAGAGATCATGGAAAACATGTTGAGCAAGATAGACTCTTCCCGTGCATTCACGATGCCATCAAGCACGTCCCCTTCATTGAGCTACTCACAGATCACGACAAGCATCACCCTACTTTCTTTTCCTTGCCGCCTCCTTAGACTTCTCGTTGCCAGATGCGGTAGCTGATGCTTCAACCTTAGGCTTCTCAGCCGAGGCAGCTTCGTCCTCATCCTCACTGTCTCCTCCCTGGCCGAACTCGTTGACACGGGTGTAGTCGACCTTGTACTTCCAGCCCTGGTAAAGCCAGACAAAGAAAATCACGTCATCTCTAAGCGTGGCGAGTCTATGAAGCCATGGCATCTTGACGGTGAATGCGAAAAGGTCGTCGATGAAAGTATTGAGGAACTTGTACATCAGCGCCTTGCCGGGCATGTGAGCGACAGACTATCATTTTGTTAGCAATGAGACAGTTCGAGTCCACCCAGACTATTTACTGACCTTCAGTCTGTAGTTAATATACAGACTAGGAACCATCATCAGGAAGCCGTAGGCGTAGACGCTTCCAACCAGGGTCTCAATGACATAGGAATACCATGACTTGTGAGTGTTGTAGATGAGGCTGTAGGCTGCGTATGCTGCGAGAAGGGGCACGGCGATAATGTAGAGGTAACGGAACGCGATTTCGTCGTATTCCTTCGTCTTCTGCTCGGTTTCGCTGAGCTTGTGTTTGTCCTCGAAGACCACCACGTAAGGCAGGAAGGAAAAGAAGGACCCAGCTGGCGGCGGACGCAGGCGCACGTCCACTGTTTTCGTAATTTTCCACGCCTCAAGCAATATACCGAAGCCCTGACTGGCAAGAATCATCCAGGACGTGTTCTCGCTGTTATCCATCAGATAGAGGAAGATAACAGCTTGCATGAACACATTAGCCAGGATAGTGCGGACAGAAGTGCCGACAACATCCTTCTTTTTACGCCAGTGAGACTATTAAGATCCAGCAATTAGTAATGTTTCCACTGCATAACTCCGCCCAAGCATGGGTACGCATAACCTACAATGTCATTCTTGAACGCGAGAGTTTCGAAAACCATGTGGAGAATGGTGACCACGCCAGTGGTTCCCAGAAGCCAGATGTTCGTGTCCAATAGTACTTCCTTGATCATTTCGAACTCGGAGCCATCGCTGCCACCGGGGGCAGCATTTCCAAAAGCAGCCTGTCTGGCAGTCTCCTTAGCATTGGCATCAAGACTGGCCATCATGTTGAACTTCCAATTTTGCAAATTGTTGAGGGTGATGCGCAAAGGGACAGTGTCAACAGTCGAGTTAAGCTCCATCATATGGGTCTTGAGCTGCCAGAATGTGTTGAGGAAGACAATTGGGTAGTACCACCCGTTCTGACCGGTGGCATCCCTCGCACCGCTGGATTCCAGCTGCATGTGATGTCTGATGGCAGGATGAACTTGACGATACTTCTGAGCCCCGGAGTCGGGAATGAAAGAGACTGTGAAGTTGGGATGATAGAACGACGCGATAGAGACATTTGGGGTGTCATCGACATCTTCCTCTGCAGATTGGTCGTTAGAGGCAAGAAGACTCTTGAGCTTCTTAGCCTTCTTCTTAGGGAGGTACTGGTTCAAAGGGCGATAGAAGTGAACCGCGCTATCTGTGCTATAATCCTTTGCTGTAGGATCAAGTTGATGTCCACTCAGCCCGACAAAGAAGTGTGCCCAGAGCGTACCATTGCGCTGAACTTCCTTAGGAACCTTAATGGTGGTATCGATTTCCCTGGTATCACTGTAGTTACCGAGCGTGAAATTCTTCTCTTCCAAGACAAGTGAGCCAGACGGGAGAGTCTTGAGGTTTGGTACAGCGATGGAAGGAGAGACATAGATATTCATATCGAGGGAACTATCGGTAGGCCAGATCGGCGAGACGAGGTCAGGGATGTGGCTGTAGTTGGGAATCTGGCTGCGAGGCGGACGAGCAGCAAAACTGGGCACATCATTTGGCTTTGCGCCAGAGACAGTGGCTTCTTGATTGCCGCCCATAAACTGGCCCATGATGAACTTGGCGAACATGAAGACAGCCAGGCCCTGAAGGACACCTCTGAGGCCGGACTAGAAAGCAGAAACCAAGCTGTCAGCCACTGTGAGGTCGATCAATGCAGAAAGACAGCATATACTCACGCCTAGCCCCTCCTCCTCCCTACGTTGTCTTTGTTCAGGCATTTTTGACCCGCTGTTATCGCACCTGGTCAGCAGAACAAGAACAAGGTGGAAAGAGGGAGAGGGGAGAAGGTAAGAAAAGGCCACGCGCGAAGGACGGAGGCAAGCGATGGCCCAGAATGGCCGGGTGTTTTTGCGGGTCCGTCTTATCGCCGGGCGGCCTACGAGCATGACATAAATCGGGTCTTGCCGACCGACCGACCAGCTGCGATCTCCAATCTACTCCGTATTATATCACCGGAGATCGCACGCACCCCCCGCGCAAAGAGATTCTGCCCCACGTTACGAACAAAAAAGTGATCCCTGTTTACAACTGGGGTCCACGTGGTATTGAGGGCGTCTCGTCGCGCAATTCGACATGCTGGGCCTTCGAATGTCGGCCTAAAATCCAATGACGGACAATCATCCTTCTCCCGATTACTCCCGCCCTCAGTTTCCTGCCCATCATGAGCCACGGGTATGGGTGATTACGGCTGGAGACTCGCCTATCGGGATATCAGTTACTCGCCAAATCCTCAAGCATGGTGACTGTGCTCTGGTAGGACGGGCATATTCAGAGTCCGATCGGGACGAATGTCGTCGCGATGGCTTCGACGCATTTCTGGCGGAGATCGAAAGCCACAGCGACGAGGGGTGGGGGCAGCGATTCATGGCTGTTCCCCTCGATATAAGGTGCGCGGTCAATTTCATTCGCTTCGCTCACTATTCTGTATGGCGCATGCTTATATCTATCTCGCAGAATGGTCGGCGAATGCCAGGCAGTGGTCGCGCAAGCTGTTGCGACATTCGGAAGAGTAGACATTCTTCTTTGCTGCACAAGTCAAGGTAGATCAGCCAAAACGCCCGACCTCGCGTCCAGTGCATCTCCCGCTAACCAACTGCATAGCCCTCATTGGTACAGTGGAAGAGCTAGCAGCTTCCCAGCAGACCTTGAACTTGGTTCGGGACCAGTTCGAGATCAACTACTTCGGCCCCTTGAACATCATCAAGGCGACACTTCCCCATATGCGTCAACAAAAATCAGGGCATATCATGATCATCTCTGGCATAAGTAAGAGCTTGCACAAGTCTCGCGAAACTGAGCATCCGCACTAACAGCAAGCAGCTGCTCACATCGGCACACCGGGCTTAGGAATGTACTGCGCTGCAGGCTGGGCTCTTGAGGGCTTCTGCGATGTAAGAGCGTTCCTCTAGAGACATAATAACCCGTTGTCGCTAATGTTGTCACTACTACTGCCCAGAGTCTCGCATACGAGATAGCCCCCTTCAATGTCAAACTTACCATCTTCCAGTGTAGCATCGAAATTGGGATCCTCACCAATCTGGTTACCAGTGTCCCTCCAATCACTCCCGTCTACTCTTCCTCAGTTAACCATGCGCCATTGTTCCGCGGGATCTTGAATCGTCTCGTCTCTCGCCTGCCTAACCACGATGCTCGTAACACGGGTCTAGCAAATGGCTCGGTCAGCTCCCATCGAGGTAATCCTGTCGAAGATGGTCCATTCTCTGTGCCAGATGTCATCTCTACGTACCCGCCGCTCAGCTCTGCGCACATGGAAGTCCTGGTTACCGAGACCGTGTATGCTATAACGGCAATCGGTGGTCATGAAAACCCACCTTCGCGACATATTGTGGGCCAGGAGGGTGTTGCTAGTGTAAAGGAGAAGTTGAAGACAGTCAGCGAAGAACTCGAGGACTTTATTCAATCAAGCTTTGCTGTTGACTATGCGGCCGATGATACTAGCCGAATTCCCAAGGATGACGGCATGGGCACGGGTCAGGAAGCAACCTGAAGCAACATGATTCAATTAATAAAGCATGGCGACAAGTTGTCAGCCAGCCAATCTCATACAATTTCTTCTATCCTAGACTAGTCCAATAACAGGCTGTGTTTGGATCGGATTCACCCACCCTCGGTCGAAACGGTAACTACATCAATTAGGCTGATGTTCCCTTCTTGTTCTCGCGCAAGAACCAGGCGTGTCTGACTTCCCACAAGCTTCCTAAATCCTGGTTGTTTCTGTGAGCTCGAAACTCCTTCCAAGAATTACCATTCGGCACCTTCTTGATCCGCCCATCCATCTCTATGATTCTCGAAGCCAACGCATTGAGTCCCCGAATATTGGGTATTATGATCTCCTTAGCATCTTGAGCATGGTCTGTAGGTGGTGCCGCCGTTGTATTTAGGTTATCCTGGTCGGAATCTGGTTTGGGAAGTGGCTGATCCGTAGATGCCTGAACTTCCATGTCTTCCAGACCTACATTGCCATTTGTAGTGCTGATTTGGGGCTCCGAACACTGAGGTTCATCTTCGGGAAGTGGACTTTCCGTAGATGTTTCATTTTCCACCTTTTCCAAATCCAAGTTACCAGTTGCACTGTTGTTCTGAGACTCCAAGCGCGGCCTCTTGCTGTCAGGGAGCTCAGAATCTTTCGTGCGTTTGTGATGAGAAATTGTCTCAATCTCTTCGACTTTCAGCTCCGATCCTGTGTTAGTCTCGCCGTCCTCGTGTTGCCCATTTGCTTCGGTGGTTTGGGTGTCAAGCGTTGACTTCTCTCCATTTGTTGGGCTTGTCGGACCTATTGCAGAATCCGCCCCAGAGGAGAGGAAGACACGCTGCCCCGGTGGGACGGCGACGGTCAAATCTGCGCCCTCAATTTTCACGATCTAGTGAGGAGTTAGCAGCCCGGACTTCCTCTATGCGACAGAGAAAAGGCACCAGGGGGCTTCACATACCCTAGCTTCCTTCTCAACAAGGATCTTCTGATTTTTTACGGAGAAGACCCTGGAGTACGTTAGGACATCGCCTTCACGGATCACTCCGTTATCAGTCAGCATCTTCAGTTTGACCTGAGAGCTCTGTCCAGCCACCAGACTCCGGTCCACTTTCTGTTTCTGGCCCCAGAACTCCTCGAACTCCTCCTCCTTGAACCGATCGAATTTCCCCGCCGCCCGCTCTTCGACGGCTTTCTCCGCTTGGCGCTGCCATTCCGGATGGTAGCGACCATGCTGGAGATCCAGCTGGAATTGGCGGATGCCGTCGCGCCAGTTATTCGAATAGCGTAGAAAGGACTCCGGCGGCGGGGGGATCTTGGCCTCCGGGTCGCCAGCCGGAGGGTAAGGGTTCGGGTGCGCATTGTCGGGCAGGAGTTTGAGGATCTCCTCCTTCTCGCTCTCTTCCAGACATGACCAGGCTTCAGGATGCCGAAGTAGTTTCTAGTTTATAGATCGCACTCATTAGTCTCCCAATTCCACCAACCAAAAGTATCAAGTAAGCCCCCCCCCCCCCCCCGAGGGGACGCCGTCAATGTGAGACACATACCACCAGATCCAGGTCAACCAGTCGCGATTTCGGACTAGTCAACAGGTGCTCCTCACTCCATTGTTTGTTCGCGGCCGCCCGCCTCGGATTCCGCTTCGGTCTGGCGTTTGTCGGTGACATCGCACAGCTGCTGCTACTATTAGGTTCGCCCGGGTTGCGCTGGTCCTCCGCCTTCGAAGATCGATTGGTTCGGCTCCTGGAACATCACTTCTGATCAGCATCGCCGAATAAGAAAATTGAGGCCCTTTTCCCCTTTCCCACAGAATCAGTCGATTCAATCCGAATGTAACCTTCCAGGGTAGCGCGCGCGCATGACAAGACAATCGATCTAGCGGACGGAACTGGTCGGTCGTACCTCGTCACTCGCTGACACTCCGAATTGCCGGCGTCGACCGCCTTGCGCTTGGGGGCCATTGTTCCGCGGCCTGTCCTGGCCTCGGCCAGATAAGTCGGAGTAGAACAACAGCGATAGCTGGCGTCTGCAATACTGTCACCGACGCAGCAGTTAGCTTGTTTTCTGAAGAAAATCAACTCTCGATATCTTACTGTCAAGATGGTTAGGTCAACTCAAATCGCCAGAATCGATGGTATGGTTAGAATGCTACTGCTGCTGTCATGGGGCGAGGGGGTGTGTGTCTACAGCTTGGCTAATGTTTGGAGGCAGGCTTGATGTTGGCAGCGTCGGTGGATGATGAACAGGTCAGTCGGTCGGCGGAGCGCTTTCAAGTGAATGTGAAGCACAGTGGCATCGTCACTAACACAGAGCGCTTTCTTTCCTTGCACAGTCCGAGGTGGAGCTGTCAGAGATCAAGTCTCAGGCGAAGATGATATTCCGTCGCTTGAACCGTAATTCAGAGCCGCAGGCGAGCATTGAATCCGGCCAGTTCAGTCTACAGTAAGGGCAAAGTGAATGATTTGGAAACCTGGCTTATGCTCACCCCCGCGCGTTATCTAGCTATATCATCCAAGACGACATTTGCTTCCTCTGCATATGCGATCGCTCCTACCCCCGCAAGCTTGCCTTCACTTATCTCGCCGACCTTGCGACCGAATTCACCACCACATACTCGCCGACACAGTACCAGTCCCCCACCCTGCGACCGTACGCCTTTGTGGAGTTTGATACCTTCATCCAGCGGACCAAGAAGCTTTACCAGGACAGCCGTGCGTCGGCGAACCTTGACCGTTTGAATGACGAACTTCGGGATGTGACAAAGGTGATGACCAAGAACATCGAGGACCTACTGTACCGTGGTGATAGCTTGGAGCGCATGGGAGAGTTGTCCGGCCGGCTTCGGGAAGACAGCAAGAAGTACAGGAAAGCGGCGGTCCGCATCAACTGGGAGCTGCTTGTCAAGCAGGTGAGTAAACGCCCCCATGGCACACAGAGAGTACCGCTAACCGTTCCATAGTACGGCCCATTCGCAGGCGTCGGCTTCATTCTCCTTTTCATGATCTGGTGGCGCTTCTTCTAATTCTGCGCTTGGCAGCTACAAATTTGTATACCCACTAATATGAATGTATGCATAGTTAATGTCTTCGGTGGATGCAGGACACCATCGTCCTTGGCTCAGAACTCGAGAGAATTTCCGAATTGATACAATTCTTGTTTTATTGTCCTCAGCGAGTGTGGGTGTATGCGTGAGGCACGTGTGACGCATGTGTGGTAAATTTCGAATCCCTCTATATAATCATAAGTCATTAAGGTAGTCATATGCTGCGGGCCAAAAAAAAAGCGTGGGATCGTTCGACTCAGCATCTAGATAGCTTATCAGCTCCGTGAAACAGAATTTATGGCCGGTGTGTCTATCTCAGATCTCATCCTCCTCTTCGTCAAAGTCGTCTTCCTCTCCCATGTCGTACAAGATCCTGCCCCCTTCGCCTGGGCCGTCGCCTTGCTGCGCATCAAAGTACGGCAGCACAACACCTTCGCGATCCCTCCTCTGTCGATCTGTAAGACGGAGCTCAAAAGTCGATTCGGGTTCCTCTTCTCCCGCGCCAAAGTCCGGCTCCTGTGGCGGGCGATACAATGGGTGGTCGTCCAACAGCGTCACGATCTCCTTTGCATACTGTGGGGGATAGCGCGAAGCCGGCGGCAGGATGTACCATTCCAGAACGCCGCGGCCACTCTTTCTCCGGTGCTCCAACTCCAGTACAACGCCCTGGGCGGATTCGTTGCCGATCGGCTTGTCCAATCTTCCCAGAAGCACGCCATCCAGTTCTTCTTCCAGACCGAAAACCGGCGGGACCAGACTCCTATCGCGAGCCGCCTTTTGAGCCAGTATGTGTGAGAACGAGTGCAGGCGGATGATCGTGGTTGCGAGGTATGTCAACATGGACAGGGGCGACGGGGTGTAAGGCGACGGAAGCGGCGGGCTGGGGACATCTTGGTGGAAGGTGACCACGAGCGAGGCTTCGACTTTGGAGGCCGCGGGGCCTTGTGGCATGAGAAATGAGCTCAGGAACGACGATACGTTGAAATGTGCGTCGGTTCTCCTCGCATGCAGGAGCGGGTTGATGGCATCAATCAGAATCAGGCGCCCTGGCGTTGTGTTAGTCCTGGTGCCATTGAACCGTTGCCAGGATGGAGGTCGCATATACGTACTGCGAGAGGGACCGCTGTTCGAACCATTTGTGTAGGCTGCATTGACGGCCTTGATAATCTCCAGGGGGCTCTTCTTCCGAGCGGCAACGAAGGCATCGACACCCTCGAGCGGTTTCAGCGTCTCGAATGCGACAAACGTGATATGAACTTTGGATAACTGTGAGGGTGAAGAAAGTTAGTCACCTTCTCATGCAGCGGCGAGACGTAGACCCGCTGGAGAAGACAGGCGCAAAGCTCGCCGGGTTCATAAGTAAATGGTTTAAAAATCACCTTTGCGCGTCGGATGTATTCCTTGATCAATGGTGTTGCGGGCTGCTCTAGAGAATCCAATACCAGCGCAAGTGGCGACGCTGTGTCTCTGAGACTGAGAAGTTTCGATATCAAGAGCAGGTTATGAGTCTGTCTGTGGGAGGTGTTGGTGGGAGCCATTCTGCTGGATTCGGCCGTGGGGGAGCAACGGACATTGAAGAAAATGCGAAGATTGCGGGGGTCGGTTTTTGCATGCAATAATGAACGCCGCCCGGCGGGGAGCTTAACCTCTGGAGGGGTTCGGCCTCCCCAAGAGTTCCAATCAGCAAGCTCGCCGGGTTTAAGCTCAGCGCCTGCTTCCGATGCATGAGTAGTCGGATCCACCGGACTTCTTTTCCTTTTCAAGATCTACTCAGGATACATGTCGACATTGAATTGATGTCCTTATGATCGGATCATATCAGTGGTATCTCGACTACTTGCATTGGTCTCCTTAATTTGACCTTCTCGCCAGCATTATTGTTATCAGCTTTCTACGGCACCCATCACTCCCCATCTGAACTGGAGTACAGTTCGCCCAGCAAAAGAGGTCGTGGCCTGCAAGCAGCTGGGAGCTAGCACAAGCCTTGAAGAGGTCACAATAGCACTTTCTCGGGTTCGACATCTCGCTTATTCTCATATTCTTACTCCCTCGCCGCCACAGACAACTTCTGACAATTAGTCTAGCCAGGGCGCTGGATATGTCTGCTCATTTCACCAGAATGCAAGAAACAACTTTACTCATATGCAGGATACCTCCATCATAGAGAAGCGCTACGGTGTTCGATACTCGGTGGGCTTTCCAGGCCGTTCGTTGCAGTGTAGCTCAGTGGTTCTCGACAGATATATCTTTGTCACCCATGATTCTGCCATCTATATGACATCGCCCCTGCTGCTGAATTCGAAATCGGATATACATCAAACATCAGCACCTGAAAGCTAACTCCTATAGCCAGATTTTTACAGAGTAGAGAAAGGAATCAAGGGTTTGCTGCGAGTATTCTTCGACGAAGCGCGCTGGCTTGTTTATTTGTATTCAAGTATGGGACGGTGCACAAAATACACTGTTTCACTCTTCGCTTCGTTTTAATAGTATGCTATGCAGTCTAAACCGTCTGACTACTAGCTTGAGGCTACAGACAAGCAAGATCGCAAGGGATTTGCAATGCGTCAGCCCTAGTAGATATTTGATAATGATTCCGAAGGTTGAAGTTGCCTCCAAGCTCCCGCGATATTGAGCTAGCCGCGTAAATGGTACAAACCGGCGACCGTAACAACTCCGCGCTTTCAGCTTTGGTTTTGGAGTCAGTCACTGGACACAATTTCTCAGACACTCTCCTACATGCTGCCAGCCAGCTCATCTTCGTGCAATTGGATGACCCCTCTGAAATTACGACTGCCATGATTTGACCTGCTTCCACTTTTGCCATAGACACATTTTCCCATTTCCCTCCCTACCCGTTATCGTTCGCCGCGGGAACAAAACCTCACGCATCGACTTCACAACACAGCCTACCCGCCACTTCAGCGCATACATACTACGAGACCAAATTTACAGACCGGGAAAATGGCGGAGCCTCCAGCGAAACGTGCACGGAGACCCGATAGCTCCACAATGTGGGATCAAGACGACAGGAGAACACGCTCGCCCGAGCCAGAGTTAGATTACACCCGAAGCCCGCGGCGGGAGCATGGGAAGGAGCAAGGCCGGCGCGATGGACCCAGAGATGATCGAAGATACCGCTCTCGCTCGAGGGATCGGAGAGACCGGCGGCGCGACAGGAGCAGGTCAGGCGATCGTCGGGATCGTGATCGAAGGGACCGAGACCGTGACGGGCGAGGTACGAGGGAGAGAAGTATCAGCAGGGAGAGGTATCATGATAGAAGGGGTATGTGGCTCGCCGACACCAACCCAGTTGGTAACGTGTCTAACTTGGTGCTACAGGTTATCCATCCAAAGGAGACAGATATCGGTCCCGATCCCCTGTCCGGAATGGCAACCGAGACAGATCCAGGACGCCACCCCCGAGAGGCCCCAGGGCCGACCGTAATCCTGATCGCAGAGATCCTCGAGCACAGCCGAATGGTGTCGCGGACACAAAATCGCGACACGGCCGACCTCGGGACGAGACGGAAATGGATATTGACGATGCCGCCGACGATGACGATTTCGAAGAGATGATGCGCCGGAACATGGGCTTTACAAGATTTAGGAGCACAAAAAATACCAAGGTCCCCGGCAACAATGTCTATGGAGTTCGGAAGGAGAAGAAGACGGAGTACAGACAGTACATGAACCGCATAGGAGGATTCAACAGACCACTCAGTCCGTCGAGGCAGTAATTTCATCCCAGATCTTCCTTCACAGAGCTTCATTGCCTGCTATCACTTACAGGCCATCTTCTCATTCACATTTCCCCCCTATCTTCTTGCCCTTGTTTTCATTATTGGGTGATATCATTGTTCTTGTTCCTTAGGGATTTGTCGCAACATGCATTGCTGGAGTAAGATTACGGGTGGCCTTTGCTTTTTCCGAGCTTGAAAAAACCAGGCGAATAAATATTACTCAAACCTGCCTTTACTTTCTAACGAAATTCAACTAAAAATCAAGTAAACCAAGCCTCTTATCGGTGTCCAGTAAGCGCTCGGGAACACATGACCGGAGTGACGTAGGTGCTCTTAAGAAGCCCTCTCCACCCCCTCTTCTGGTTCTTTCCCCTGAACCACGGACATATACCTGCGACAGAATCGCCAATCGTGGCTTCACTAAGAACTATAGGCTCTAGATTCGCGCCATATCGCAGGATGTCCACCAGCAGCGAGCGCCGTGAGATTATCATTGTGGGTATGTTTATGGTTTCAGTAGATCTACCCCGCACGATTGATGCTTCTTTATGCTAACAACCTGTTTTCAGGCGGTGGTATCATCGGATGCTGCTCAGCTTACTACTTGACCCGCCATCCGTCCTTTGACCCATCTCGCCACTCGGTGACTCTCATTGAAGCAACCGAGATCGCAGGAGGGGCGTCGGGAAAAGCTGGTGGTCTTCTGGCTTTATGGGCCTATCCGAGCAGCATCGTGCCGCTGAGTTACAAGTTGCACGCCGAACTGGCCAAGGAGCATAATGGCAAGGATCGATGGGGGTATCGTGAAGTCAACTGTGGGCAGCTTATCATTGACGGTAGACGATTGCCTGAAAAGAAAGAGCAAAGCGGGGGGAAATCAGAAGAGTCCGTGTCGCTGCAGAAACGAAGCGCCGCTGCCTTGGAGAAGCTGAAGTCTGCTCGAGTGCCGAAAGACCTGGATTGGATTGAGCCTGAGCTTGTGAGAGGCTATGAGAGCATGAGTGATCCTGGAGAGACAGCCCAGGTTCATCCTTACCTGTTTACCACTTCCATCGCCAAGCTAGCTGAGGAAAGTGGTGCAAAGATCACCCTGGGATCGGTTACTGGCATCAACTACTCCGAGGACGCTGTCCAGTCGGTGACCTATACTGACAAGAAGACCGGAGAACCACAGACCATCTCTGCAACTGATGTCATTGTTGCTGCTGGTCCCTGGACGAGGGCCATCCTGCCGGAAGCACCCATTTCGGCGACTCGTGCCCACAGTGTTGTGATCCGGCCCCAAGAGCCGGTCAGCGCATATACCCTTTTCACCAACATTGCGCTTCCGGCCAACTTTGATCCAACCAAGCCTTCCCGTCCAGATGTGGCAAGTCCAGAGATCTATGCTCGTCCGGACGCCACAGTCTACGCCTGTGGTGAAGGTGATCAAACTGTTCCCCTGCCGCCGACGTCCGCCGAGGTCGAGGTTGACGAGGTGCGATGCCAAGAGATCATCAACCAGGTCGGCAGTATATCTGATCACCTTCGCAAAGGAGAGATCTGCGCGCGACAGGCTTGCTACTTGCCAAATGTGGCTGCTGCTCGTGGGGGCCCCATGATCGGCCATACGGGTACGAAGGGATTGTATCTAGCCGCTGGTCACACCTGCTGGGGCATCCAGAACGCGCCTGGCACTGGTAAGCTCATCAGCGAGTTCGTCTTCGATGGGGAGGCTAAAAGCGCACGCATCAGAGCGCTTGACCCGAGAGAATACTTTTGAAGGAGGCATAGATACATAGAGAAGGCGAATAAAGTAGATAAATCACTAGTTGCCTTCTTCTATATGCGTAACTCAGCCTGCAGAGGTACTAGCGCAGGTACGTCGTACCTTGGCCCAGCGGCCGCGGCATTGCGGAGCTTGGGCCACGTAAGTTGCGGAGCGGAAGAGCGGCCGATGCTCCTGCAGATTAAATGACAGATAGTTATTTCACACTGCGTACCACCACCATCACTCACCACAACGGGGGAAGCTTTATCGATTTAGGCTTCTTTCCCATGATCGATCCCTATCAGTGAGACTTGCAAATTCTCATTCGATGCTTTCTCTGGAAAATGCATCTCTCTAAACTTCCATTGCTGCTAGCGCCGTTACTCAATGCCGCTACGGTGCTCTCCGACCAAGCTCCAGCAGATGATCTGTCAGTCTTGACCAACGAGGTTGCAAGGGCCAACAACCAATCTCTACTATGGGGCCCTTACAAGCCGAACCTGTACTTCGGGGTCCGCCCTCGAATTCCCAACAGCTTCTTCGCCGGGTTGATGTGGGCCAATGTGGACGACTATGCCACGGCACAGCAGAGTACGTGCCGCAGTGACGTGCCTTCTTTGTGAAGGGCGATTGGGGTGCACATAATACTGACATACCGAAAGACTTTAGGCACACATGCGAACAGAACGAGGGGATGGCCGGATACGGCTGGGACGAGTACGACATTCGGAAGGGTGGCCGCCAGACAATCCACGACGAAGGCAATGCTCTCGACATGACGATCGACTTCATCAAGGTCCCCGGTGGACAGCATGGAGGCAGCTGGGCTGCTCGTGTGAAGGGTGTTCCCCGCGAGAACGGCTCCCCCGATCAGTCTACGACTGTTGTTTTTTACACTGGGCTGGAGGGACTCGGAAACCTGGGCGTGGCCACTGAATCCGAGGACTCCCGCGGCTTCGAAGGCGACGTGAAGCTTACGGGCTATACCTCGGATCTTGGTGCTTTCTCGGTTGATGTCACTGCTGGTCCCGCAACCAATGATCACCCTGAGAATGACCACCCATCCTACGATGAGAAGCCCCTGGACCGGACACTGGTGTCTAGCTTGGCTTTGAACCCTGAACAACTGTGGCAGACGAAAGGTAGACTTTCTCTATTAGTGGAGACGCTTTCACGCTTTTGAGAACGGGTACTGACTTCCTGGTAGTGATCTTGTTCTCCAAGATGAAGGAAGAGGTTGATGCTGCTATCGAGAAGCACGGCCAAGAAAACCCCCCGCCTGCTTCTCAAATCTTCACAATTAAGAACGAACCCGGCGATGGAAATATCCATCTCGTGCAGAAGGTCTTTAAGGGTGCTTTTGAGGTAGGCGAACTATGGCCAACCCTTATGGTAGCTTGTTGCTAACTTAAGCCAGTTCGATATTCTCTTCTCGTCCGGATCTTCACCGCTACTGTTGACATGTGAGAATTAACAAACCCATCACCTCTAATGACTATCAACTAATGGCTTAAACTAGCGGAAATCTTGACTGAGCAGATTAACACGGCATCTCTCGCCTTCTCTGACAGATTCGAGAAGATTCATCCTCCGCAAGCTCCTTTTGACACGGCGGAATATCTACAGTTCTCCAAGTCCATGTTGTCCAACCTTGTCGGTGGCATTGGTTACTTCCATGGTACAGATATTGTTGATCGATCGGAGGCGCCTGAGTATGACGAGGAGAATGAGGGATTCTGGGAAGAGACTGCAGAAGCCAGAAGTCGGGCTCGGCCTGTTCTCGAGGGACCCAAAACCCTCTTTACCTGCGTTCCTTCCCGCCCTTTCTTCCCGAGAGGTTTCCTTTGGGACGAGGGTTTCCACTTGATCCCTGTTGTTGACTGGGATATGGATCTAGCGTAGGTCTTCACAACTCCCGGGACAATTGCTTGGGCTCCACATTCTGGATTGGCATTGCTAACATCGACTAGACTCGAAATCGTCAAGAGCTGGTTCAACCTCATGGATGAGGATGGCTGGATTGCTCGGGAGCAGATTCTCGGCTCGGAAGCTCGCAGCAAAGTCCCACCCGAGTTCACAATCCAGTATCCCCATTATGCCAACCCTCCGACTCTGTTCGTCATTCTGGAGGCTTTCGTCGATAAGCTCGATGCTAAGAAGAATGCTTCTGTCAACCGGCCGTCTGATTATGAGATCACCGAGGGCCTCAACTCGGCTTTCGTGGAGACCCCAGAGTTGGGCGATGCTTATATGCGTTCAATCTACCCTCTGCTTAAGAAGCACTACTTCTGGTACAGGAAGACTCAATTTGGAGACATTAAGTCCTACGACCGGGAAGCATTCTCAACTAAGGAAGCATACCGGTGGCGAGGAAGGTCTGTTCAGCACATTTTGACCTCGGGCTTGGATGACTACCCTCGCCCTCAGCCTCCCCACCCCGGCGAGCTGCATGTCGATTTGATCAGTTGGATGGGTATGATGACCCGTGCCATCCGTCGTATCGCCGAGGCACTTGGAAATGAAGAGGATGCCGAACAGTTCAAGAACTACGAGATCGCTATCTCGCGGAACATTGACGATCTGCACTGGGACGATGACGCGCAGACTTACTGCGATGCCACCATTGATGAATACGAGGAGAGCGTTCATGTGTGCCACAAGGGCTACATCTCGATCTTCCCCTTCTTGACTGGAATGCTGGGCACTGACAGCCCTCACCTGAAGGCCGTTTTGGATCTGATTGGCAACCCGGAAGAACTCTGGAGCGATTATGGCATCCGTAGTTTGAGCAAGAAGGATGAGTTCTATGGCACTGACGAGAATTATTGGAGAAGTCCCATCTGGGTCAACATCAATTACCTCGTGGTCAAGAACCTCTATGTAAGTCAATATCGCCCAACTGAACTGAACTGAAACATGAAGCTGACCTTTCTCGCGCAGGATGTTGCAATCAAACCCGGTCCTCACAGCGAGCAAGCTCGTGAGCTGTATTCCAATCTGCGGAAGAATTTGGTTGAGAATGTGTTCAGACAGTGGAAGGCAACTGGCTTTGCTTGGGAGCAGTACAACCCCGAGACCGGACAAGGGCAGCGGACACAGCACTTCACCGGCTGGACCAGTATGGTTGTGAAGATCATGTCCATGCCCGATCTGCCCGCCAGCGGAGCACAGGGCCACGATGAATTGTAGACGTAGATCGACGAGGATATCTTGATGTGATATACAATAAGATAGCAAGCTTTCCAAACAAGTGTACAGTGTTACTTAATCCCAAACTCCTGACTCCTGGTATGCGAGTAGGTTGCATGTTCAATGGCGGCGACGGTCAGAAAAATCCCTGTCTCTGGGGTCTGCGCGATGACGATCGTCTCGACGTTTCCTGTAATCGTCGCGAGTCCTCTCTTTACTCCGCGAGCGCGACCGCGATCGTCTTCTTCGATGATCGCGATCCCGCGATCTGGATCGCGACCTGTGTCGGTGACTGCGGAGATGACGGTCATCCTCGTCACGATGTCTGCGGTGCCTACGCTCCCGGTCTCTGTCCCTATTTCTGTCCCGGTCCGATACTCGATCCCGCCGCTGCTCTCTGTCAGGACTGCGGCTATGGCCGCCTCTCCGTCTCCGACTGGAGCGCGGGTCAGCATCCCCTCGAGAGGAACCGTAACGAAGTCCCTTTCCAGCCTCGTCACCTCCTTCCTTATCCGCAGCTTCTGACGGGCCACCGAGTGGGGTCAAGTTGGCATTCTCCGACGCCTTAGCAGGGATAGGTAGTCCCAAGGCTCGCGCCATCGCCTCTTCCTCGGCCTCTTTGACCCGTTGTTTCTCCTCGCGATCCCTCCTTGCTTGATCCTCATCGTCCGCGTCGCCTTTAGCATACCATGTCAGATCCTTGCCCTGTTGCCAGCGACCGACAGGGGCCATGAGAGAGTGCCCCAGGTAGTTTTCGCGATGCGAGGAGTCCTTGACATCGGACCATTTGAAGTCGCCGCGGCCGCCGCTAGAATGATGGGGCTGTCAGTTACCGAGTTCTGCGGTCATGTTTCGGACATGAGGCTCAGGGATCAGAATATGCTCAGGGTAGTGTAAGAGAACTCACCGGCTGCCTTCCTTGCGAACACCCGCGACCAAATCCATTCTGGCAGAATATTGGTTACAGAAGGGGAGGTTGTAGCTGCACACCCAGGACGGCGTACGTATGAGGAGGGAGTTGGCGGGCGAGGAAAAGCGGCGGGAGATCGCTGGGTGGCCCGTGCACGTGCTCAGCCCGAGGCGGCGGCGAATCATCGGATTGGGTTGGCTGACTTCATAATGGATGGATTGGACTGGTAACGTTCGAACTGCGAAAATGCAGAAACCACTTTAGCTCAAGCGATTGCACGTATCTTTCTAGTCTTTTCGAAGAGAGGCTCATTTCCTCAACTTCCTCTCGCGTCTTGCAGATCCCCCTCTCCCTCCGAGTATGCTCCAACCTCATTACACGGAGTCGCAAGAGCGCAAAGCATCTCTCCACCGTGTGATGTCACTGGGGAATCGATCCAAATACCCCTCGGCTTCTTTTCCTATTGACAGTCTCTGTCCGCCCTTATCACAATCAGCTTGCCCCGATCCTTTCGACCGCTCTCGACCTGCCACGCGAATGGTGGCACACCCGGAGACTCGCTTTGACGCTTGCTTAGTGTCTGCTTTCAGCGGTCTCGAGTGTCACCACAACCTGTGTGTTTTCTCACCAGAATGGCGTTCAGTAGCGATGTCGGCAACAAACCACTCAAGCCCCGTTCACGCGAAGGTCTACAGCTGAGACCCCTGAATGTTGAGAAAGGATCAGATAGAGTATGTGGTCATTCCTAGTCTTCTATCTAGCGTATTCTTTTTTCATTTTTCTCGTTCGGTTGTTGTCGATCTGAATGCTGACCCACTTTTCAGTATTCTTCGTACGTATCTGACTTCCAGATCTCACCATTATGGAATGACTGAGCCAAGACTGAACTGGTTTGCAGTGCAAATAATACCTATCCCCCACAAACGGCGACATGGCGAAACAATCTGGTAAATCATCAATCCTATCCCATCGTCTACCTGGGTCACTAACACTCGTGGAAAGATTGCGCTGTCGCAGCGTCGCAATCTGCTCTTCGTCGCCTACAACCATCAAATCTACGTCTGGCAACCCGCAGGGTCTTATCAGACGCTAGGCAACAAGCCTGAGATGGTTATCACCCCAGTCATGCGAGAGCCCAATGCTGAGGGCTATATCCTACCGTCATCTCCTCATGCAATCAACAACATTCTCGTCGACGACTTGGGCCGTGAGGAGGTGTTGCTACTTGTCACTGACTCGGGCAACGTCTGCGGTTATCGGGTTGAGGCTGTGTACTCGGCGCTGAAGCGAGCAGAGGAGGGCAACGAGAGTCGGATCCTCGATGGTTCACAGGTCGACCCGTTCTTCGCCGAATATGTTGAAGCCAGTGCCTGGGGCTTGGCCATTCATAAGTTCGCCCGTCTGATCGCCGTGACCGCCAACACAGGCCAGGTCACGGTTTTCGCCTTCGCTCTGGTCGACTCCACCTCTGATAAGAGCAGCGAGTCTGATTGCGACCCGGAGGAAGAGGATGATCTTGCCGACTACGGTCACACCTGGCTGCAAGTCAAAAGCGGGGAGCAGTTGGCCCAGCTACGGCACTTGATGCCGCACAAACATCGAACGCGAAATATCAGGTTGACATACACAGGCCATTTCGCCAACATCCCATCGGTTGGCTTTTTGAACTGTGATCTCGATCCCAATGGGATGTGGATGGTCAGCACGGATATTGACAACAAGCTTCTCGTCTGGAAGATCTGGGAAAGTCTCGGGCCCTTTAATGTCTACCACTTCAACGACGTCTCGTTCAAGTCATTCCCGGAATCGTTGCATCTGGAGTAGGTAAATGATCTACATGCTGCATTAGGGCTCTCTGACTAATGGGTGAAACAGAGAGCGTGGCTGGGCGGTACTCGCTTTGGACCCTCGGAGCTTTCATTTGCTGAAGTCTCCGGAAGAAGCGTGCGGCGGGCCCCCTCAACGGCGGGTCAAAAATGGCCAAGCAGTATACGACTTGACAAGAATGAACAGCAAGATCCCAAAGGCTTCTCAGATATACAATTATTTTCCGCCTGCGCCTAAGATTGAACCGGAACAGCCGCTGCTGCCCGATATCTTCGGACCAGACTGTCGTATCAACAGATCTGCTGATGCCTATCACGGTCTCATCACAGATAGCTCACAAGGGACCCCCCGTTGGAATCAAAGCGAAGACTCGATCGCAGAGCTCCGACGACTGAATGTCCCGTCTGCAACCATTCGACCTTTAGACTCGGCTGATGCGTCCAGCTACCGCGCCGTAGACGGCTCTGTCTTCGAGGACAATCTAAGCCAGCACAGCATATCTGACACGGAGATGAGTACGGGACCTCTTGACACCCAGGGTCAACAGAATGATGGCACGCCTTTCCCTGCCGGTCAAGCCCCGTTGACGACTCCGGAGTTTCTCCAATTCGCGCTTCTCGAAGCACTCGGCGGTGATGCTCCTGGAGCCGAGTATAGTGATGATGACATGGAAGAATACTCCGAATCCGAAGATGACTGGCACGGCGAGCGGTATTACACTGGACTGGACGATGCCGAGTCAGACGAAGCGTCTGCGATGGCAGCCCGATACCAAGTCTTTGACCGTGCGTCTGGCCCTGCTCTAGTCCCCGACCCAAATGCAGTTGCTAACTCTTACGCAGCGCCCATGAGCTCCAATTTTCCAATCCTCCATTTTTCTCAAACCGACATCCGCCTCATCCCCCACCCCTTTGCCACGCACGCTAAGGTCGTGTGCGGCGAACCTCTACGGCAACCCTTCACACACCCCATCGTCTCCATTCGGTCCTGCGATCGCTTTAACATGGTCAAGTATATTCCCGAGCACGGAATCGTCGTCGCAGCGTCTCAAAAGGGGCGTGCGGCCATCATAGCCCTCACTGAGTCCGAGGCGACAGGACAATCCTTCCGCGTCGACTGGATTGTCCCCTTCGAGCATCAAGAGAAATATGGCGACCGTCCTCTGATCCCCCTCTTGGGTATGACCGTGGGTCCGGCGCAGGGGTTTGAGATGCCTCCCGACGTGCCCTATATTCCACGTCACGTAAGGAACAACGACCTCACGTTTCGATATAAGCATTCGAACCTCAGCATGAGCCCTCATGAGCAGCCGGATCCTGCTTTGGTCACGGAGAGACGAGCGAGCAGCATATCACAACCCCCGAGACGAAATTCCACCCTCCGCCCGAGACCTTCTCACCATCGCCAACTCCGAAGAAAATGGTCTGCTGTTCACGGGCACGATCCACATCCGTCGACCGCGTTCGCCCCCACTGCGTACGAGGATCCCACGTCAACTCCGAGTTCCACAATACCCCAGGCCTCAACCTCATCTACCTCCCCCACTACTACTCAACGACCAGCCAGATCACCGTCCAGCACCCCCTTTACCCTTCCCGAATGCCACGCCCTTGCTACCCGCGCCTACTACCCCGAAGAAAGCTGGCGGGGATGGAACCCCTCTCGACGGTATCGGTTAATGCTCATGTACGCCGATCACACACTGATGAGCTACGAGTTCTGGTACAGCTGGAATACGGCGGGAGAAAACAGCGGGACGGGAGAGGATGAAGTGGACGAGGTATTGTTTGTCTAGGTTTAGTTTTGCGCAGTATATTATTTCAATCTGTTTAAATATCGAAAGAATGAACCAGATGAACCAGATGATTTTATACCCGGACTCAGCAAAGCTTCAATACCAACTCAATCTTGGTGAGGCCTTAGGCAGGGGGGGTCTCTTTTACCGATCTCCTAGAGCCCATCGAGTAGTTTGCGACGGGTGGAGGGTCGGGGAAGAGACCTTCCAGTTGGGTGCAGGGTGGCGCTGGCATCGGAAGAGGAAGCTCCCTTGACACCCCGAAGAGAGGAGGGCAGTCGAGGCTCCGATCAGTCCCACGAACCCGTCAAGAACCAGTCAACCGCCGCCAGTCACCTCCGACCTACCTTACCTACTCGTGACTCGCCTCCAGAAGCCCCCGAAACCGCCCAACAATCCCCTCATACGCCCCGCGACTCTCCGAGCCCTCCGCCATCCAATCCCGCGGCCGCCCCGCCGGATCGACCCACACCCCCAGCAGCGCCCTACACCGATCCAGCAACGCCAGCCGCCCCGGCACTCCGGGCGCAACCATCAAATCGGCGTGGATATTGAAGACCGCCGCGACGCGCGCGTCCAAGGCGGGCCACGGCAGCGGCGGCAGCGGCAGCAGCACCGTCGTCCGCTCCCGCACGTCCTGGTACCGGTAGCCGTACAGGTGGTGAAAGCGGCGACACCATCGTCGGGCGCGGTGGGGGTCCTCGATGTGTTTCTGTGCGAGGAGCCAGAGGTCGAGCTCGATGCTGCCGCCGTAGCCTGCTTCGTGGCGGGCGTGGCGGGCGTGGCGGGCGTGGCGGGCGTCCTCGGCGAGTCCGTCGAGGACTTGGATTCGTTTGAGGAGCGGCTGGAGCGGTTGCTCGTGGGTGTGGAGGTGGGCGGTGTGCTGGGCGAGGGTTGCGCCGATGTGCTGCAGGGCTTCGACTTGGTAATTGAGGGCTTGTTCCAGGATTTGGTCTTGCTGGTGCACGGCTTGTTCGAGGGCTTGTATTTGCTGGGTTTGCTGCGTGAGGGTTCGCTGGATCGCGCGGAGGTCGGCGGGCTGTATGGCTGCAGCGGGGTTGGGGTTGGGGTTGTGGTTGTGGTTGTGGTTGTGGGGTCTTGGACGGACTGGGTGTCGTGCTCTCTGTCTTCGGGCGAGTGAGTTGTTGCGTGGGGCACGGTTGTACGGCCAGTTCTGTGGCTGGAGATGCTGTGGTCCGTCAAGATGGGTTGTTTGTCTACGGGTATGGTGGTGGACTTACCTCGTTGGAACAATTGTTCATCGTGGAGATGATATTGCTGGGCCCTAGATAACTTGACTAAGTTCCGTTGCGGGATAGCTGAGGGGATGGCAGGTGGGATCGAGGATGCTGGGTGAGCTGATGTCTGACGAAGGTGGAAGAAGGAGGGAAGAAGGGGTGTGTGAAGATGAGAAGGAAGAGATGGAGGTAGACATCGTTGGGCGAAGAGATTTGTATAAGGTGCGATTTATCTGGAGGAAGGAAGTGGGTAGCCTGCGAGGCGTCTAGTGAATGAAGCTCCCCTCTATCTAGCCTTAGGATTATATTGGATAGTCTATGACATGTTGCCATCCTTTGAGAAAGGCTCTTGTTATAGCTCTCTTGATGTTACTTGGATAGTGCATGCTGCGAGGGTAAAGCTCTGTTGACTGACAAAGAAGACCATATTTCGATCTGACAATGTTTTAAGAAGTAGCGGATACTAACGGGACTTGTATTGTGCACGCTCGTCTCTAGCCTACGGCAGTTCTGATGCTGTGGTCAATAATGTGCCTTGGGTTTGTTGTATTTACACCAGGGTCTTTTGTATAATAGAACACTATACGTTGAGGACAACATTATGATGGAAGCGTTGCACCGCTCGGCCAAAAGCATGTCGAGACTCTAATCTAGCTGATTGTTTGCCCCAAAGGATCCTGATTCCTGTCATGTTACAAATCTTTCTGGATTTATTCTGCACCTCGTGCTAGCATGGGCAATTTAACAACCTTTACACATCAAGGTCTCGGAGTTCTCGGGCGAATACTAGTCTGTCGAACTAGTGGTGTCAAACTTTTGATTGCTAGAAGAACTAAACACATGATAATCGCGAAGTGAGTAAATGCTGTGCCCGAGTGTAGGATGCTTTCGGTTTGGTCTAACCGCGTGCCTTGGTGGTTGACTGAAGAGACACACCCGATGTAAAGTAGTGAGGATTTCTCTCAATCCCAGCACCTATCTCGTAGGGCAGATGATGGAACTTCAAACTATATAATGCGTATATGCTCGACATGCCTGGACCATCGGCTATAAGGAGTCAATCAAAGCCAGGACCTGGTAGCAACAACAGCTAGTCTTCTGGAAAGACTTTCCTTTGATATTGTATTCGAATAAGTTAAAGTGTAGGAAATCAAAATTGCTTCATCTCAGTCAGTTATATCTCTGTGCGGAGGTAGAGATTGTATGTTCACACATCTCAAGAAGCGATGCTGTGAAGGCGGTGACAGTTCATTTTTGAGGACCTTGCGGGTGAGACCCATCTGGTGAGGACCTTGTGGGCAAACTTCCTCAATTCAGCCAATAAACGCAAGCTAATTGGCTCCGCAGCCCTATGAGGCTAGAACTGTCGTGGAGGGTGCTTATTTAACTCTATCTGAACCTCTATCTATGTTTGTATGGACATTGTGTACCTTCACAGCGCGCAAATGGCGGTATACCTAGTATCGAACTTGTTTTCCTGCCGAACTGTCAGGTCTTGGCCCAGCGTCACGGAATATCGTTTGCCCTTCATCCATGATAGGCTTATATAAGCCGCACTCGTCACAATGTTCAGGACGAGAAGGCGAATCCAGCAGGAACCGGCTGTAGTGCTAGAGTTGGTGTTATTCATCCCGAGATAGTGGCTCCCAACGCCCGCGTTCACATCACGTGCAGACTGTGGGTATACGGCTTAGTTGGTTTTAATTATCTGTGGTTTCGGTTGTTTTGTCAAAGGGATAGGGTAGGCTTCTAGTACGTCATACAACATTGCATGGCACGGAAAGTATCTTACAATTAAATCCGATAAAAATGATGTAGAAGAGGGGCCGGCGCCCGCTACTCACCAACTTTCCACCAGATTCCGCCAATTACTGACCAGCGGTCACAACAGCTCCGGATGTATGCCCTCGCCACTCAGAAGCTTCCAAATACGAGGAGCGAGTTCACGCTAGTCAACCTGCTAGAGTGATGCTGAATTGTGCGGCCTGACTTCTTTCTAAAGCATACTCCCTCTCTACTTGACTAGTATAGGCAAAGTCGAAGTCAGCCATGGCGTTACACTTGACTCAGTCCCAGCGATTGCAGCTGGTGATACTGATTTCCCTGTCTTTCTTCATCGCGGAAATCTCCGGTAGCGAATGCAGCACAACCCCCCAATTGGCGACCATATTCTGACTGTTCATTATCTAGTGGGCTTCTACACACGCTCTCTTGCCCTTGTCGCAGATGCATTCCATTATGTGCCAACCCTCGCCCCCCTCTTTGGTCCTCGGGTATGCTGGGAGGCTAATACTAGTATACCTTCTAGTTGAATGATTTGATCGGGTTCATTGTTGCATTCACTGCTCTGAAGGTGACAGACATAGCCCGCAGAACTCATGGTACCTCGTCTCTAACAGTCCGATTCAAAAAAAAAACCAGATCTCAGCCAAAACAGATTCGCCCCAGGACCTATCCTTTGGCTGGCAGCGGTCTCGGCTCCTCGGTGCGTTCTTCAACGGTGTTTTCCTTCTCGCGCTCGGGATCAGTATCTTCCTCCAATCCATCGAGCGGTTCGTCTCCATTCAGGGTGAGTACACATATCCCTATACTGGCATTCCACAACCCTACTGACAACAAACGCAGTCGTGGAACAACCCAAGCTGGTGCTTATCATCGGCTGTGTGGGACTCGCCCTCAATCTCATCAGTGCCTCATTCCTTCACGGTTCGTGACGGCTCTTCTAACCATGTTGATCACTCCCTAACACATACCTCTTTTTATCTTTCTTGCAGAACACGACCATTCACACAGCGAAGTCCTAGGAGGAACGGAGCTCCGAACAAATGCAGAAAGTGGCACAGCGCAGGTTAGAATACAACCCTTTGGAATAACTCTGTGGATACATTGCTTAGGCTTCTACCGCCCAGGTTTTCGCTCTACACGACAACCATCGTCACAACAATCTCCAACCATCAAACAAGGGCTATGACCTTGGCATGCTCGGCGTCCTGATTCACGTGCTGGGTGACGCCGCCAACAATGTTGGGGTCATCATCTCGGCGTTGGTGATATGGCTTACCACGGCCCCCGCTCGCTACTACGCCGACCCCGCTGTTAGCATGGCTATCGCCATCGTCATCCTCACAACGTCCATACCGTTAGGTCCATATCCCTCATACCCCACCACCCAAAAAAAACCGATGTTTCAATCCAACTTACCAATTGCTGTGGCCTGATTAGTGCGCAGCTCGGGCAAAATCCTCCTTGAAAGCGTTCCCAGCGGGATCAACCTGGACGACATCAGACATGATCTTGAGACGGTGCGTACCGTTCAGAATACCTGGTCTCCCACCATCTCTTGACAGCTAACCGTCCCGATGCGGGATCATAGATCCCGGGTGTCCTCTCTGTCCACGAACTACACGTCTGGCGGCTGAACCAAGAGAAGGCCTTGGCATCGGTCCACGTCGCGATCGCGAAGGAGACCGTGTCCGAGTTCGTCCAGATCGCCCAGACCATGAGCGATTGCTTCCACAGCTATGGGGTCCACTCGGTGACCGTGCAGCCCGAGCTGGGGTCGACGACTCCCGTGCCTGCCACGCCGACGGGGGCGGCTGGCCATCGGGGCGATGGGCCACCGCTGTGCCAGGTCAAGTGTGGGACTACGTCCTGTGAATTGCTGACATGCTGTGGCTAAGGTCGGAAGGGCTTTTCTCGTCCCATGGACCGAGTCGACCTAGCGTTCGCTGGAGGGTAAGCCCTCACTAAATCAAAGAAGAGTCTGTGAGCACGGCTTGATCGCTGGCGCATGCGATCATGGCCGATTTTCGATTCCGTTTGGTTGAACTTGCACTTCCTTTTTTTCGACCAAGCTAGTTACTGTTTCTCCTCTCCTTGTATAAATAAATCTATCTAACCGATACAATCCCTACCCTGTCTGCATCTCTGCTTCTCTGCTTCTCTGCTCCAGACAAAATCTCCGACCGAGATCCTGTGGATCGGACCCTCACAGCGTCCAGCTACTTCCGGTTGCTGCCGTGGGGCAAGGCATGCGGTTAGCCAGTGCTCCCTAACTTCAATCGCAAAAAAAAAAAAAAAAAAAGAAAAATAAAAAATAAATAGATACAAGCCGAGCTCCATTTACCCTACCCGTCAATGCATTTTCGGGCAAGTTCGGATTCCCCTTTATCTGGATACATTGCGACATCAGTAGGGTAGGAACGTTCGCACACTCCAGCTACATTAACCTTCCGAGAGCAGATCATCGCGAAGCTGGTCTCTTTTCATTTCTCAAAGTCAGTGGCTTGGAATTTGTGTCTTGCTACTTAGAAGAAAGACATGCAGAGGAGACACCATTACACCTAGTATTGACAAGGCGGTGGAGAAAGAAATAAATGCCCGTTCAACCGTGGTTGGATTGGAGCTTGGGCAGAGATTATGCCTCACGGCACGTCTAGTACAGGATCCTCATAGAGGATTTGTTGGGGCCAGTAATTAGAACTTGTGGGAGGATGGGAACAAAGATAAGGCGCCGAATTAAAACAAAAGTAAAATCGAGAGAAAACAAGAAAGAAGGGGAAGAAGGAGAGATCTAAGGAATCAAAAAAAGAAAGATAAAACTCCCTCGCTGGGAACAAGGCCCTAAATCCATGTTCCCCCCCTTTCCCCATTTTTCCTTAATCCCAAGCGAACCCTCCCATCCTCAATTGCCAAATGCATCCTCGATGGCCTCGAGACACAACAAGGCTCGGACCTCTGCTTCCAATTCATGCATCCTCGACGCTCGCTCTTCGGGCGAGAGATCGGCGAGAGGCGAATCGACCAGCTCGTGAAGGGTGGCCGCCGCCTTGGCTGGGAACAGAGCTGTGATGAGATCACGAAGGGTAAACGCATTTCCCATCCGATCTCGAAGCGGCTTCATTGAGCGGGCCCCGGCAAGATGATCCAGATCGTACACCAGTTCGATCTTCTTCTTGCGCCTTCCGACTGTCAATGTCAGGGAGCTTACAAAGATCTTGCCCACTTTCGCGGGCCATGCACCAAAAGGAGCATCTCGGAGAGCCTCGAGGAGGTCATCGGTGAGACCACCAAAACCATTAGAGGAACCATCGAGGGGACCATCCGGGGGATCACCATGGAGACCACCAAACAGACCATTAGAGGGGCCATCGGGCGGGGCACCAAACAGACCATTAGAGCAACCATTGGAGGGGGCACCAAACAGACTATTAGAGCGACTACCGGGGGGGTTACCGGAAAGACCACCAAACAGACCGTTAGAGGGATCATCGGGGGGACCACCGGGGGAAACACTGGAGAGACTATCAAAAAAGCCCTCAGGAGGATCATCAGCGAGAACCTTATCAACAGAAATGCGAGGCTCGTGATAGCCACCTGTGGATGGGCAGAGGTCCAAAACAACCGGCGGGCCGTGCGGCGCACTGGCCCACTTGTAGGCCTGGTCGTTGAATTGGACCTCCAACTCCACCCGTGGGTCCCCTCCATGCCACAGAAAGAGGGCAAAGAGCGGCAGCAGCCGCTGCTTCTCATGCCACGCGGAGCCCATGCCGAGGGCTTCCACAAGGAAGAACTCCCAGTGCGTCAGGTCCCGGGTGGCCCCCGCAATCACCTCTTCGCTGCTTGGCTGGTCCAGCGACAGACCGTGTTGCCAGTACAGGCTCAGGAGCTCGATGAACCCCACGGCCGCGCGGGGGAGCTGTCTTTCGGCCGACCCGATGGCGTTGAGGGTGAGCGCGCTGAAGGGCACGATTCGCGTCAGCCAGCTCGCGTAGCCTTCTCCGGCTGGTAGAAGGGGAAGAAGATCGCTTCCGCGCCAAGGGATCCCGCTGCACGCCGCCAGGACGGGAAACAAAGACGGGAACATCAGAAGGATCGATTTGCGAAGATCAGGGTCTGGATTCCAGTCAGTGGTGCTCTCGTTGCGGAGCAGCAGCGGAGGAGCACGCGGCTGGCCGAACGGCCGACAGTCCAGCCATAGATTGAGGTCGTAGTCCTGAGGCAGGGCGGCGCCGAGGATGCGAGCCACGGAGGCCAGAAACTCGAAGAATCGTTCGGGCCGCTGCGGAGGGATCTGCTGCTCCACAAAAGTGTCCATCAGATCTACGGTGTCATAAAGGATCATGTAGAAGTAGCGGGCAGACTGCGTCACTTTCGGGCCTATTGCAGTAGCCCCCCACGGACAAGAGATACGCATATCCGCCCGCGGGAGATCTTCGTGGCAGGAGGGTGTCAACGTGGTACAGAGGTCGGCCAGCATCGTCTGACACAAGGCATCGAACGCATCGTGCCCCTTGGGGAAGGCGGCAAATCCGGTCACGAGGTCCGCGTTCTGGGAGAGGTACTCGAAGGCGGACCGGTGGGTAAACACGACCACGATGTTCATGTCTATTTGATTCGCGTGGACCTCGAGCAGGCCATGACAATGGCGGTTGATCATGTCTTTGGTCTTGATCAGTCGCGCCAGGAAATCATATGGGTTGTCTCCCGTGGAGGACAAAGTGCAACTGCGAGTAAAATATGGGTCCTCAAGATACTCAGAAAGGAACGAGACGCGAGACAGAGACAAGGGCCATGGCCGACGGCAGAGAAGCACCATTTGGAGCAAGGCAAAAGCCCAGGTCGTCTGCATGTCGCGCATTGACGCCAGAATCTCCTGGAAGAGGCAATCCAGGCTCCGAGGCAAGGAGTCAACCGCATTGACCAGGTCTCGTGCCTTATACCCATCTTTCACTTTGTCCGCAAGTCTCCCGGGAACCAAGCCGGCCCACAAGAAGACACCCTCCGAACGCTCCGCAATATACCATTCCAGATAGGCCCGCCATTCCGGGGTGTCGACGGTGTCGTAGTTGGTGATTTTCGTCAGTCGATCATGCACCACGGCGAGAATGTCTGGAAAGGTGACATCCTGGAGACGCAACGTGGCGGATGGTTCCAGTGTTTCGTAGATATCGAGGTCCTCCCGGCTCGAGACGCAGATCTTCACGCCGTGAGGCCTGAGCTGCGCCCACTCCTTCAGGAGCAGGCACAGATCTTTCTGGCAACCCTTGAACTCGTCAATACCGTCAATGAAGATGACCAGGCGGTGATCGATGTAGATATCATCAAGAGTACGTAGCGTAGTAAGGGCAGATTGTACCTGGGAGGGGTTGAGCTTTTGATCTGGATTTCGGAGATCGTTCTCCCACTCCTGCGGAAAGATGATTGGTATCAGCTCATGGGCCTGACCGAGAAGCGAATGCAACAGCCCTCTGCAGAAGTCGCGCGTGGCCCTTTCAGACTTCGCGTTGGGCTTGAAGATAAAGTATTTCCCCAGGAGCACAGTCTTCGGGATGGACCAGGCCTGCAGACGCCCGTGCACGTTGTCCGATAAAAACTTCATGAGAGTCGATTTCCCAGCGCCGGGCTTCCCGGTCACATGAAAGATGCCCTGACCCTCCCTGAGCCAGGTCAGAAAGGCCTCGCGCGCTTGGTACTGGAGGGGGCTGTCGTCCAGGGGGATATCGGCATCGATGAGCCACCGGAAGCTGTTGGCTTCAGCGTCTGCCAGATTTTCGTAGCGGGTATGCATGCCGTCGAAGGCCAATCGATCCAGAATCGACATCGCTCGCGCTTGAGCACCTTCCCGGTCCATCTGCGTCCCGATGGCTTGCACCCCCTCCCGAATCCGATTGCCTATCCCAAGCAGGAGACCCAGGTCGTGGATGTGGCGAGCCATTTCGGAGCCGAGCGTGGAAACCTCCTTGGTGAGAGATTCTAGTCTGGCCGCATAAAGCTCGTCGCTCCGCTTGATATCATCTAGAGCTTGTTGAATTCTCGCGCTAGAAACTCGCAAAGAGGGGCAATTTAGCATTATTCCAATTGTGCAGTACTGACAGAAGCTGCTCCCACGGGGTCCCGTTCTTTCCTCTTACCTCTTTGTTGTAGTGACAAACGATGTAAGCCGCCCTCCGCACTGGTTGAGCCTAGCTTCGAGCTTGCCTTTGGCGCGGCTCTTCCACGCGTTCTTGCAAAACGTCTTGCCTCTGCCTGCTGGCTGTTGTAGCTCATCTAGCATGGATTGGAGTTGGCTTGAAGCGGCATTGCACTCGCTGCAGAGGTCGTGCAGGGATCGTTCTTCGTTCGTGAGCGGGTCAGCGTCGGTCACTGCTCGCTCCTGCAGGCACTTAACCATCCCCGTCAGGACGTAAATCTCCTTCTGAAGTCTCTCGTTGTCAGCTACCTTGCCGGTCTCGTATATCTCCATGGCTAGCTTGATCAGCTTGATTAGGAGCAATAAGAAACTGAGGGTGATGTCGAGAACACTGGCGAGTGACAGGCCTTCCATTGTAGCAGATCGGATATGGATCAAGTGTTTGCCAACGAGGGGGGACAAAAAATATCGTGATCAGTGAGGGAGATGCAATAGCAGAGTGAAATTATTGATATCATGTTGCCCGGTCCGGGACGGAGGGGAGGTAAATAATAACTTCCTCCTCAGGCTGCAGAAAGGGGGTAACCCTCCAGCTCTCTTCGCTGTGTGTGTGTGTGTGCCCCCCTGTGTGTGTCTTAAGCGAAAGTGAGACCTTCATAATCTATAGAATTGGTCAGGATTTGGAGAATGAGAGACATACCTCGTATGAGAGCTAGAAAAGGGAAAAAAGAAAAAAAAGAAAAAGAAAACATGTCTTGGCGAGGACCGCACATCGTAGGGGGCTTTGGGCTATAGAATTCGGCCTGGCAGTTCTTATGAGATGCACTTCCCCTTGGTTTCCCCCTTCTAGCGATTTAAGTAAGTAGCTCCAGCTCTTCCAACTTGGGGGGTTACTTCCCCAAAATGTGGGCTGTGTGGTAACGCAGAGATGATATGGGTTACCCGCAGCCTTGTCGGCCAAGGATGATAGGTACGAAAGGCTGCATGGCTTTTCCAAGCCATGTGTCAGAACACGCACGGCGCTTCATGCTCCTGAAAGAAATGTCCAACCGCCTGATGATCAAGTGGTTGTTAGGTGGTTGACCATGTCAGGTGAACTTGAGTAGTTCTAGTGGTTCTTCTGAATTCAGTAATAGGTTGCGTATCACGTGCCACACTCATTATTCTTCGTCGAGAACAAGGCGTTATAGAGCTCCGATGGTTTCTTTATATGCACCCGACAGTCTCTATGCTTCATTGTCAATTCCTCTGGGCATTTACCAGTCATGTCTTTGGTTCTATGAATAAAGCAAGTCTACCTCGTCTACACAACAGCTTTGGTGAAGCATAAACACTGGGAATTGATCCGTGGCCGCCTAAAGACTAGCTCAACAAAGCGCCATTATCTCTATTCACAAAAGAAGCACAGTTCAATCCTCTCCATGAACCCATCTATAAAATGGCCAGATCCTTGCCGATCAGATTTGCATCTCATTTCTACTAGTATCAACAAGAAGCTGAGCAACAACCACGACAACAACAACAACAACAACAACAACAACAACAACACAGAGACAGGGAGAGCAGAGAAAGAAAAGAAAAAGAGAGAGATCACACCGCCCAGTTTTGTATCATACCTTTTCAAAAGGCTTATATGTGCAATGTCTTCCACTAAGCATGTCAGAGCATCTCAGGCAGCCAAGCGTGATAAGAAAAGGTTATCATCATCTGCTGGTTTCTATGCTGGCATGGATCCTCGTCAAGCTCGAGATCTCGAGAAACACTTTATCAAAGTCAACCTCGCTGCACTCATGCGCGCACTGCGAGGCCTCCCGTTCGCGCCCAAGTATCTCGGACCGGAGTATAGAATCAATTATAGCGTGCTCGCGTACGATTTCGGGGTCCACCCACCGTCTGGGGATAGGGCACTGAACGGCGAGTGCTGGCTGTTGGATCGGCCGCATGCGGAGCGGATCGCGGAAGTGGTCGTGGGATGCGGCGACGATGATGACGACGATGGTCTTAGTCTACAGATAAAGCGTCGCATCATGTGGGACAGCCAACAGGCCTTTGACCACTGGCTGACCTCGTCGTCAACGGGTCGAGAGCCAGAGAATGCGTTCTTCCATATCTCGGGTCGGCCCAAGTCCGGCAAGTCCCAACTAATCCACGAGATCTTTAACCAGCCGTCCGGCGAGGTCCGTGAGCGGCTGCAGCTGGAGTGGTGCTCCCCGGCGGAGAAGAAACTGGTCTGGGGGTGCGTTTCCTTTTATGATTACAGCGAGGAGTTTGGCCCCGACGGACACAGGAGCATGATCCGCGGGATTCTTTGGGCGTTGATCCACGCCGATGAGCAGTTGGCCCCGCTGCTGTTTCCGCACAGGTATGGGCGTGAAGACGAGACGCCTGAAATGAAGCCTAGACCCAGCCAGAAGTCGAAGGTAATGAATAAGCTCAGTCATGCAGCCACTCCTAGACGCCGTTGGAAGAAGAAGCGGCCGCAGCAGGAAAAGGACGACGAGAAGAACGACGACGATGAGGTGAAAGGGGAAGAGCTCGAGCATAGGGCACCGACAGCAGTCCCTCCGCCCGAATGGCCTATGTTCAGTTTGGAAGATAGTGAGTTGTTTGCGGCGTGGAATCGCCTGGTTGCATCCAACAAGATATACGCAACCCGCAAGATCTTTCTCCTGCTCGACGGGATAAATCGATTCGATGAAGAGAAACACGGGCAGATGTTGAACGCGCTGAAAGACTGGGTGCGGGCCAGGCCAGGGAATATCAAGATCTGCATCACCAGCCGCGGTGAGGCGGCGTTCCAGGAAGCCTTGGAGTCGCAGCATGGATTCACCCTGCATGATGCGAATTTTCTGGATCACCTCTGGTATACTCGAAACCGGCTTACCACATCGCAGTACTCTGGGCTTCCTTACACCACGGGTTTTACACCAGCCGAACAAGCTGGCATAGAGCATGACCTGGTGATATCGGCTGGCGGTGATGATCAAAAACTGTGCAAGATGGTGCGCATGTTGGAGTGGACATTCCGCGAAACATCCTTAAAAAGCTGGATATTTTGGCGACTGGAATGCATTACTGGGAGGCCTAGCAGGTTCCGGGAATAGTTCTAGGTAGTTTAAATACACTTATACATAGCAAGCACATCTCCTTTCACACCTGGCAAAGCATAAGGTGGTACTGATTTCATTCCGTTATGGTCCAATTATCCCCAATATCCTATGGGTGCGAATCACAATATTTGGAATTCAACCTCGGCAATCTTCACCTCCGCAGGCATATCAATGCTAGCAGAGCATCCCCCTTGGCATTTCGACGGTTTAAGGTACTTGAACATGAACACCCTGTGGTCGATCATGCGCAAGAGCCTTAATCGTCCCGAGGTCCGGTTGGCGACTGCCTTCTCCCAGACCCATTGGATGCTGCAATGCGCCGCTTTTGGGGGAATTTCGGACTTCGAGCCCCCCGCGGCCTTTGCATGGACTCGGAATCCCCAGCCAATGAGAAGGAAGTTGCCGCCACCGCGATGGATGACCATGCCCGAGCAGGGGAGGAGGGGGCGGGGCTTCTCAGCAGCAGTGTCAGCAGTAGATGGGCAGCGCTCGATCTGGATCTCGTAGTCTCCATACTCTCGCACAATTGGCTGATTGACAGGAGCGTTCTTCTTCCTGTTACCGGTCATCGGGTCGTCGTCGTCCTCGTCGTCCTCGTCGTCAAAGTGAAACCCGACCGATGAATCGGGCAGCTGTTGGGCCAGGAGGACCGTCTGTGAGATGGAGGACAGGAGACGGTAATGGTTGGTAAAGGGGCTGGTGGCCGGCTCCAGCGTATCAATCCCCAACGGAGAAACCCCCAGGGCTTGGTAGGATCCATAGGCCGTCCATACTCGGCCGGCACTGTTCTCGTCGTGACGGGGTTCGGAGAGAAACAATGGCTGGGCGTGGTGTCGGTACTGGGCCCAGACGCGCGCATAGGCTTTCCGCAGAAGGCAGCGGCTGGGAGCCACGAAGTCGAAGGAAGGTGCAAACCGCTGCCAGATATCGAGGAGGTCGCCAGAGGACCGGTAGTGGTAGTCCACAGGTGAGGACCCTCCTTCCCCGGTTACAGTGGCGGGGATCTCGTCCTTCTCATCTTTTCCAGCATCATCTTCCTCCCAGAGCTGGGTGTACAATGGAAGAGGGTACTCCTCCTTTCCTGCGGTGGCAATCTCGTGGACGTACAGAGCGGCGTGGTAGGCCATGAACAGCGCGTCCGTGTGCGGGCCTCGGCCGAAGACCTCCGCCCACGATTCTCGAGACAAAAGGGAGGATGATGGTCGGGACTGAGACGTGAAATGGCCGAGTATGCGCTGCAACCCAGCTTGAAGATGGTCCCAGTTATTGGTCAGAAGCGACACCAACTCTGATGGAACGGATTGTGTGAAGCGTTCCTCGGCGGCGGGAGAAACGTCGCGGGAGCCCCCCGAGGCGGTGGCGTTCTCTACCTGAACCATGAGAATGGTGGCATGCTCGCTGTCAATTTCCTTCAAGTGGCGCATGAGACGAGCAAACGCTCGCCTTTCGCAAGCACGTGCCTCATCGTGAAAGAGCGACAGCGTTTCCGATACATCCAGGCCACCGCCGCGCCTCCGCCAATGAGCTCGTGGAAAGCGCTTGGTGTCTGCCTTCACCCATGGTGGCGCACATGTTAAGAAACCTTTCCACAATTCGTATTAGAAACTTGCAAACAATAATGTGGAAAGCATATCTCATGGGGAGGAGGATAGGAAGTGGGGGGGGGGGGGGGGCTTACCATCCTGGAATGAGCCACACCAGAGCAGTACAAGATGCAAACCGTGCTTGCGAGCTCCCAAAATGACCTCGTCAAGTTTGTCAAAAAGAAAGTGGCCTTCGAATGGCTCGATTTCGCCCCAGGCCACACGTCCTAGCACCGTGTTGACATGAGCGTCGAGGAGCTTTTGCCACGCCGTGTACGTGTACTCAGGCGAGGTGAATGAAGAAGACTGAAGCTCTCCAGGCAAGACCAGAAATGGTCGGCCATGGACCACCAGCTGCTTGCCATTCTCAATCGGACGAAGATAGGGGGTTATTGAGCCAGCAGGAGGCACCACCGCGTTAACCTGATCGTCAACGAGCCTTTGCCACACTGTATCCATGTCTCCTGGCCACCTTTGAGGCGGAATCCCTGCAAACAAGTTCGAGGGGGGTGAGGATGCCATCAACTCCGTGCCACCTGCCACGGGGCGGGGCTGGGAAATCCTTGTGTCAGATGAAGGTGACATGGTTGCGGATCGATAGTTGAAGAAATGGCAGCTCAACAAGCAACAAAAGTTCCTGAGCTAATGGGGGAGAGAGAGATGGTAGGTACTCATGTACTACCAGGCGGGTTGCTCTATATATTGAACCCAAACCCTCTCTGTCGTGTCGCAGCCTGAGTCCAATCCCTACTTCACACCAACCTCCTTTTGAAGTGGCTGCAACGATAGGCATCACCACCGGTTCTGACTACATCTGATTGGCACCAGGAGCATTCGTTCTTACTATTATTATTGTCCAATCCATTAAGGGTGAGGCGAGACTACCCCGAGTGAAGAATTGCACTGCCCCCCTGGTGCCGAGTAGAAAGCCTGTTGCACTTGGCCGCGTGCACAGAACATGAAAATCAGGACTCCCGGTAGTCGTGCTATCTGGAAGAAAAACACGTTGAATACATTGATTCATTGCATTTGAAGATCGCTGTGCAAGCAAGATATGGATGCAGGTCATCAGAATCATGGAACAATGCCGCAGAAACAAGGAGAGACATGAGATGTTTTTTATGTGCTCATAACGCGTACAAGTATAGCATGGCATGACGTATGATGGGATAGGGGCCATGTGGAGAGAGAGAGGGAAAAAAAAAAAAGAACCTAAAAATCATCATCGAGTTCATCACTGTCCCATTCGTCTTCCCGGTCATTCTGAACCAGTTCTAGAAATCGTTGCAGGCCAGGCCGCGCATGTCGTTCCGGTTGGCCTTCTCTAGCCGCGTCGGCCTCCGGACGACGCCGGACTTCTGCCATGGCTCGTGCCTGCGCTTGTCTCTCGGCTGCTGCAGCCCGAGCTGCAGCATCTTCATTGCCGCGTTCGCCATGAGCCCCGGCGCCATGGCCAGGGTTGACCCTTGGGGGCACCGGAGCCGGGGGAGGAGGATGTTGACCCAGTTCCATGGCAACCAAATCCTCGTCATCACTATCGTCGTCAACCTCTATGAGTTGCGCAGGGACTTGATGCAAGGCTTCAGCCCCGTCAGGGTCAATGCCGTCACCGCCTTCCAGATCCCAAAGCCTTTGGTAGCACTGACTCTCCGGATCGTTAAAATGCCGGTAAGGATTTTCCTCGAACAGCCAACAAGAGCAGAGATAGCAGAAGTGTGTGTCGCATTTGAAGCATATCATATGGTTGCAGCCCATCTTCTTCTGGCAGGGAGCATTACATGTCGGACAAGCGGATGTATACCGCCGCAGATATTCTTCGGTCGCCTTTTCTTCGGCGGTCAGCTCGGCTGCACGCCGAGGGAAGCAACGGACCAGTTCCCCATGCCAGCCTTTTTTGCAAACGCAACAGAATGCGTAGTTGCAATCCTCGCAGATCGCCACCCGTTCAGCCATGGGGGGCAACTGAGCCTCGTCACCGAGGGGATCAAAGACAGGAGTCGCCTCCTCATCATCGTCAGACACGTCAAGGTCGTCAGACATCGGGTCCATGGGTTTGGGGTGCTTTTTTGAGCGAGCGGCACCTTGGCACCATTCACGAGGACAGTACACTGTCGACTTATCCGCCTCAAGCCTTTTCTTGCGCTTAAGAGATACAAAGCGCTGCACGGTCTCCTGCTCCAGGGGAATCTGTAGCAACTCGCTGGGGCTGAGCGTTCGGTCGATCTTCTTTCGCTTCTTTGGTGCGTCGCCTGTGGGGGCTGTGAGAGCCGTTTCCTTGCCACAATTAGGAGCTAAACACTTCACACTCTCAATATCGCCTTCAGTGATACATGCATTGTAGAAGTCCTGCAGACAGGCAACGCAGAAAACGTGCGAGCATCGCAAAAGGCGGTGGCAGTTTATGCCTTTCTTTGGTTCCAGGCAGACACCACATTCAAAGGTCTCTTGTTCGAACATTTCCTGTTCAGCCTTACTGTTGAAATCCAACAACGCTATTTTCAAGTCTCGAGAAAGCAGCATCTCACCGTCGGGGCTTTCATTAGAGTCAAAGCCCGTGTCACATAACTGCTGAAGATGGTCGATGTATGTGTAAACCACCAGGTCCTTGCCGCACTCCTCCCAAAGACGCTTGCCATCATTTATGAGTTCGGATAATGTCGAGGAAGGTAACCAGGCAGGGTTTGTTCCGAGATTGAAGAAAGGCGCTTGCTCAGCTGGATAGCCTTCGGGCAGCTCGATCTCGAGGCAAAGAGGAGGAAAGTGCGATATGATATGGACATCATTGTCGGGCTCGGCTGGAGCAGTGGGCTCCTCGGCCTTGAACAAGAAACCGTTTTCGCTGGCGTCGACGGACGTGGGAGGGGTCAGGATAGCAGGAAAGATGGTCTCGGGGAGCTGCTGTTGCTGCTGAAAGCGCACGCGTACGGGTCTAGATGGTTTGACGGGTATGTCTAGCGAGGCTTTGTACGGCGAGACAGGGTCGATCCTTATTTCCGGGAAGATGGCAGCGATAGACGACAGCTCGACCGAGCGGTCATCTTCCATAACCGACTCAGACTCTGGCATTATGGATCCGGGCGTTCTCTTCGCAGGACTAGCCCAAAGGCCACGCCCGTCTTCCGTGGATGGCTATCGTTCGCAGGGTGTTTTGTATTCGAGGCGGCGAGATGATGGGTGGCAATTGAGGCCCATCAACGTGATGGAAGTGCGCAATGTCCGATTCGAAGTCCCTAATTCTAATAGCGCCCACCTTCGATAACAGGCATTTCCTTCATAGACATTCGAATGGCAGGTGGTGAGCGACGAGGCGACAGAAGGGGGCAGAGTTCTGCTGCTAAACCACGGATTAGTCAATCAGACAATGCGATTATCGAGGGTGGCGGCGGAAGTCGGACCTCTCAGGTACTGCAGGCGTGTGTGCGGCCTAGACAATTAGTATTATGGGGGCGGTGGAACCGTCGGGGAATCAAAAGAGTTAGGAGCGGACAGAGAATGAATGGAACGAAGAGAGTTTTGTATTATTCGCAGTCTAGAGAGTATGTAGAAAGAAGAATCAGAGTGAGGACGTGATGAGAAGTGCGTCATGGTTTGGCCCGAGATAAGAGAGGATAGGATAGGATAGGATAACACAGTGAGTGAGTAGGGAAGAGCAGTGGTACAGCAATAGCGTAGAGGCAAGGCAGGCGAGCTAGAACACGCGAAGGACAAAGGATTGGGAACCAGAACAGTTATAAAGGGAGTCGGGCATAGAGAATTGAGCTGGGTTTTGCTGCCCAGTCTTGAGGCAGTTTGAATTAGCTGAGTTGGTTGTTGGAAGTTACTGAGAGATGATAAGTTTAGCAGATTCGCTCACTTCCCCCCTGGCCTAAGGCGACAAGGCCAACTGCCCCTCCTTTTTCCCTGCCGCTTTAACAAAAGCCCCGTGACTTGGCTTCCCCCTTGCGGACCCCACTCCGCCTCCGTTCCAGTTCCAGTTCCAGTTCTCTTCTCCTCCTCCTCAATTGATTGAATATTACTCCGTATAATCATCAGCTTGGAGGGGAAGCTTCAGACTATTCTTGTAAACACCTACCAGCAGTCTGCCCTAAAGAACATTGACCTTGACACCTGCACGATATGACGTTGTGTGAATAGTCATCGCTTGGTCTGTCACTCCACCGGACAGTCGCTGCTGGTCCATTGCTATCATTCCTTTCATCTTTAAGGAGCATACCTTGTCCTGGCTTGAATCGGGGGACGGTTGCAAAGGAGATTATCCAAATATCAGTTCCCGGCAACACAACAGCCCGACAACGACAACACAATGGCGGACGCCCCCCTAGCATCCTTATCACTGACCCATGTCCATTATGTACGTTCCCACATTTAGTGTCCGGGGCGACTAGCGCTCGAACAACTGATGATGCACTGCTCCACGCTAACAAAGGCAGAATCCCGAGGATCTGCTCTCCTATGTATCCGCTTATCTTGCTTTAGTGCCTCAGGCCCTAGTCATCTCCTATGTCACCCTTGCCTGGGCGTCCAGGGAAGTCGAAGTCATCCTAATGTTTGCTGGTCAGATGGGCTGTGAGGCCCTGAACTTTGTTCTAAAGCGCATCATCAAGGAGGAGAGGCCGAAACGTAAGTCGACTTATCCAGGGAAGGAAGAAGAAGAAAATGAAATACCTGGTCCAGACTAACGCCTGCCACAGAAATGTTTGGCAAGGGTTATGGCATGCCATCGTCGCATGCCCAGTTTATGGCTTTTTTTGCCGCGTACGCTGGACTCTTCTTGGTTTTCCGACATTCCCCTGCCTTGGCACGCCCATCAGCCACGGTTCACTTTGGGGTCCGAGCACTCCTCTCTCTTGTGCTGTGCGTCGCTGCTGCTGCAGTGGCTGTCAGTCGCGTTTACCTGAACTATCACACCCCCAGGCAGGTCCTGGCGGGCTGTAGTGCGGGTGTCTCGTGTGCCCTCGCGTGGTATTTCGTTACGCGGCAGATCCGAGTTCTCGGTTGGGTCGACTGGGTACTAGACTTGAAAGTCTCGAAGTTCTTCCGGCTTCGCGACTTAGTGGTAAACGAGGACCTTGTAGAGGCCGGATGGCGACACTCGGAAGCGAACCGGGCTTCCAAGAAGCGGGAAGACAACAGTGAGCATCGTTTAAAGAAAACTGAATGAAACGTGCATGCGCCTTGAGGAGCTAATCAGGGAGTAGGGCTGCCCAACGGTCCCTCTGTCTGATGAACATGCTGTTCCCGCTACACGCTTGCCTTTTCAGCTAGAAGCCTGTGGTTGACGTGTGTGGCTCGGCAGTCTGAGCCTTCGGCACCTGGGCCAGCCACCCTACTTGAAAATTTAGAGGCGGATCCGGGAACAGTGACCGTTACCTGAATTAATAGAACAAAAATCATAGCCTTAGCAGATGCAAAGTTTGATCATCATCTTCTCGCGGTTTTCTTACCTTTTTTGAGAATGGAACCCAGTATACCCGTAAATCAAAACCTGGAAGATGGCTCAAGGCGGATAACTTACACGGTAGAATATATATGTAGTGGGACGACTCGTCGAGAGACTTCAACTTCAAGGCGTTCAATTATGAGAAGACCTGTACCTGAGTCTCGAGCTTGGCTTTGTACAAACGTGACAGAAGAAATCCAAATTCGAAAAAGCTAAAGCATGAAGCAAATCTAGACACTGAGTAGAGTACAGTACAGTACAATATAAGCCCCCGCTTGGCTGGGCCGTTCCTTGCACGTGACCTTTGACTTCCGCGGATCGACGGCTCCCCCTCGAAAACACATCGCGTGGCTCGTCCATTTATTAAGAATGCTGCCAAGCGCCGCTTTCTTAATTGGACGTCCAGCTCTGCCGGACACATTATGTCTCTAGTTTGACTACACGTCATGTGGAATGGTACTCTCCATTGTTCAGTACACAGTACTACTACTACTCACTATTCAAGCTAAACGACTAGTCTCTTGTTCACTTTCCCCTACAAAGCCTCAGCAATAATCCCTGTTGAGTACTTTGAGCAGCTGAACCACCTCACTTTATTGCTTTTTTGTTTCAAATATTTCATCTGAAGAGTTTGTGAAGTGGAAATCCTATTACAATATTCCCCCCCGCAATGGATGAACCTCCAATTCCCTCCGATGCTGGCCTTGAAGGGCAGCATATTGTGAAGGCGGACGAAGTCGACCAGACAGGCACGGATATCAGCACCGTCTCGGATGATCAGATGCTGGAAGAGGTTGCTGAAGAGCTGCGACAGGAGCAGCAGGCGTTTTCCGACCATGCACCAACGACCAGTACGCTGGAGCAAGCTCCCAGGGGGGCGGAGAAGTTGCCGCCACGACGCCCAGAGCTACGCCGGGACTCTTCCGCCCCGCCGCCCCCTCTGCAGCCTCCGCCGCCCGCGCCTGTCCAGCACAACCAGCCCCAGAACCAGGACGTACCACCCGACTCGCTGAGTCTGGCGCAACTGAGACAGCTGGTCCAGGAGATGCCCAAGGTGGAACAACCGGCATACGCTTTCGAATATGCTGACGCCCAACCGTTTGTAGAGGAGATTGAAGAGTGGTTCCAGTACAATGAGTACGATCGAGCCATGCTGGTCGGCATGAAGTGGTCCTTTGAGCACAAGTGGCACACCTTCTGTGAGGATCGCTCGGTAGATCCCTCGCAGCAGAACTGGCTTGCCGCCCCGCGGGACCTGCAGAAGGCATTCATGAGCCATACCGTCGACGGGCTAGGTGAAAGTACAGGTCTAGTGCGGTTCGAGGCTTCGGAAGCTCTTTGTTATGCCGTGACGGGTGTCTGGGGCATCACCGCTGGAGAGGTTACGCCTGACTATCCTAGAGGTGTCTCTCCCCCGGGCACTGAAATTCCGGAGAACAAATCGTTACAAGTCAAATGGATCGAGCATAGTGTTCATCTCCTCCACGAATGTGGTGGTGTTCAGGCATTGTTGGATTGCTTATGTCGGGTCTTCGAGAGACACCGAAGCTCGTCCTCCCAAGGCCCGGAGGGCGCTGGCCCTGACTCTGCCAATTCGGTATACATGGAACGCGAGGCGAACCTGCTACTGACCTCACTATATTTCATCGTGGAAATCGCTCGAAGGCAGGAAATCCTTGACCCGAAGAATGCATCACTTCGGGAGACTCTCATGCATCTGGAGCCAAATCTGCTGGTATTCCTAGTCGAGATCATTGCGAGGCTGCGCTGGGATGACTCGGCCAATGTCCCTCTAAACCGTATCATTCTTCTGTTTTGGAAGACAATACTCCTCTTCTTTGGAGGTAGTAGTAAGTTGAAGGAGGCCAAGAAGGCACTGGAGCCCGCCTTTGAGGCACGAGAGAACGCTTCCCCGCGCAGGACTCCTTTTCTTACTGCCTCGCCCCTCGATTACCACAACTTCAGACAGGAGATCACGTCAAAGTATCCTGCCTATAATCCACCACCCCCAGTGGTGCCCCTGGAATTGGAGAACAACTCGATCCTGCCACCGCTTCCTCAGCACCCCAGTCGAATCAACACCTCCAACGGGCCATTCTCCGGCGTGGGACCCTCCGTAGCGGGCGGAAGTGGCTCGATCATCCACCAGTCCGTCCACATCGCAACGCCGGCGCCTTCTCCGCCGCCCTCCCCGATCGGACCCGGCGGCAAGGCAGGAAAGAAGCAAAATTACCAAACCAACCAAAACTTCCCCTTTATGTACCCACCCCTGGATGATTCGAGCAACGATCTCGGTGGGAAAGGGACAACTGAGCTGCAAGATGTTCTGGTAGGCAAGAGATGGGAGGGTAGTGATGTTCCCGCTTCGATTATCGAGGCGGGGAAATTATTCTCGACACACGTCAAGATGACCCGGGCGATGCAGCAACTGTGGGAGGAGAGAGAGCGGTTCATGAAATATGACCGCGGCTGGTGCCCGAATGAGACGTTTCCGTCTACTGAGTTCGAGACAGAAGAACTAGCAAACGAGATGCGCAACTTGGGATTCAATGTCAGAGAAAGATCGAGTGTTGATCAGCCCTCCGACAAAGAAACAGAAAATGAGGACATCCAGCAACGCTTAGATGCTGTCGAGTCATTCTACGTGAGTGCTCTGGGGGCTTAGGAAATTGGTCAGGAGCTAACCGCCGCTGCAGAGACAAGCGCTAGTGCATTTACAGTCCATCACAATCGTCTTCCTCAAGATCATTCTGACAAACGTCAGTGCTATGGTCAATCAGGCTAACGGACAGAATGGACAGGGGATGGGGTAAGTAGTTTCGTTGCTTTCTGTTGTTTTGATAAACCAAGGCTGATGAAGGCGGTTTTTAAGTGACAACTATGGCCCAGCCAATGGATACCCTTCCGCTCTACACCATGGCGGAGAGCGGAGCATTGAAGCAGCCATTGATGAGCTGGACAATGTGCGGCTCCGAGAGATCACGTCCAAGGCGATATCAGGATCTTTCCTGCTCCTGCTCAAGTGGTTCAAGCGATCTCGTAGGTAGTCTTGACTTGGCGTCAACGAACCGGGCTAACGAGGCCCAGACATACTCAAATTTGAGTACATGACGCAGTTGCTTCTTGATTCCAACTATCTACCTCTGATTCTCAAGATGTTTGCTCATCAAGATGTTGACCAAGCGGTTGCGCAGAAGAATGACCGCGAGGAGCTGGGGTATGTTATTGGTTCTCATCTTATTCTAAGGGGCGGGTGCTAACCGGCACCTCGAGCAGCTTCTTCCGTTTTTGTCATCTCAAGTCCGACCATCCGCCCGCCGACCTGGACGACGAATCCTTGCCCAGCGAGGACGAAGCAATCCCTCCGCCCATCACCCGCCAACGCCAGGACACGACCGGCCACTCCTCCGTACGAGGGCCGTCGCCCGAATCCCTGATTCCGGAGTTTAGCGAGGGGCCCCATCGTCCCGAGGTGGACGAGCTCGGGTACCCGATCGCGCCGCCGCCCAAGGAGCCGATCACCGAGTTCTCCTTCCGCAACTTCTTCTCCGCCATCAACTACCTGCACATCATGCAGAAGATCACGCGCGACAAGGCGCACCGGTGCCTCTTGCTGGTGCAGTACAAGTCCAGCACCATCCTCCGCAAGGGACTCAAGATCCCCGACCCGCACCTGCGGTTCTACACGCTGAAGCTCTTCAAGTCGCAGGTCCCGTTCTGCGGCCGCAAGTGGCGCCAGAGCAACATGCGCGTGATCACTGCCATCTACCTCTACTGTCGGCCGGAGCTACGGGATGACTGGCTCTCGGGCGCGGACATCGACGCGGAGGTCGAGGAGGCGTTGCCGCTCGAGCAGGCGCTGCGCGGACTCACCCACTGGTGGCATCTCCGACGGTACAAGGACGTGATGGGCGGCGAGGAGGGCGCGTCTCTCATGGAGGAAGAGCGGGACTTTTTCACCCGAGAGCTCGAGGCGATGGGATGGGGTATGGCTGGGGATGAGGGGTTCCCGGGTAGTAGCGAGGAAGCTGAGTTGGCCGCCGCCGCTGCCGCCGCCGCCGCAGCAGGGGGCGGTGGACCGATGGTGAACGGGACTGAATGGGATGGGGCTCCCCTGCAGATGGAAAGTGGGTGGTAATACGTACAGTACAGGGTAGATAGAGTTCAAATTGTATTAGAAGGGTGGCATATGCTGCAGTGGTTCACCCTGCAAGCAGAGTACGCAGTACTGCGACGAAACTGCGACTAATCAACGATCATCAGTACAATTCCGAGGGTTGTGTTTGGATGAGCAAGGGGAGGGAGGGAGGTTGCGGCCTTATCGATAAGAAAAAAGGTTTCGAAAACCACCTCTCACGTGACTCGATCACTGCGGTAACTTTTTTTCACCTTTCCTCCTCCTCTCCACCCCCATCGCAAAGTTTTGGTGGCCGCCACCCCGGACCCAAACCATCCCCGACAAACCGACTTGTACTTTGTGATCACGTTCGAAACTCCTTGCGCATCCAGCAAGTAACCGATTCCAAAGTCAAGATGTCGTCCGACGAGATTGTTTGGCAGGTGATCAACCAGCAGTTTTGTTCCTACAAACTGAAGTGAGTTTTTTCTTTTTTTTTTTCCCCCTCGCCGTCCCGCATTGCCAGAAGAAAAAAAAATCCAACCAATTCTACACCACGCCTGTCCACTATCCCTTCGTATCTAAATTGTACTCCTCAATTATCGGCCAACGCAAATTTACTAATACCTTCGATTTGAAATGCAGAACCACGAAGGGACAAAACTTCTGCCGCAATGAATACAACGTCTCGGGGCTGTGCAACCGGCAATCGTGCCCGCTGGCCAACTCGCGGTACGCGACGGTGCGGTCGGACCCGGAGACCGGGGTGATGTACCTGTACATGAAGACGGTGGAGCGGGCGCACATGCCGTCGAAGTGGTGGGAGCGGATCCGGCTGTCGAGCAACTACGCCAAGGCGCTGGAGCAGCTGGACGAGCGGCTGATCTACTGGCCCAAGTTCCTGGTGCACAAGTGCAAGCAGCGGCTGACGCGGCTGACGCAGGTGTCGCTGCGCATGCGGCGCCTCGCCAAGGAGGAGGAGCGCCTCGGCGAGACCGTCGTGCCCCGCCTGGCGCCCAAGGTGCGGCGCCGCGAGGCCACCCGCGAGCGCAAGGCGGAATCGGCCGCCAAGATCGAGCGCGCCATCGAGCGCGAGCTGATCGAGCGGCTGCGCAGCGGCGCCTACGGCGACCGGCCCCTGAATGTGGAGGAGGGCATCTGGAAGAAGGTGCTGCGCGGGTTGGAGCGCACGGGCGAGGGCGAGCGCGATGAGGATCTTGATGATGGGGAGCGTATTGAGGATGAGGAAGAATTGGAGGAGGAGGGCGAGGAGGGCGTTGGCCAGGTGGAGTATGTTAGTGATGTGGAGGAGAGTGATCTCGAGGATTTGGAGGATTGGATCGGTGGGGAGTCCGCGGATGATAGTGAGGATTTCAGCGAGGATGACGAGGAGGAGGATAGTGAGGATGAGGAGGACAGTGATGAGGAGGATGACTCGCAGCACAGTGAGGATGAGGGCGCCGCCAAGAAGAAGCCCGCCCCCGGCTTCAAGCGCAAGCGCCCTGCTCCCCAGGCTAAGCCCCGCAAGAAGGGTCCCCGCATCGAGATCGAGTATGAGACTGAGGGGCCTGGAAAGGTTCTGGCTTAAGTTCGTTGCTGGATTGTGGAGGGGATGGGGGGTTTATTACAAAAAGCTCGGTTGTGGTCGTGTTTTCGTATGGCGTTGTTTCGGTTCGAGTTTCGTTGATGTATCTACTGACTTACCTTTCTTTCGTTGTTGCTCATGCTGCGATCGGGCATATCATACCCAGCCATTGCATATAGCTTGTTGAATGATTGTTCTGATGATGGTGCTGGTGCTGGTGCTGGTGCTGGTGGTAGTTCTCGAAGATGTAGCGAAGCTTGCCTGCCGTTGTTCCTTGCATAGAACAGTGGCGGCCACCAGTTGGCGGTGTCACAGGCCGGGCGGCTCACGTGCTCCGGTCAGCGGGCGGAGTGAAACACGGAGAGTGGATCGCCAACATGGTCAGAGTCAATCCCCAATCAATGCCAAACTCCCCTTACGAGGGTGCTTGCTCAACTCCTGTTCCTGCTACACGTCGTGTTTGGCATCTTCGGCATACCGTGTCCCAACCCTTCTTGCGATTCGCCTTTGACGGCTACTGCTACTTTACGACCCTGGTTGCTGTCACCTTGCAGGGCGCCCTGCTACCGAGTCTCTTCCGCCTTCCTCCGCATTATCCTTCACCCCTCGTCTCAACCGCTCGATACCCCACCATTGGCTGATCCTTCAACCTTTTTCTCTGGCTCCCCCCCCTCTTCCTCCACCTCGCAAGAACAATTGCACGGTCAGAGACGGGCAGCAACTACACCAAGATGACCTCATACTTCTCGTCGCTGACCTCCTCGTCGGCCATCTCGAACCTGGGCACCCGGCTCAACTCCCTGAAACGGGCCATCACGTTGGGCGACGAGCGCGACGACCCGGACAACGAGGACTGCTCGCACATCTCGAACGTGCTGCGCGCCTACTACACCGAAAAGGGGCGACCGTATCCCTCGTGGCTGCCCCCGGACCCGAAAGCCCCCGCGCCGGCACCGGCGCGGGTCATCGCGACCTCCCAGATCCCACCTGGCGCTGGTGGTGGTGGCGCCCCAGCGTCATCAGCATATGGACGTGGCGGGAGCGGTAGCGGTGGTGGTGGTGGTGGTGGACTAGGCGACTTGTGGGGAGATGCGGGCTCGGCCACGCCTCCCACCTCCCAAACATCCAGTTTGCGCCGGGGTCGCATGACTGCTGGGGGGAACAACAGCAACAGCATGGGGGCACCGCTCTCGGCGACGGCTAGTGCTCCGGGAGGCCCAATCCACCACAACAGTCTGTCCCCGACCCCGTCGGCCATGCAGCAGCACCCTCACCACCCAGCCGGCGGCGGCGGCCGTCCTCTGCCCAGTCAGCGCGCCGGATCCTACCAGACGATCTCGGGCCCCGTGACCGGCGGCGCGACGCAGCAACCGCTGGAGCGCGCAGCGTCGGCCCAGGAACGACTCCGGGCACGCTTGCATGGGGGCCGGTCGCCCAGCCCCGGCCAGAATCCGAGTAGTCGGCCGGGTTCACCCTACGTGGCGGATCCTAGCGCACGAAAACCGGTAGGGATGCCGGGTCGACGATAATGGCAAGGAGCCAATGATGACCGTGGGAGCTAAATCCTGATGGGGAGGGAGTAAAAGGAATAGCCCGGAGTCAAGGAAAAAAAGAAAAAAAAATTGAAACCGGGGGCCACCAATACCCGACCTGCAGGGAAAAGATGGGGGACTTGCTGGTTTTAGTCTTCGTCTTTTTTGGCACACAGTCGGGTGGTGCCGATGGAGAAGGGCGGGGGTGTGGGTGACGGAGGGAGTGAGTAGGAGAGTAGGAAGGAGAGTGAGGGAAAGTGAGAGTGAGAAATTAGTGAATTACCCCAAGGCCACGTTGGGGATGCGCTGCGGTTTGCATAATTACTTTTCTTCTCTTAGCTGCTGTGTGGTGTATTCTATTAGCGATGCGAGTTTGATCTGTTGTTGCGAGTACTCATGTTGTCTGTCTGTCTCTAATAAATTCATAGCCATGATAATAATGCATGCACTCCCGGTGATTTCTTTCTTGAGTGTGTGATAATATTTATTTTATATTTTATTTATGGTTATTATTTTCCCCCAACCCACAAATCCACTTCCACTCCCCAGAGACCAGGGCAGGCAAACCTTCCCCCATGTGTGGGGGGTGCAACTCCTGGGCGGGTTTTAGTTTGGTTTGGACGAGGGTTGGCTGGCCTTCAGCCGTGGTTGAAGGACCGGGAAGCTTTTGCGATTCTCAGCCAGGGGAGCGAATGGGGGAGTCGGCATCTCTGAGAGAGAGAGAGAGAAGAAAAGGGAGGTGAAGGCTTCCGCTCGAGGGCAGGCCTCATGGATAAAGTATTAACGCAGAGAAGAGAAGAAGGTGTCCCCGTTGGGCAGCGTTGAATTTCGTGGGGGTGGAAAATGGCGCAACTATACAACTACAAAGATATTATGTATGGGGCATGGGGAAGAATCGGGAATTGGAGAGAAGAAGCGGGTAGCAGTCAGTCACGCGGGCCATGGACTTACTGTGTACAAACTGGAATGGTGCCGGAGAGTCTCCGAAATTGTCCCGGTCCCGGCATTGGAGAAAAACACAGAAACTCGGCTCGGCTTACCTAAAGGCTAACGCTAAGGCCGCCGCTTTGGCTGGCTGCCCACGGGGAACTTTTGCTCGTTTCTCGTTTCGCTGGATTTCTCCGCAATCCGCATTTCGGTCTCCACTCCACTTTCCTCTCCATCCCGACCTTTTCTCGTGTTCACTGCAATCACTGGGTGAAACTGGGTTGAAATGGATTCACCTAGTCTGATTTAGTCCTGCTTAGGCTCTCTGGCTGACTCTTGCTGAGCCCATCCCATGGTGGCCCCACTCCCCGGTCTTTGTCTGTTCTCTGCCCTTCCATTCGGTCATTCTCTATCCCGCCTGTCTTTCGTGCTGGCAATCCCTGGTCGTTTCGGCTTCCAAGTCTGGCCAGACGGCCCGATGACGCGGTTGTGCCTGCCGACCCCAGTTCTGCTTGGCTCGTGGGAAAATTTCAACAATGACGATGGTGACACCGGATTGTCTGGGGTCGTTGGGCGTTTCTGGCCTGATGCGCCTTGCCTTTAAAAGCCTCGTGCATTCCCCTCTTCCCTCTCCCCCGGAATGGATTACACTCGATCTGCACGCTTCCCCGCTTCTCATTCCTCTCCATCCCCCTCCTCCCCTCGTGGTGGTCATCCCTCCCTTTTTACCTCAGTCCTCGTTCTGCTCTTGAGGCTGTGGTCAACTGTGGTCAACTGTGGTCGTGCAGACAGACAGTACATACACCCGGAATAAACCGTCTATTGTTACACAGTACATAAAACCCCCCTTATCCCTGCAGCTGGCACAGCCGCCCCATTAACCAATCATGGGGACCATGCACGATCTGGACACCGCCCATGACGACCACAAGGATGGCACCGCGGTCGAGATGGACGACATCCACAAGGACCCCAAGGCCATGGAGGAGCTCACCGAGGCTGCCATGGATGCAGAGCTGCAGGAGCTGGAGCAGCAATTGAGGGAGATGCCCAAGTCCCGCTTCGAGGTTGCCTTCTCCAGCCCGGCCGTCTACACCTACATGCTGGTCGCCTTCGCCTCCATGGGAGGTCTGTTGTCCGGTCTGGATCAGTCCCTCATTAGTGGTGCCAATCTCTTCTTGGGCGATGCGCTGCACCTCAGTGACAACCAAAGCAGTCTGGTCGACTCCGGTATGCCCTTGGGTGCCGTGGCTGGTGCGATCCTTCTGTCCCCGTCCAATGAATACCTGGGCCGTCGTATGTCTATCATTGTCTCTTGTATCCTCTACACGGTTGGGGCAGCCCTGGAGGCTGGTGCCGTGAACTTTGGTATGATCTTTGCCGGTCGGTTCATCCTCGGAGCCGGTGTCGGTCTGGAGGGTGGTACTGTCCCTGTCTACGTCGCTGAGAGTGGTATGTTCCTTTCTGTCGTCTTCGGTTGTGGGGCCGATCCGCTAACCGCTTCCAGTCCCCAGTCGTATTCGTGGCAACCTCGTTTCCTTGTACCAATTGAACATCGCCTTGGGTGAGGTGTTGGGCTACGCCGTGGCTGCCATGTTCCTCGACGTCACCGGCAACTGGCGCTACATTCTCGGTTCCTCCTTGGTCTTCTCCACCATCCTCCTGGTGGGTATGTTCTTCCTGCCGGAGAGTCCCCGTTACCTGATGCACAAGGGCCGGGCCGTGGAAGCCTACGGAGTGTGGAAACGCATCCGTGGCTTTGACACCTACGAAGCTAAGGACGAGTTCCTGGGAATGCGCCAGGCTGTCCTCGCCGAGGCTGAGGAGCAGCAAAACACCAAGAAATACGCGTGGATGGACTTCTTCACCAAGCCCCGTGCTCGTCGTGCGCTGGTCTATGCCAATATCATGATCGTTCTTGGCCAACTGACGGGTGTCAACGCCGTCATGTACTACATGAGCACCCTCATGACCAATATTGGGTTCAACACTAAGAATAGTGTATTCATGTCCCTTGTTGGCGGTGGCTCACTCCTTTTGGGCACAATCCCTGCTGTGATCTACATGGAACGGTTTGGCCGGCGTTATTGGGCTAATGTTATGCTCCCCGGTTTCTTCATCGGTCTAGTCCTCGTCGGGGTGGGCTACCAGTTCAACTACACCACCCACCCGGCTGCCGCGGAAGGGGTCTATCTCACCGGCATTATCTTGTACATGGGCTTCTTCGGATCCTATGCCTGTCTCACCTGGGTCATCCCGTCCGAGGTCTTCCCCACCTACCTCCGTCACTACGGAATGACCGTGGCGGACGCCAACCTCTTCCTGTGCTCTTTCATCGTGACCTACAACTTCACGCGCATGATGAAGGCGATGACCCGCACTGGGCTGACCCTCGGGTTCTACGGAGGGATCGCCTTCATCGGCTGGATCTACCAGATCATCTTCATGCCCGAGACGAAGAACAAGTCCCTCGAGGAGATCGACGAGCTCTTCTCGCGGCCCACCTCGGAGATCGTCAAGGAGAACCTTGCTCAGACCAAGGAGGTTGTCGGGGATCTGCTGTGTGGCCGGTGGAAGAAGGCGTTCTCGCCGCCGCCCAAGCGGGAGTGATGGTATGTGTGATGTGTTTAGTGGTGCGGCCTTGAGGCTGTGCTGGTTTTTTTTCAAGGAGTTCGACTATGATGTTACAAGCGTGCCTTTGCATGTGTTTAATGAATACCAGATAAGAAACAAAAAGAGGATTTCCCTCCAGATGCTTATGAATTAGGATATCCGCTGTGGGCAATGAAGCTTGAGGTGAGAGGCTACTTTGTAGTAAAGAGTAGATAGTAGCTTTCCTGTATCGATATGTAACGCTCGCGTAGTTGATTTGAGGTGATGAGTTGTGTAGGCGACTGTGCTATTCAGAGTAGTCTCTTGAACTGACGCATGGATATTCTGGCTTTGGCCTTGGCACTGGTAGTGGTGTGGATAAGCAACAGACTTGTAGAAGTCCTGAGGTGAATGGGCTTGGATGACGTGTATTGGGTTGAGGAACACCGACAAAGCATGCCCTGCTACAACAATCCATGTACTGTCCCTTGTACATAGCATGTCGAAGTTGAGATCCAATCAGCGATAACCCAGACCAACTTGCAGAGTATAGTTAGTTCATCTCTGGAAGTCTGCATAACCACCATGGTATACAGCTGTACAACCTCATCAACCGGGCTGGGTTTGGAGTAGACTCTTTGCCACTTCATCTCGATCGGGACGAGGATAATAGATCTGGGGATTCCCGAACAACACAACCCAACCCAACACAACACAATCGCTATGGAAAAGTACTTCTCAATGGAAGGAAGACATGGACTATCATCAATTCAGATTTCATCTGGCTGCGATGACAGCAATACTCCAAGATGGGTAGGGCCATGAATTCCTCCAAATCCGTTTTCTGTCGGGCTTGATTGTCTTCCACAATTCCCGGGGATATATTCTGCGTGATGTATACAGAGTTCTCAACCCGAATAGTCGAGATTGTGAAGACAAGGAAACGTAACGTAGTACACGTATCCGGCGAGGTGCATTCTCATCTCGCGCCCTTGTTTGTCCACCAGAGCCCATGGGCTTTTAGTTGAGTTGAAGATCCAGTGAATCTCCCGGGGTGATGCATGCAGCCTGCATATCCGTCTACGTGGGCCGTTGCGGGAATCGACTGTATCGGCGGAACCCGTTCGTACCAGATACGCCGGCGAAGCCAGACCAAGGCGACCAGTACTGTGCTGAGAAGCCGGCGTGATAACATAGTCGATGCTCGATGGATGCTGGGTGGACTTGCAGGAAAAGCATCTCTCCGGGCAGCAGCCCGCTTCCTCTTATACACCGCTACTACTCATGTACAGTACACAGCAATCCGAGGTAAAGCTGTAGCGTGGGGGGGGGGGTGTGGATTGGGACTGGATATTCGGAGAATGTGAGGGCTGTGCTCTCCGGCGGCGAAGCTGAAGAGCAAGCCCGGTGGTGAATACATGCATTGGTCTGAAAGCAGTATAATCAAGAGGTTCGGGAGGAATGTCGGAAAGGGGAGGGGGGCCTCTCCACCTAACCAGGTCCTAAAGGCATTGTATGAGTTTGCCCTCAGCGAGCAAGGATGTGCCGGAAGGGCAGACGGGGTAGCCAGTGAAATAGATTACTGGGCGGTCGCCTCTAGAGCTAGCTAGATATCTCGATTTACATCTACAGCATCCCCCACCCACCCGGATGAGGTCTAGATACAAAACAAAAAAAAAAAAAAAAAATCAGGGCAAGTTTCAAGCCAGCGGCTTCCGCCCGACTGCAGTGACCACGCGGCCCTGATGTACGACGACGCCCTGCTCCGTCTCCTTGACGGCCGCGGTGAACAGGGCGACCCAGGCCTCGCGGGAGAGGGGTGCATTCGGCGCCTCAGCCTTGGGCGGGAACAGCGCGGCGAGCTCCTCCCACACGATCAGGTAGTTCTCCGTCCAGGCCTTGTAGTCCTGGGGCCGCTTGTCGTGGGGCCGCAGACGGGCCTCCTGGAACCCGAACTGCGTGAGCGGGGCGTCCAGCGCGTCCACCCAGGCGTTGCTAATGCCCTTGGCGCGCAGCCCGCCCTGTAGCACCTGCGACGCCTGGCTGCAGGCCGCCTTGGGGATGTCCGGGGTGGGGGCCTCGACCAGGAACAGGTCCCCGCGGTTCTCCTCCCACTGGAGGTAGCCGCCGGGTTTGAGGAGGGACGAGGCCACCGTGAGGAGTGGGGTGAGGTTCGAGTCCGGGCCGATCAGGCTCGCGAAGGCGCGGATGTGGACGACGTCGTAGGCGCCGAGGAGGTGGGCGGGGAGCGGGGTGGCCAGGATGTCCAGCTGCTGCAGCGACACGCCGCCGGGGAGGTAGGCCGCGGCGGGGAAGTTGACCGGGTTGATGTCGAAGCCATCCAGCTGCACGGAGAGACCGTGGTTCGTGGTCAATTGGGTGTGTAGCTCGGTGAGCCAGACGCCATTGCCACAGGCCAGATCGGCGATCTTGAGGGGTTGCTGCTGCTGCTGCGCGGCGGCCGTTACGGCCTTCGCGATCGCAGGCTCCAGGAGATAGCCCAGTGTGTTTTGGTACAGGAAGTGCTGGAGGTGCAGGCGCGCCGAGGAGCGGAAGTTGTGGGCGTGAGCAATCCAGTAGGTGGACTGGTTGTAGTTGGAGATGTGGGATGGGGCGGTCATTGTGGTGGATTGAGGTTTGTTGGAAGGGGGTCAGAAGGGAATTAGTCGGGATGGAGCTGGAAGAAGAAAGGGGACTTCTGTTGCTGGATGGGTTGGCTTTTAAGGACTGTGCCGTACCTGGATGGCTTGGATAGGAAGACCAGGGTAAAGTGATACTAAGTAGGATCAGGTAGAGTGGTAGACAAAGGGACAAAGAAACTGGCGGAGGGGGTAGTGGGGGCTTTAGATGAGTGATTTCCTACTGCGGGCTAATGGGACTGACCATGTGTGTTTACATCCATGTCATATCCATGATGATAGTCCTATACCAAGCCCTACTTGGCCAAGTGCTTACTTCTCTACGGACCGTGGTGCCGGACCCCGGCTGCCCTAGTGGTCCGGCTCCCCTCGTTCAGGGGTTCGGGGGTTGAGCATGCGTCCAGCAAACAAAGAAAATCAATCAGGCCATTCGAGCGAGTGCACAGGACCCAGAGTATTGCGAGATGCACCCGGACTGTTCCACCTCGCCCTCCCGGTAAGAGATCACGTGCTACCATAACCCTGCCCGTTGACGGGAGCTGAAGCTTTACAGGCGATCTAGAGGCACAAAGAAGTATTTGAGCATCGGTCTCTTGCACTTATGTACCACAGAAGGATGCAGAAAGCACCCTTGAACATACAGCTATCACCAGAGTCATCACGGCTTTAGCCTAGGCCACGGTCCGCAGCCGCTACCTCCGAAACTCGTGGGTGTATTCCCACCCTGCAACGACAGGATGTCTAACATGTTTGCTACCGGTAAACTCCACCGTCCGAACCAAATCTTCTCTCTCCATCAGTCGCCACGCCTGCCTCACTGATGTGATCGAGGACCTCATCCCACGGAACCATCTCATCTGTCCGAGAATAGAGATATACCCGCCTGATCCTAGGCCGCAGAAAGCCTTTCGCGGGGTGGTGGAGCCGGCGCCGTATTTTCGTCATGGCTTTTGGGTAAAGCTGGAGGCGGTCCAGCAGCCCCGAAGTACCCACAGCCAAGTAGGTTACACCAACACCAAGCACTCTGAAGAGGGACGATCGAGGAAGGACTTGGATCAATGTGCGCGCAGAGCGTCTCGCTGATGGCCTGCCGGGACAGTTGTCCAAAATTCAACCCCGTAATCGGGAAATTTGCGGACGGATGAGCGGCTCGATATGCCTCTGCAAGCTGCACGGCGGGAACTCCAGGTATAGGAGAAGGCGTGGACAATTAGAAGGGGTTCTAGATTGCTCTTTAAGTCAAGAAATGCGTTGATGGCGGTCACCGCAGGGCGGAGGCCTTATCTGTTGGGAACCACGAGTCCAGATCATATCGCCGGCGACGGGCTCGATGAGAAGGATGTTGGCATCGGGAAGGTGGGTTTGGTATAGCTGAGTGTATTTCGCAATGTGTTGGGTTGCAGCAAAGAGCCAAGTATAGATGATATTGAGACACGGCGGTTATTCAGGTTGTTGGATGGTACTGCTGGTGTACAGGGAAATTGACCCTTCGTCTCACCCTCCACCAGAGATGTGAGATTGTGGATATAGTAAGCGTCAAGGCGTTCACTAGTGTAGTTCGTGACGGGGCTAAATTAGTCTGTGTGTTTAGTGCTTATGATTTGAGGCTTACACGGTCTCTACCAGGATCCACCGGGCCGCTTCGGCTCCTTCTCCTGTACAGTACATTTCGGATCATAACAAACAAGCTCAGGGCTGTAGGTCATGAATGTTACTGGTGTTGCGGGGACATACAGGGGCTGTCAAGCCTCCTAGCCTACACTATGCAGGCTCGCCAGGCGTAGGACCAGCTGGAGTTAGTCTGTGTACGTCTGTGACTCTGTGCATGGCTGATGACCCACCCAAACCACTGGTGGACCCAACAAGCCACAGATCTTAGACGAGAGATCCACTAATATGGCGACGCTGGGGACACTGTCAGTCAGTCTGTTGGCTCAGCAGGATCCATTGGGCCCATGCTTGGACTGTACGACCGTGGCCACAGTAAAGTAAGCACAGCACCAAGTTTACTTATACCCCACAATTACAAACAATAAATAGCACGGGAAAAGCCCGCACTGACCATCAGATACGTTACAGCTCCTACCTCCGGCTGACTTAAGTCGCGGGTTCGGCCCTCTACTAGGCACCAGAGCTCTCACCACAAGCCACAATACAATCAAGCCCGAACCCCAACCCAATCCACCCACCCACCCACCATGTCCTGGACTCAGGTCTCGTCCACGCGATACGAGCGTCCCTTCGACACGATTGAAACCTTCTATCGTGCCATTGCCGCGGCCGGCGCGCCGCTGAACAAAGAGCACTACCTGATCACCTGCACTGCGCGCCTGCAAGCACCGCTGCCGCCGGCTTCGGCGGTCGAACAGGCGTGGAAAGCGCTCCGGCAATCTCAGCCTCTCGACCCCGCGGAACGTCTTCCGCTTCCTCCCCGCCTACGTGGAGCCGGACCCGCTCGAGGGCGCCTCGCACCCGGAGCTGAGCTCGATGGGCCGTGTGAACGACACCCTGACCGCGGAGGAGGTGCGGGGGCGGGTGCGCACTGTGCGGGTGACGACCTGGTGGGTGGCGGTCGAGGTCATCAATCGGTTGCTGTTGACGAATGTGTGGACGTGGGAAGAGCGGATGGTGCTGTCTGTGAATTGGAACGAGGCGTTTTATGCGCCGGAGCTGGTGGAAGGATTGTTGGGGGCGTGGCGGGAGGAGTTGGTTCGGGGGTTGTTGGCGGGTTAGACTGGATTGAAGTTTGACAGTAAAGGGATTGGTTATGGTTGTGGATTGTCTCGGGGGGGGTGAGTAAGGTATAATCCTTCTCTACATCCATGGGTATCCTTTCGAGGCAGAAACTACGAGAAGCATTATGTTAAGCTTCGTAGGCCCTGGACCCTGATACCCAGGCTAGCCCCTTTCAAGCTATATGCACGATAATATCATATGGTCTTTTTCTTGTAGTCAAATATAGTAAAAGGTTAGATCTTTGGCTTCCTCTACCTAGTTTACGGTATCCGACGACGACCGCTGAAAGCAAAAAAAAAAAAACACACCATTTCAGCCGTCAGCTGCAACGACGGACAGTCTGGGTGAATGTGTTTCGGGGATTGCAGACCTCCTGTTCCGCCAACTTAGGGCATCTTCTTCCCGATTCGGAGACGATAGACACATTATCGCCGTCGCTTCCGGACCGGTTGAAGGCTTTCGCACTGAAGCCACGGGGTCGAGAGTCCGTATCGGATGAAGTGGCATTACCACCTTCGTGTAGAACCACTGCCAGTAATTTGCTCCGAACGAGACCATGTGAGTGGTAATACGGATTCTAAGGCTGTAAAATGCTAGTGAGATTGCCACTGCGTTTAGAGACAAGTGACAAGGCAGGGGGGACTATGGGCCAATTGACCGCAGCACAGATGGTCTGACAGAAATGATTGCGCTAGTAAATCGGTCGTCCCCACTATCCCCGATGGCAAATACGGCCAAGAAAGAAAGGGAGTATACAGGATAAATCTGTTCTAAGTGCCTTGACATGTGAATTACCTTCCCTGACTTAGCTCGGGGAATAAGAGAAGAGTCAGGCAGGCATAGATTACCCAGCCACAGGATAACGTATTATCTCCTGTAACTTGAGTAGGTCTTTGATGCCTGGAACGCGGCGGTGTCTCATCTCATAACCTGCAGATCACAGCAGAAGACCTGCGTGGACATATAAGCAGTACATGCTGGATCGGGGGCCCATACACGCCCCCATCTGCAGAGCTCCATCCAGCTTCTTATTTGGGAGCTAACTCGTCCGTCGGCCTTTCTCCTCGTCTTACTAGGCATGGATCTTGGTGTATTTAGTCGCACTATGCTAGTTGTGTCTTGGTGCACGTGCTACATAAGGTGGAGGGTGAAACGGTCGCATTAGTACTGAGTTGTGATGAACGAATCTTCTTCCCGACCAATACGGGCCCACGGTTGGACCGGCCACATAGTCGGGAGGCTCTCTCAGAGTTGTCGTGGAAGAACAGGAAACATCAATGGAGTCAACTTGAGAAGCGTTCCATTCATAGAGGGGTAGATTCACGCTTCCTGCAAGCATCATGATATGTGAGGGGGTCCCCCCCCAGCTTTACCGGCTGAGGCGCTAAACTGTAACCCACGAGGTCCTTCTCCCTCCGTAGGATCAATAACCTGCACACATATTTGCCGCTGATGCGAAGGATCGACCATCGTCATAGGAAGGGGGTTAGGTTTCAGATTTTGTCCAACAACCCGGCCAGCACACTCGTTTTCACCCACTCCCGGTCCTCGGCCAAGCCCTTTATGAGAAGATCCTCGCCCTCTTGCAAAATGCCACGTACATCCCGACCTGGCAGAGTGATCCTGTACGGAGTACAGAGGACCAACAGCCCGACACCCACCACCGTGCGCCAGACGAGCTCGTCATCCAGATGCCGGGTCTCGTGGTATCCATCGATAAACCCCCGCAGAATGCTTCGGGGCGCATTGATCCCCCCAGCGCGGTCGACGACGTAGAGGTTGGTGATGATGCGAGCGAAGTCCAGCGTCTGGCAGCCGAAATGACAGGATTCCCAGTCGATGGGGACGATCGTCGAGGACAGGAGACCGAACGAGAGCAGCACACTATTTTGGTCCATACTGTCAGCAGGGCCTTTCTTGTTTTTTCTTGTTTTTGTTTTTTTTTTCCGAGGCCGTCCGAGCCTCCCGGGGCATGGGGCAAGGAGGAGTATACTTCATCATATGGAAGTCCCCGTGCGTGATGCCGAGATCGCGTCCGTGGTCCCTTTGCAGCTCCGCCGCGACCGCGGCCCTCACGCGCGCCTCGTCGGTCCGCAAGACGCCCGGATATGCTTCGAGGTTCTGCTGCAGGTTCTTTGTGTTGAACCCCAGCAAGAACCGGCGGGCGCTGTCTCTTCCGTTCACGATCTGGGGCAGATCTGCGCGGTCCAGGGTGTGTGTGCTGGAGTGGAAATTGCCCAGCCACGCGCCGAGGCTGAACCCGAGGGCGGACCCGGCAGGCGCTAGGAGATGGCGCCAGGAGAAGGTGGTGAGGAACTGGCGTAGCGTGATGCATCCGGGGATGTCCTCCATCAGGACTGCCTTTTCCTGAGGCAGAAAGTCGTAGATGTCGGTGGTTCTCGCCGTGAGGCTTTTGACGGTCACCGCGGGAACTGCATTGGGGTTCCGGGCCAACAGAAGCAGGACTTCATTCTCCCGGGCCTGCTTCGAACTGCGTTAGACATGGGCGGTCATGATTTAAAAAGAAACCTCGGGGTGCTTACGACTCTATCTTCGGGGAGCTGAAGCTCTAGCCTTGCTGCGTAGCTGGCAGTGTGCTTGATGATGATTGTGCCGGCCCCATTGGTAAGCGGGCGAAGGAGGATCCCGCGGTACACGAATGCGGAGTAGCCGCCCAGGCGCTCCAAGGAAGAGCAGGCATATTTGGTTGTACTCAGGCTCTTTAGAAGCTTGCTGCTAATCTCTTCGTCGTTATCGGTGGTGGTGGTGGTGGTGGCCATCTTACTGTGTTCTCGGCTGTGTGAGGCATGCACTTCGAAGAGTTTGCGTCAGACTAGGGGGATGATTTAATGGTCGGTTCTTATGTACAAACTCGCAGAAGCGTTTAGCTCTGGTAGACAGACGGAAGAAACTTAAATCCCTCCTTAGGAACATGTTGATCAGTGGAGAGGTCGATTTTCAGTGAATTACCGAGAATGATAGATTGGATTGGACTTGTCATTAAAGCTATTGTACTCATGCATATTCTTCCGTTCTGGGGGGGGGGGGGGCAAGCACCTTTGCTTGACTTGACAAGAGAATCCGACAAGCAGAGTAAACCTCTTTTCATCAAACACATCTCTGCTTTATCCAGGGATATCTAGGAGTTTGTTTTCGCTGGTTATGCACCGGTCAACGAACCAGGCCTGCATGTGGTATAGCTAGCTCCATTTCCACTTTTTCACAACGCTCGTTGTATGGTTAGCCTTACTGCATCCAGAATCTGCTCGGTAGTGGAGCAGATGAGGCAAGTACAGCACCAAATGATGTATCTACCGGCATACATCGCCCGGTATAGCTGGTGTTGATATAGGCTACAATATAAACTTTATCTTCCCAACCGAAGAAGCGGTGTTGACGAGGGTGAAATTGTAGCTACATGTCATATTGACTCTACACATTCGGCACTTGGGTTGTTAATGGTAACCGGGAAGTTCCGGCAAGAAACAAAACCTCATACAGCTGGCACATCACAAAATAAATGGTTTGATGCAGGTGCAATAGCAAACAAGGTTATAAGAATCACAGAATGGTCACGTCCTTCTTAAAGTGACTTTAAGTGGACAGGCACAGTCCTGCCCCGGTCGGCGTGGTGCGATCTAGTCAAGGATTCGTTGGGACATGGTCAAGCTAGACCACTTCCCCTGGTGCTGGGCAGAAATCGTTGGACTTGGAATAGTCGTCCCCATTTCAAGATAGACAAGGTACGCTGTGTTATCAAGAAATACATGTAAAAAGCAAGATCTAAGCCTAGAAAGTGCCTGGATAGAATAATCTCACATCAGTATACAAGTTGAAGAGGATAGCACCAGTGGTACCTTATATAACCTATAACCACCAGATATAACAAGTTTTATAAAATGCACTTTTGGATTCTCTATTCTTACCCATCTAATAATAATAAAATGTAGGACTATTGCACCCCTGAGGTCTTTATAAGGATATGTTGATTTGGTACTGCCAAGGCCGGCTAAACTCCAAGTTATGTGGGAGGTACAATTGGAGGTACAGTAGTATAATAGATATAAGGGTATCTACAACAAATGAATATTCTCTATATTAATAGCTTATGAGCTGACAGCCATTACAAAGAATATGAGCACAGATTCAAAACGCCCAAAAGCTTTTTACAGAGCATTAGTGATTAAGAAGATATTAAAAGCCCTGAACCAGCCTACAAAGGGATTTTAGACAGATTGGGCATGCTGTTGTTATTACCTCTTATTTTCCTACTGTATAGGCCCTGGTGCCCTTCCAGTATTTGGGGAGAGGAACTTGTAAGTTGGCACAGATCTAAAATAAGATATATAATCCTAACTATAGTTCCAGCTCTAAAAAATGACTGAATAACAGCAAGGTACAGGTAATATAAGCTTAATTTAAAGGCACTTGTACAGAGTGGCTTAATATATATAAAATACTTTACTTTAAGGTTGCTGTTTTAATAGGTTTTATTATTATGGTTTACAGGGCGTATAGAGTCGGTATGCTGGCATCTGGCAAATACAATAAAGCAGGGCAAAGCTATTAAACTATATACTCTTTTTATATATTTTATAGTGGCTATAATTTTTCTTTTTGCCTTCGGCCCTTGCTACTGTTACAACACCCTGGATAACCCCGTGTTGACGGATATGTGGAAGAAGGGGGTGAACTTAATCTTTACTCATCCTGCTACAGCATCTCCCCTTTCTACACAGTTTTAAAATACTCCCCAAGGTGGATTTGCTGCCTTATCCAGTCTTAATACAAATATATCACACCAGTTGGAAAGGTGAGTTTCACATGGAAAGCTATGCAAGGGCGCCTTGGGAAAAAATACTTATTTGTGCAACAGGTGGTTGAAGCATATATAACAAAGGTCTTCAACTCTTGCAAAGCTCACAAAGTGGACGGATCTGCTTTCACCAAAATCCTCCAGAACGACGACAATAAGCACCCAAGCGCAGAGACGACGCTGCCACGCTTAATCAATAAAGCTAAATTCCTACTGGTTGCAGAAACCAACACTTTGTCCCAGATTATGGCACTCGCCTTCTTCCATGTGCTCCGCAACCCCTAAGTCTATAAGAGATTAAAGGATAAACTCATAAATACCCTTCCAAGCCCCAGGATGACCCCTTCGTGGCAGGAGATGGAACAGTTGCCGTATCTTGTCAGGACACCTTACCCACCATTCCAATACTTCACTTTCTTGCCAATACAGACAAAGGGCTAAACTGTGGTGAATAGGCAGCAGCGGTGATCAAAGAAGGAAGGCCTGCGGCTTTCGGCGGTGGTGACCTCCCGTCTCCCTCGCATCGCACCCGGCGAAACCTTGTACTGCAGCGGCTGGGAAATCCCGCCCGGAGTATGCGACTATCTTCCCCCCTGTCGTGCGTGCAGAGCCAACTCGGAGCTGACCTTCGATGATAGACACCTGTCAGCATGTCGAATCATTTCGTTCTCCGTAACCCAAACGCGTTCCTGCGACCGCTGGAGTTCTGGCCGGAGCGCTGGGAGACGAATCCCGAGTTGGAGCGGTATCTTGTTCCCTTCTCGAAGGGCAGTCAGGCGTGTCTGGGTCCGGAGTACGTTTATGTATTCCATTCCCACTGGCATGCATTCGTTTTGTGGTTACTGACACCGCCGAAGCATGGCCCACTGCTGGCTGAACCTGGTCCTCGCCACAGTCCGTAGGTTTCGCTGGAGCTGTACGAAACATCCGAAGACAATATGGCAACGGTACGGCACTGTTTCAATAGCCAGACTGCGCCTGGTCAGAACTGATCCAGGTTAAAGTCGTTGGGTGCGTAGGGCCCACGAGCACATGAACCCCGGCCCCGTCGATTGAGGGGGTTGGCTTGATTGCATGCTTCCATTTCCGTTGACACGCTGCACATTCTGTAAAATCAACCATAGTAGCTGGCTGTCAGAAAGAAAGAGGATAGGAGAAGTAGAGGGAGGAACAAAAATCACGATCGTAACGGAGATAAACGTAGTCTCGCGGCGGGACCAGACGGCTCTGGTTCGAAAGCCCTAAGATCTACCTACAACTGGAACAGTCCTCTATGTTCTGTAGTAGAATACTGATGTTCTTCCCATTTAGCCCTGGCTCTGACTATGTGGCTACACCATTGGATTCCATTTCCTCAATTCTGCACCTCTATTTTCTGACTAAAATCTTCCCGGACAGACAAGGTGAATGACAACTGCAAGAACTTTGTTCACTCTTCAAAGAAAGACCCCCACCCCCCTCCCCCTGCTCCCAAGTTCATCCCTTTATGCTCCCGACATCTTCCACATGGCTAAGCCTAAGACCTTTCCACCCGTCCTCCATGATAATCGGCCGGACCGTCTCGTACCCCTGTACGCACACTCAGACACTGTTGCACTGCACTCTATGTTGATGTAAACCTACAATCGACATTGTCCCTCCGAAGCCTTCCTCCGAAGCGGCAATATGTGGCCGAACCCGTACTCCTCCGCATGATTTATTTTTCAGCACACTTGATTGAATCGGCTGCCAGGATTCCGACCAATTCAGCACGTAACTTCGGAGTCAGTCATTGCTCGATCTCCCGGGAGTACCGTACTCCCGGGGCTACTACAGGCTACTCCATACCTAGGTAAGGATTAGCGCTTACTATGCATTATGCCTTTCGCAAACCATACGGACTTTTTCATCTTCATGAGACCTAATAGCACAACCTATTTCTCGGAGATCTGATATGCTAACAGCCCGATATAGCTTTCTTGTATCATGTTCTTTAAACTTCCGTTGTGGCGCACTGCACTGCAACATGGTGGCTGAGATACTGGCACCCAATCAGGAATGTTGATCGCGCAGGTCGACATGGGTCTTCTATACGGACAAAGTAACGAAGTTATTTGAAACTCCACTTGGTATTGGCTATGAATTACATATGCTCATTGGTCGGTGAAACTTCATCCGATTTCTTCGTTCTAGTCGCCCGTTGTCATGAATCGGGCTCCCTTTGGCAGGGAGAGAAAGTACATACATCACTGCGTACTGTACTGTACTGTACCTACAGATTACACCTATAGCGTCCCTCAGTAACCAGGTCCGTATGCAGAAGGATGAGTCACCTTCCCTGTTATCTGAAGCCAGGGGAGTCGCACAGGAAAATACTTTCTACTCTACCTTTGAAACAACCGCGTGGCCTCCGTCATACGTCATGAGAGAAATGCCATTAGGACCTCGTGGCCATGACTTGCAACCCGAATCGACAAATGACAGCCCATTCTAGTATGTGCCCATAGCCCTATTGGTATCTGTCGATTCGTTTCCCATAAAGACCCAATTTCCTGCACCCTCGTCCAATGCTTCTGTTCCACAAACCACTCTCATTCAACCCCCGACTCCCAGCATGTTGAGTACTGCAGAAGAAAGTACCTTCGGGTACCACGGTCTCGATATCAACGGGCCGCCTGAAGTTGACATCGTCAAGGGCCTGATCAAGGACTTCCTCGAAGCCGCGCGCTTTGACCGGAATACCCCGTCTTCGAAGGACACGGAACTCGAAGCGGCCGTCTGGAAATACTTCAAAAGCCTGAACCTAGGCCAGAAGCTCGAAGCCGCCGTCCAGAAGGTGCTCAAGCTCTCCACCACCCTCACGCACCAGGCCTACACTTCCCTCGCCTTCGAGAACCAGGTCCTCTGCGCCGTCCAGTTCCTGTACATGTTCCTCGTGGACGACGCAGCGCCGCTGTTCCTGAACGAGCTGCGGTGCTTCTGCCAGAAGTAAACCCCCGCCCCCTTTTGTGACCATAGCACAATTAACCAACCGAGCGGCAAGCTTCACCCTGAACAACGACCACCACCACCCCCTCCTCCGCCACTTCGACGCGCACCTGCGCTACCTGGCCCGCTACTACGGCCCCTACTGCCACTCGACCATCGTCAAATCCCTCTTCGACTACGTCAACGGCCGCATCATCGAGCACGACATGGAGCAGGCGAACTTCCAATTCTCGCCCACCACCCGCCTGATGCCCATGTTCCTGCGCACGAAGGTCGGCGCCGCGGAGATCCTGGTCTCGCTGCTCTGGCCGCAGCAGCAGTACCCGGAGGAAGCGTACCTGATCCGGTACTTTCCCGCGGTGCAGGAGCTGGTCCTGTTTACGGATTTCACGAACGACATCCTCTCGTACTACAAGGAGTTTGTCGTCCACCAGGAGAAGGGCAATTTTGTGGCGAACTTCGCCGAGGCGCATGGGATGTCCCATTTGGAGGTGCTCCGCCGGTTGGTGGATTATGCTCCGCGGGTGAGTTTCCTCTTGAACATTTCTGCACACCCCCCCGAGGCGCAATGGAATCTGACATGCGAGGTGGGGGCCTAGGTGATCGGCAATGTGTACGAGATATTCGCGGGCAAGGAGGAGCTGGTGCAGCCGGTGCGGGACTATGTGAATGGCTGGATTATGCTGTGCACGGCCCAGCGACGGTATCACTTGGTGGAGTTGTTTGGGGACGAGGGGTTTCTTCCGCCCTATGCTGATGAGTCCTGAGTTGGGGGGGGGGGGGGGGTCGTGCCGGTGTGCTGGGCATGTTTGCTCTGTCTTTGACGTAAACCATCTTGTGCTGATTTGCTGCGCTCTATCAGTCCTATGCAATCTTGCCTGTCTGTCCAGTCTGAATTTTTGACTTTTCATATTTTCTTTTTTCTTTGGTTTGGTTGACTACTTCTCTTACAGCTTGAGTGTGATTTATGATGTATGCATCCTGTAGGGAAGTATATGTAGGATCATTCCCAAACTCTGCATCCCCTTTAATGCAATTTCACCCCAGATGTTGTAACTGGACGGATGCCGCCTGATACAATCCGCTATATACCTCATCGTCAAAAAGGTCTTCTGACCCGCATAACCCATCTTTGTAAAGCTACATTACCACTTTCATAGATCAAGTAATCTGTTGGCTTTATTCCGGGACCCGGGAGAAACTACCGAAGATCCAGGGAATCCTTGTCGAAAACTTGATTTGAATGTCGCGCGCGGTGATAAGGAACTGCATAAGTTACCACTGTAGGGTGAGCACGGACCTGTGACGGGTTTATGCAGCGGATAAACAGATCTGTGCCTTAGGCTTTGCTTTATCAGGAAGAGATCCCGACTTGTTTCAGTTGAAAAAGGAAAAAAAGAAAAAAAAACAATAAAATAAAGAAGGAAAAGGGATGCAAATAAAAACAAAATGTATGCTTTTAGTCACTCCCCCACAATACAAGGTCTTGTCACACTAGACAACATTTAGGAGCTTTGTCTCGGACGCACGGGGCACGTCCAGGCCTCCCTCAGCCTGCAGATCTTGATGCCACACGCGGGGTTCAGCCCGAACGACTACATCGATCAGCAAGCCCCACACAGCCCTGGAACCGACTCCCGGGGTCTGTGGAGAACATCTGATGCTTTGACCCCCGGCCCACTCCCGGGTCTGCAAAATCCTTGGGAGATAAGCATACTTCACACAAACTTGAGTCTGCATGTGGTACATCTGCAAGCCCTCGCAGTGTATGTATTCTATCCCACACAAACCTGCATCTCCGTTGCAAGCTACCACTGCGTGTTGTGCCCCGCCTCCCGCAGCAACAAGGTTTCCCGACGCATGACCCCGGCAAACCCTATCTCCCCGCCAAAACACCAACTACTTCGTAATTCTGATGAGGAACCCTGCGACTAGAGTGTCTGCCGCGCCTCTGAAGGGAATAAATCCCCAATTGTTTACAACCTTGAATAAGAAATCGGTGTCCATTGGTGCATCGTCTCTCATGCGGTTGAATTCACATTGCCTACGGACATCTTGTAACGGCGCGTACTGTAAGCACAGTACATGCATGTGCACATGCACCCCGGGATACAAGATGAACAACCTGCACGGGGATGACATCACTGGGCCGGATTCGTGAAGCTCCCATCAGAGCTTCTTCCTTGGACGGGAATCCAATTCGTTCGCGATGGCCCGCTGGGGAAAGCCGTGAAGAACCCCGGGTGTTGAGAGGTGTCCAATCCCACGCAGAAACCCATGGAGGCGTGTGATACGCTTCTGTTGCTCGGAGGTGTGTGCATCAAGATCGGGAATCATCCTCTGGACTGACATCAGACCTGCGTGCTTGGCTGCAAAGGCACTCGTTCGCATGGATGGGAACAGCAATGGCCATCATAGTGACTAGGGTAGTGTGGGATTAGCGCTCATGGCTGGGTGTGCACATACAACCTGTTGAATGTGGACATCTGTGTGGGCAAGCTACCAATTGAACTGTATTTAAGGTTATGAATGTCTACCCCGGCCTTCACAGCAAATACTCTTACCCCAACAAGACATACACACCTCCGTGAACACTCTCAAATCCACCACGCCATCCCAACCAGCCATCCATAATGACCGAGCCCAGCATGGTCGACGTGCCCGCCTCATACATCTCGTACGCAACCCCAACTCCAACACCCAGCCCCCTGAAACAGCACAAACCCTGACCCCAACGCTACCCAGAAACCACCCATCGACCCCGCACCTAGCCAACCTGAACCAATACCGCAACCTCTACCAAGAATCGGTGCGCGACCCCGACCACTTCTGGCGGGCGATGGCCACCTCCGCCCTGCACTGGGACCGGCCCTTCCACACGACGCGCCACGGATCCCTCGAGGCCGGCGACCAGGCGTGGTTCCTCGGGGGCCGGCTGAACGCCAGCTACAATTGCGTGGACCGGCACGCGCTCGCGACCCCGGACAAGCCCGCCCTCCTCTACGAGCCCGACACTCCGACCCGCAACCAGCCGCAGCCGCAGCAGATCACCTACGCCGAGCTCTTGCGGGAGGTCTGTCGCCTGGCGTGGGTGCTACGGGATCTGGGCGTCCGCAAAGGCGAGATCGTGACCATCTACATGCCCAACATCCCCGAGGCCGTGGTCGCCATGCTGGCCTGCGCGCGCATCGGCGCCGTGCACTCCGTCGTCTTTGCGGGGTTCTCGGCCCCCGCGCTACGGGGACGGCTGCAGGATGCGCGGTCGCGCGTGATTCTGACGGTGGACGAGGGCGTGCGCGGGGGCAAGACCGTGCCGATGAAGCGGGTTGTTGAGGATGCGGTCGTGGGTTTACGATATGGTGGTGAGGAGGCTGACGGCAAGTGCCAGTGCCTCGTCCTCCGGAAGACCGGCAGCCCGGTGCCCTGGTGCCAGCAGACACAGGATGCGTGGTGGCACGAGGAGTGTGCGCGGTGGCCCGGCTATTACGCGCCCGAGGCGATGGACGCCGAGGATCCGCTGTTCCTGCTGTATACCTCCGGGTCGACGGGGAAGCCCAAGGGCCTGCTGCACTCGACGGCGGGCTATCTGCTGGGCTGCGCGGTGTCCGGGAAGTACGTGCTGGATCTGCACCCGGCCGACACCATGTTCTGCGCCGGCGATGTCGGCTGGATCACCGGCCACAGCTACAGCGTCTACACGCCCCTGGTCCTGGGGCTCGCCACCGTGCTCTTCGACGGGACTCCGTCCTTCCCCACCTGTGCCCGGTATTGGGACATCCTCGCGCGCACCCGGGCGACGCACTTCTACACAGCCCCGACCGCCCTGCGGTTGATCAAGAAGGGCAACGGGAACGCGTACGCCGCGGCGGAGTCGCACAACCTGGAGCGGCTCCGGGTGGTGGCTTCCATCGGGGAGCCCTTGGCCGCCAATGTCTGGCAGTGGTGTCATGACACCCTTGGTGGCCAGGTGCATGTGCTGGATGTAAGTTCCCCACCTTCTTTCCTTCTGGGTGCATGCATGCATATGCATGAAGTATAAGTTCTAAATAAGGGTACAGACCTACTTCCAAACCGAAACAGGCTGCCATGCTTTCGCCCCTCTGGCCGGGGTTACCCCGACCAAACCCGGCTACGTGGCGCTGCCATTTCTCGGCTTCAAGCCCATTCTGCTGGATCCGGTCTCCGGGGCCGAGATTCGCGAGAGTGGGACCGAAGGCTTGCTGGCGTTCGATCAACCGTGGCCCAGCATTGCCCGCACGGTATGGGGCGACCATGCCCGGTACATGCAGACTTACTTCGAGCAGCATAAGGGATACTTTGTGAGTTTAGCACCGCGCGCCGTGCTTACTTACCACCCACTGGCATAGTTTGGGACGTGAAATGTTGATGAGTGAGTTCAGACAACAGGAGACGCCGCCATCCGAGACCGCAACGGATACTTCAAAGTCCTGGGCCGGGTGGACGATGTGGTCAATGTATCGGGCCATCGACTCTCCACCGGCGAAATAGAGTCCGCTCTCTTGAATCATGGTCCGTTGCCATAACTCCATATAGTCTTGTTTCGGGGAGACAGGGACGTGCTAACCGTGCTGGCTAGGCGCCTTCGCCGAAGTTGCCGTCGTGGGGACCGAGGATGAGCTGACCGGACAAGCATTGGTCGTCTTCGCATGCCTAAAGAATGACCTAGAAGATGAGAAGACTAAGTCACAGCTCCGACAGTCGGCCCAGCAGCACATTGGGAAATGCATCGGGCGCTTTGCCGTGCCTCGAAAGGTGTTTCTGGTCGATGATCTGCCCAAGACACGATCCGGCAAGATCATGCGACGGATTCTGAGGAAGATCCTGGAGGGCGAAGAGAAAGAGTTTGGCGATCTGTCCACGGTAAATATTCCTGCCCCTTGGCAATGCAGAGATGCAAGCGTTATGTCGGGACAAAACGACGTGCTGACCAAAGCGACCTTCCGTGAGCAGCTGCTACGTCCAGAGGTTGTGCGCCATCTTATCGTCGAAGTCGCGACACAACAGACTACTGCGCACCCTCGCGGGACACTCAAGTCAGAAGCCCAAAAGGCCCCGACAAGTGATGTGCCGTATCCCTTCCCGAGCTACAAGATCACCTATCTCGACCACATCCTCCCCCCATGCCACATGTTCGGGTTCCTGACCTTCGACAACGCCTCCCCAGAAGCGATCGAGACCTTGGAACTGGCAACCGACCAGCTCTGCCAGCATTTTCCCTTCCTGACGGGTGTAGTTGTCCCCTCGGGCCAACCCCACCCCAAGAACGAACGCGAGGTGCAGGCAGCCCCCGCGTCCTTCCTCACAGAATACCCAATGCTGCGTGTCGAAGAACGTCCAGAGATGGACACGCTCCTTCCTGACGAATACATCCAGCAGCGATACCTTCCCACCCGATTCCTCACGCCGCCGGACGAACCCATGCCGCTGGTGCGCTTCCAAGCGAACGTGACCAGAACCCAAACGATCCTGTGCGTAGTCTACTACCACAAAGTCCTCGACAGCACCGCGGTGGCCGTGGTCCTGAAAGCGCTGGCCACGCTGTGCAACAACCCCAATGCCCCGCCGGACGCCCTGCCCAGCTCCCACGCCACGGAGCAGCGCGCCCGGAAACACATCGCGGAGTTCATAGCCCAAGCCCCGGAGCCCGCGGCACCGTTGAACTGGACCCGAACCCCGCTGGCAGTGGATCTCATCCCGCCACCACCCGAGAAAGTCCCGGTGAGTCGACACTTCACGCTGAGCGCCGAGCGCATCACCCAGCTCAAGGACGCGTGCAACCACGCCCTCGCCTCCACCTCCTCTGTCACAACCCCCCTCAGCACCAACGACATAGTCACGGCCATCGTCGGCCTCAGCGGCACCAAAGCCCGCCTCGAAACCGTCCCGGACGCGGTCCCCCCGAACCCAAAGGTGATCATCGCCGCCAACGTGCGCAAACACTGCCACCTGCCGGCCACATACATGGGCAATGCCCTCGCCGCGGTGGAGACATCCTACCAGCCGGATGAAAGCGCAATGCCGCCGCACCCGGACGCTTTAATGACTCTGTCCGGCCTTTCGTCAACGGTCGACCGAGCCACCCAGACGCAGCTGCTGCGCATCGCCGTCGCGCTACGGCGGGAGATCAGTCGACTGTCCGAACCCTACATGAAGGGGGTGTGTCGCACCGTCGCCGAGACCGAGGACCGCGCCACCGTCTTCCCGGCGTATGGCAGCAGTATCATCGTCTCCAGTCTGCGGTGGATGGACTTCTATCTCGATTTTGGGGTGCTCGGCCGCGTCCGGCGGTATGATATCCCCGAGACTAAGGTGAAAGGTGTGTGCTGGGTGTTGCCGGCGAGGGATTTGGGTGGGGATGTCGCGGCGCAGCCGTATGAGTTGAGGTTCGTGTTGGAGCGGGCGGCGATGGAACGGTTGCAGGCGGATGCGCTGTGGCGGTGGTTGCTGGTGGAGGATGAATAGCGTGCGTTGGATTGAGGTGATTGAGAAATGTAGAACTAGGGTAAAGAGAAAATCAGAGCCGCATGGAATGAGCAATCAGTAAGGACAGGCTTATCTTCCATGCGTCCAAGACGTCGAAGCTGCGGCGTAGAAAATTAGCTGTTCGAGTGAGACACGGGGGGAATTCCCCTCACACCTCCTTTCAAGATAGATCTCCCAGCCCAAACTGAAAAAAAGGCTTCAAATCACGATTCATCTACTGAATCCACCAGGTCAAAAGCACAAGCACAATTCTCAGAGTTCTACCTCTCTAGTCACAGGAGTGGTTCCCGACACAGTCTCTTCCGTCGAGCAGCCTTATCTAAACCCTGGCCCATCTCAGCAGCACAGCCGCAGCAACGACCGGCAAGACACTACCCAACTCTCCCAATCCCGCAAACTCCGGCGAGATCCGCGCATTCACAAATGCTCCCGCACCCAGCAAAACAGCAAACAGATTATACACGAAGCTCCACCCAAAATTGAATTGGATCCTGCGCACGGCCTTCTCGCTGATACGGATCATGGTCAGCACGCTGAGGAGACTGGGCCGCATGAGCACCACCTCTGCCGCAGATTTGGCGACCTCGCTGCCGGTTTCCTGATTCATGTGGACGCCGATCGTGGCCGTGGCCCGCGCCACGGCATCGTTTGTGCCATCGCCGACGAATATGGTTGTTGGCGGTTGGTTTCGCTTCGATAATGATAGAGCCCCTCCTCGCGCTGACGCTCGAGCGTTGCTCTGTTCCCTTCTTACCCCATTCGCCATCGGAGTCCAGAGAGGAACGCAGGACACTTCGGGAGGATTCCGTCGAGCGACGCCCGGTTGCGGAAAACAGGGCGGTTGGCGGTGCGCAGCAGGACTCTTGGCCCAAGGCGATCAAGGCGCGGCAAATGCAGCCCAGGGCTTGGAGTCTGTCTGCGTAGCGGGTGCGCGCGGAACGGCGCTGCTGGTCGCAGGGTCTGCCGTCCGAAGGTTGACAGCCGGAGTGTGGAGGCTCTGGAAGGGTTGATGTCAACACAGTGACCCGGATGGGTGACTCCGAAACCATACTAAGTAGGCCAAGACAGTCAAGCTGAACTTACCTGGGATTTTGTTGCTGGGAGACCGCGTCCGGGTTTGGGTGCATTCGCGTAGAGCGATCCGCTCGATGCACGAGTCATCACAGCAGGGAGATGGTTTGTCTTTACAGTAAGGAGGGTCGGACGTCGGGTTCACGCAGGCCTTCTCGGGACTGAGTTCCTTGTGGGCCTCGCGGCAGCAACCGGGGGAGAGTGGGCTCCCGGGATTCGAGGCACAGGGCATGATAGAGGAGGTTAGTCTCAGATTGCAGATGATCAGATGGTCGAAAGTGGAGTCAGTGTAAGAGAATAAGGACTGAAGGTTTAGAGAGTTGGGATGAGGAAAGATCTCAGGAAGCAAGGAAGGAAGAAGGGAATGAGAAGAGGGAAATCGGACCCCCTCACTTGGCCCGGGAGAAGCACGGAATCACTTCCACCCGCATTCCGACTCGGCGTGTGGAGAGTGAGTAGTCAGCATCTTGAAGTTTAATCTGAGTCTAGATACCGGTATAGACTAAAGTTACTCTCCAACCTTAGCAATGCAGTTCCAGAGCCCTGAGTTCTAGTTATATCTTAGAGAACTGCTGTTGGTGATGACATTCCCGCTTGTAGCCGATCAAGCGGCCCTGGAGTATCCACACTGTGTGGGGGATAAACAGCGGCAGTGAGGATAGTCCCGAGTCCCACTGGTTCTGCGGCTGTACCCGCTGCCTGTCCAATCCTGGGGAACGAGCGGGACAGGGGGACAGGACCCTTTACTGCTAGATCGGTTGCGATTCAAGGTTCTATTTGTGAAATACTGTTTGCGAGGGTACATGGCTGGATACAGTACATTTGGCGACTTAAGGGACAGTCTTCAGTCTGTCAACCTGCCAGCTGCTCATGTTGAGACACATCGACCAGCCCATCCTGAACCTTCTGTGGAGGCCAATATTTTCATCTCCGGTTCTTTTGACTTGAGCAAGTTCCGCCATACCAAAAGGAAAGTGAATCATTTATTTCGGCTTGCGGGGGCAATGACTTTGGAAAGCAGGGAAAAGAGATAATATGCAAAAAAAAAAAAAAAAAAAAAAAAAGAAGAGAGAGAAAGATAAGGAAAAGAAAAGACAACCAATATTGAAGAGAAAGCAGGTATCTGTAGGGTGGTGGGACAGCTGAAATAACGATTCTTCGACATAGCTGACGTGCTCATCGACCAAGACCTCATTCGATGCCCAAGCGCTCATTGTTTTGGGGCTTGCGGGGTAAACACTTGCTCGGAGAGGGTAGACAGTGGACACTAACGTGATCCGTGGGACAAAGAACATCTCGCCCCAACCCTCTCACGCACGCAACAATGCCATTCCTCCCCGAATATTGATAGAATACTCCTGAGTGCCAGCAGTAATACAGCCAGCTCGCGCCCTCCCACGCCCCAAAAGCTCTCAACGGAGAAAAACCCCCTTTCTCACTTTCTCAGCCCTCCCCTCCCTCAACCCCTCCCACAAACCCCTCTCAACCCCCAAATCCAGAGGTTCAATACCCCGTCGGCCTAACCGCAATATCCTTATACGCATCCCGTCCATCCAGCAAGGTATCCGTGATATTCCCCGCCCACACCGCCGCCGCATCCTTGACCTCGCCCGCCGGGATGCGGGCCACCACGCTGCCGGTGTAGCTCAGCGCGGCGGTGTGCTCCTCCTGCAGCTGGGAGTAGATGTACCAGCCGCCATCGCTGGAGGCGGCGGTGGCAGCGATCGCGGCGTGGATGCCGATGTAGTCGGCCACCACGACGGAAATCTGCGCGGCGAGGGTCTCGAGGGGTGGTAGGAGGGCCGCGGCCTCGGTGGCATTGAGGAAGTCTGGCTGGATGGTCTTGGTCTCGGCCAGGAAGGCATTGATGAGCGTCGCGGCGCCCGCGGTGATGTTGGAGATGTCGTCGCCGCCGGGGTAGGTCAGGATTTGGACGTCGAGGGTGGTGGCGGCGGCGGTGATGGTGGTTAGGCCCGTGGTGAAGGGGGTGGTGTCGCGGGGCTGAAGGTGGGGGGTTGCCGTGGTTAGGGTGATTAGGGTTAGAGGGAGGAGGGGGAGGATGTGGAGGGTGGGGAGTCTCATGGTGGACAATTTGTAGGTGTGAGTTGTTTGGTTACGGTTAGATAGATGTGGGGTAAGCAGAAGGTAAAGTTGAAGAGGGGACAACTGAATTGAAGTAAAGAGATAATGGTAGGGTGGTGGGGGAAGGGGGGTTTCTTCCTGCTTTTTAAAAACATGCATGCTGCTAGCTTCTGTCTGCCCACTTCCCCTCCCCTCCCCTCGCAGGATCATGGAGGCTGAAGAACATGCAACCCTGAGCATGGCATGCAGTCTCTTGGTAAGCCTCATTGGTGCAGAATCTGGACTGCATCTACATTAAATCAAAAAGGTCTAGACCATCCGAGCTCGCCAATGGGACTGTTCAATGGTGGCGAGACCATGTATCTAAATCCAATGATGAGGGGGAAACCCTGAAGGATCTGGCCGCTAGTCCTAGAAAGCCCAACGGGGTTAGGGCTGGAGATGCACCCGCACGCCTGCATGAGTCGGACATGCCTCGTGGCTGGAGGGTAAATGGTGCAAACTATGGAGGCTATGAGCACGAATAGATGGAAAGCCTGCCCTTATGCTCTAGCTTACTCTTGTACCTTCTGTTCCGGTTGCAGTTGTGCAGTTCATGATGTATTCCGGGGCGGCTGATCAGGCAATTGACAACTGGAGAACAACTGCAGCTTTCGTCCTCTTCGGTCAAGTGATCATATACAATCTCACCTTGCTAAACCTCCCTAAATGTTTCCTTCTTTCTTATCTTTTCTTTTCTGTTCTTTTCTAACTTTTGGACCCTTATCCTTTTTTTTTCTGTCTTATTCCCTTGCATCCCATTTTGTTTGTGGTGCTTAGTTCTTTTTGCCCCTTAGTCACATGTCTATTACCTTAATCGCTGAAGAGGACATACCGAACGGCAAAATCACAAAACCAAGGAAATTGATCACTTAGAACGTGTCATCATCCAGCTCGTATAAAACCTGCATACAATTCTCTAGGTACTGTTCTCGACCGCACACGCACCAAAAATATCGCGAGCTATCGTACAAACTATCACCGCAGAAGCAACACACCTCTCAATCTAACTAATCCCGCTTAACACCCACCCTCCCCTCCCCCCTCAACCCCCAAAACCCAACCACCGAGCACACAACCATCGCCCCAAACATCGTCCAAAAGCTCGCGCGATACCCGTTCATCAGCGCCCGCGCCTCCCCATCACCAGCAGTCAGGTGGCGCTCCGCCACCACCGTCGAAACCACCTGCACCACGCCCAGCCCCAACGCATTCCCCACCTGCGCCGCCGTGTTGAACACCGCCCCGGCCAGCGCCTGCGTATGCGCCCCGAAACGCTCCGTGATCACGATCAAGCCGACGGTGTAGAGCGTCCCGAAGCTGAGGGGCTGCAGGACCTGGGCGACGAAGGCGTTGCGCCAGTATGTTGTGGTGGCGTGGATGAGGGCCATGAGCAAGGGGGCGAGGGCGCAGAGGATGGTCGCGGCGAAGATGAGGGGTGCGGCGGGGAGGCGGTGGATGGTTAGGCCTACGAGGATGTTCATCGTGACGCCGGAGATGAGGCTGGGGAGGATGCGGAGGGAGGCTTGCAGGGCGGACTGGGATTGGATTTCTTGGAAGCTTTGACGCTGTTAGTTGTTTAGGGGTGAGGGGTGGAGTGGGGGGGAGTAATGTGGGCAGGTTGGAGGGGGCTTACAAGAGACTAGCGAATAGTTCCAGCGCGTTGAGGACGCCGTTGGACAACGCGACGGTGGCGCAGATGCTCGAGAAGGAGCGATTCGTCCAGAGTGTGTTGGGGATTAGGGCGGGTCGTTCGGTTTGGGTCTGGTGGTGGGACCAGGTGATAAAAGCGGGGAGGGAGAGGATTGTGATGCAGAGGATGGCGATGCATTCGGCAGATTTGATGCGCGAGGGGTTGGCGCTGAGGATTCTGGGGTGTTGTTAGTATAAGTTGACTCGGGGGTAGAAAGGTTGATCTCACGCGAGAAGATAGCAGAGCAATGCCATGGACACCGAGCCCAGCGCCGCGCCAACCCAGTCGACGCTTGTCGCGAGTCTGCGCAGCACCGGGTCCTCATAAGCAGTGCTCTGCCTGGGAAGCGCCCAGAGCCCGATCACCGAGACGAACAGCGTCATTCCCCCCGAGATATACCAGCCTAGGCGCCAGCCCACCGTATCAATGATCACCCCGCCGACCACCAACCCCAGCGAGAAGCCCAGTGGAAGACTGAGTCCGAGGCACGAGAAGGCGAGATTTATGTTCCTACCTGGCGGAAGAAGCAGTCCGAGGAGGGAGACGGACGAGGCGAGATGCAGCGCCAGCCCTACCCCTTGTAGGGCTCGTAGCACCACTAACTCCTGACCATTTCGCGCCAGGCCCTGCCCGACCATCAGTCCACCACTGGCGAACGACCCCACGAGTTGGACCCATCGAGGCCCGACTGTGTCGGCGATGGAGCCGGCGAGGAGAAGTGTAGAGGCTGTAGCCAGACTCGCGACCGAGGATGGCCATAGGGACAATGAGGCGGGGAGTGGGAGGTCTTTCGTGATGGTGGGCAGACCGACGGTCACCAGGCCATTGATTACGCTGGCTGTGAGCGTGACGGTGGAGAGCTGGATCGTGGCGATGATCTGTTGGAGTTGGGTGGGTTGCGGGGGTTGCTGTTCTGCAGCGGAGGCATTGTTGGACTCCGTCTGTGTGAGGGTTGTTGTGGTTGTTGATGTTGCTGACATGGCTGTATAGTACGTTGCACAGCGTAGAGTCTATCGAGTGGGTCGCTTCTGGGCTGCTGGAGTGGCTTGGTGGGCCTTTTGAGGGTTGAAAGCCCTCGGTGACTCAATGCTTCCTCCCGCTCTTAAGTCACCTCGGCTATATGGATGTGGGTGCTTTTTGGTGAACTTAGGACACTTCACTTGACATAGCCTAGTGACAATGCGTTGAGAGCAGGAATTTGCATCTGTGAGTATACCATATATTTATGATGATAAAGTGCATGCAATTTTCATTACTGTGCAGATAATGGCTATCGTCAGCACGTCTGACGACAGAGCATCTGTACGGATCCACATTTCGCAAAGCATCGCAGCCCTAAACCCGCCATGGATGCATGCGAATCCAGCACGCCACACCCCCAGCCAAACTCCCCCCCACAAAGCATCAAAGAACATGTTCCTTCTCCTCTGCTTTCGGAATACGTACAAAGATAGCACAAATTAGCGCAGCAACAACAGCCATCCCGAGACTAAGCCACCAGATCGCGCGCAAAGCCCCCAAATCCAGGTCATAGCCAGCGCCGTGATTCACACGCTGCCCAACAGTATCCGCAAGAGCGGTCCCGATGGCCGCAGACAGATTTTGAATCGTCACCAGCAAGCTCCCCGCGGCACCCTGGAAGGATTTCGGCACGCTCGAGGTGATGAAAATGGAGGCGGCAGCAAAGGTCAGGTCAGGCCCGAAGGTGACGAGGGCGATCCCCGGCATGGCCAGCGCCCAGTAGGTGGTGGTGGCAGTCTGGGGTAGAAAGAAAACCGGGCCCATGGTGAAGGCGATCATCCCCACGGCGAGCAGCCAGTGACCGGGAACGAGGTGCAGCGTGCGCGAGACCACCCAGGTAGCTGCGATGCCGGAGACCAGGTTGGGGATTAGGTATAGTGCGACCGTGATGGGGGCTTTCTGCTGGATGGAGAGGAAAAAGCGTACGGCGTAGAACATCCAGCCGCCGATGTAGGCGCCATAGCCTAGGAAGTAGGAGATTGCTAGCGGGGTGAACCCGGGAGTTGTCCAGAGGCGGTTGTCGATCAATGGCCGTGCGGCCCGCTGCTCGGCCAGGTAAAACAGCCCAAAGCAGAGCATCCCGGCAACAATGGTGGAATAAGTGTAGGGCTGCCAGCCGCTGGGGGCGCCCTGTGTCAGGCCGAAGATCACGAGTCCACAGCCTACTGCAGCGCACAGGGCCCCGAGGCCATCGAAGTCCTCCAGGATCGAGCTGTTGCTCGCGGGAGCAAATGCGGGAATGCACCAGATCGACGCCGTGACGCAGAGGCCAGAGAGGATGGCATTGGCGGCAAAGATCCAGGGCAGATGGGCCTCCAGCGCACCGCCCTTGAGGCAGCCGATCAAGAACCCGATGGGAGCCATGGCAGCCATCAAGGAGAAGATTCGGTTTTTGCGGAGCCCAGGCGCGTACAGCCGGCCTAAAAGGCTCATGGAGGAGGCCTGGAGTACCCCCACAGCCACTCCCTGCATGCCTCGAGCGACGAAGAACAGGATCGCACGTCCCGGGTGAATGCTGAACACCAAAACCAGATTCCAGATGACTAGCCAGCCAAACGCAAGTGTCATAGGCAGTTTAGGATCCAGGAGGTCGATCACCGACCCGGCGATGATCACAGTCACTCCATTTGCTAACAGAAAGGATCCCACGAGCCATGGTGTACTGCCTTCGGTGACACGCAAGGCGCGGGGAAAGATGAGCTGATTCACCAGAACGTCTCCGAGAAACACCCCGAAGAGCAAGAGGCCCATGGAGCACAGGAGCACAAAGACTATCTCATTGGCAAAGTTAGACAACTCCGGGGGTGTGCTCTGCATGACCCGATGCTCTGACCCTTCCACGTCGAGTCTGGAAGTCAGACTATTGGCAGTGTTGCGAGCGTCATCATCCTGTGGGGAAGTGTGGATGCTTTCCTGAGCGTGCGGGAACGCAGTCTGAGCAACCTCATCCACATGACGCGACGTAGATCGAGCGGCCTGTTTATTTAGTGTACCTTCAACTGACAAGGTGAGTTGGCTCTGCGAGTAGATCATTATTATCAAATGCTCGCTGTTGAGGAACGTGACGTTGGTGGGAGAGCAGGAGAAGTGGGCGTGAAGAAGGGAGCGGGGATTTGCAGAGCTGTTTATAGTAGCCTTTTCTAGGCTTAAAGTGCGATTACGGCGGCTGGGATTCATAGCATTAGCCTAGTAGGTACCTAGGTAGCTCCTCTTGCCTAGTTCTGAGTTTTCGAAATTTTCTACTTTCTCCACCGAGCCATGACAGGGATCAAGCTACCGGCAGCTCTCGGGATTTGAAACCCGAAGCCGCATCAACCTATGATTGTTGGCCAGGTGGCATTTCTCCATGAAGAAGACATGGTGAATACGATCTGTTCCAATCCTGCGCAGGGTGCTCAGCAGGGAGTCAAGTTGAGAAAGAGGTTGGCAAGCAGAGGTTTAGCAATTGCTGTGCCAATCCTCGACCAGTAGTTCTCTTTATGGGCCATATGTCTTTCTAAGCGAATGCTCGCCGAACAGTCAGGCAGTTGTCAGATTACTAATTTCTGCTAGTCAACCCCGCGCCCTGAGGCATGGAGAGGTGGTCATACTGACATCTAGCTATCGAGTACAATTAATTAATTTTTTATGCTCTTGCTTAGCACCCGTGCCTTGTTGTTCAAACACGACTTATGAGATCTACAACTTGCTCTGGTCCGGTGAACTAATTTATAAGACCTCTTAGAATGGCAACCCGCTAATGATACGTCTATAATCTTCCATCCGAACACTAAACCATAAGACTACCGTCACACACAGTCATAAATGCCGACAGTGAGAAAGCTCACTTTGTAAGGGCGACGCACTCAGTCCCCTCACACCAAGGGTTCATCATAGAGTCCCTTATCCTGCAGCACCTGACTGGGATGACAAATATTCAACGCCAAACACCCCAGCAACATCAGCGTCGCATCAAACACATAGATAAACACCTCATGACCCTGCAAGCTTCCCTGACTCCCCTGTATATACTCCGCCACGCGGTAGATCGACCGCACCATGATGAGCGCACTGACCACATACAACACCATCAAAAGTCGTTTCCAAGGCACCGCCAGTCCAATCGACTTCTCCGTCGGGCGGTCGCGGATCCGCCGATGAAAGACGGCGGAGACCGCCATGAAGACCCCGAAGAAGATGATCTGCACGAACAGCCCGATGATGATCATGCGCTCGCCCAGCTTGACCTTGCTGGAGGTCTTGGCTTGGGCGAGAATGCCGCCGCCGCCACTCTGAAAGAGGAAGGAAAGAACATCGCCGGTGACGAAGATCTTGGTGAGTTTGGCGGGGCGGATGGGGGAGCGCGTGTCCCCCTCGACGAGGCGGATGATGCGCCCCAGGATCATGTAGACCGACGCTGCCAGGAGAGAGGGGCCCAGAAGGAGGAGAAGGCTCTGCCCTGCGTAGGGAGCGACGGACCAGTTCGGGGTCTGCTTTGCGCTGACGGCTCGGAGGGCGTAGCCTAGGGTTTCGACTGTTGGTTGTTAAGATCATGTCTCGATTGAATTGCTGGGAAGAGAGAGGGAAGGCTTACAGGCAATGCCAATGATGAATGGAGTCATGAAGCGACTCCCCGACTTAGTGGCCTGCCAGGCGTGTCCCAGCCCGGTGACGAGGAAACCGATGGTGAAGACCACGGCGGCCGCGTAGGACGGGTCATAGCGGTACAAAACGAATGAATCAGACATGTTGAAGCGAACGGAAGAGGGTCGGTGAGACTAGGAAAGAATGCTTTGAATGTTGCATCTTCGGAGTCTGCAATCCAAGACATGGTACTTATACAGTGGTTGAAGTGGTTGATAAAGTGTGGCCGCGACATTCAGTATCAATGAGCTAGGGTTAGTTGCTACCAGCAATGATGATCCATGATAGAGGCTGCGGCTGCCTATTATTGTATGGACCCGTCACTACGGTACACCATGCCTGAATCGGAAAGGTGTACGCTGTTCCACTCGTTTCAGCGTTGAACGTTTTTTCAGTTAGCGAGGATCCACTGCCAGAGCGGAGCTTCTCTCGAAACGTGCGGTCGGAGCGGACATACTCAGTACGAGGCTACAAGCAGAACCAAAAATATATCGATCTGTATCCGGTATAGTGTACGCCGTAGGTATTGTATACGGTACGGTACGTACCGCAAAAGCACTACACGTCCTGTACCCAACGTCAGCCTATGGTTCGATGAAGGACTCGGGGTTGATAAAGCCATTTGTAGATATGGAAAGGGAAATACAACAATAGAACTGCGACAGCCTCTGGAGTAGGGGCGTCGAGCACTGGCTCAGTAACAGCTTCGAACTTAAAATAGGTAGTTATAAAATGGAGGTTGCGTCCTGTCGAGTAGGAAGGATACCCTTCTCACAAGTCGACACAGCCTTCCCCACATCCTCCCAATGGCTCTCACCAACCTGGCTATTATCGTGATCATGGTTGTCTGCTGCTTGGCAGTCACGGCTCTCGGAGCAGGGCTGGCCTCCTTTTATTCCCCGCCCGAGGAGGGCAAATCAGTGTATGAAGCCTCCGCCGAACAACAACAGTATATGCGATCAGTACGGTTACGGGCACTGCAAAACCTCGAGGCTACCCTGAGACCAGCATCTCATGCATGAACCTGAACGGTCGGACAACCCCCCTTTTCCGGAGATTCTCGCCCTTCGGCGGCGGACTAATAGAGCTTACGAACAGGACACAATCGGACGTCTCCCATTCTTACTATTCATCCTCGGGTTTCTTTCTTCTCTTATTGCTTGAAAAGAGAGACAGCCATGGGGAAACCCGAAGCCTGCAGGATCAAGGGCTGAAAACATAGCATAGTAGCATAGATTGCGGGCAGCGGGCACCAACTAGTTAGACTAGACCCGACTCATGTACAGTACTGTATTTGTATTTGTATTTGTATTTAATTATGCCCGTGCCCGACTCGTCCCTGCATCCATCTCTCTTCTCCCAACTTCCGGCACAACCACCTACCATCGGATTCGTTGTCTCCTATTCCTTCCGGGATATACTTTCTTCTTGATCTTTGTTTTATCTCATTTTGGATTCCGTCAATCATTCTCCTCTGCTGCCTCACTATCCGAGCGTTTGTCTCCAATGCCATCGCGTCGCGCCCATAGTAAATCCCGACATGGCTGTCTGCAATGCAAGCAGCGACGAGTGAAAGTACGGTCCAGTGACTTTGGAGTCTACAGAGCTAATATCCCGCTCGCCCCATTAGTGCGATGAGCATCAACCAATTTGCTTGCGATGCAAAGCCAAAGATCTACCCTGTAGTTATCAAGCAATGTCCACAGCCTCTTCCTCCACGCCTCCCGGTACAGGAACAGCGAGCACAGCCGCGACCTCGCCGGAGACGACCATCCCAACCCAGCCACCACTCCCCTGCCAGGCTGGGCCTGTTCTCAACTCGCAAGATCTTGAACTAATGGTGCAATGGTGCACACACACATATGCCACGCTCTCTCGAAACCACGCGGTGGAATGGATCTGGAAATCCGTCATTCCCCGAAGGGCAGTCCACGATCCCGCGCTGATGCACGGCATCCTCGCCCTCTCCGCACTGCACCTGGCATTCCTCCACCCCCACCCCCAGCGCAAGGAATACCTCGACACCGCGCAGTGGCATCACCACAAATCCATCTCCGGCGTCCGCAATATGGAGGCCCTCAGCGAGGCCAACGCTAGCGCAGCCTACGCCCTCTCTAACATCATCATAATCTTCACCTTTGCGCTACCTCTACTCAGCGATAGCGGCAGTGGCGGAGAAGGGCAGCCCGCAACCCCGTACGACGAATTACTTCGAATCTTCCACATGAGCCGTGCCTCGCTGAGGATCTTAGTTGCCGTCTCCGAGTGGGTGCAAGCAAGCGACCTAGCGATCCTCGCCACGGCCGCCCCGGTCGGGCAATCGAGCACCCATACTCGGGCGTCCACGTTGCCCTCGCTCCTGGATGCGGCCCTCCGAGATATTACCTCACTCAATGGACGGCTGGGGGAGGATGATTCGCATCATCCCAGCGAAGTGTATGGGCCAGTCCTCCGCCAACTCCGAGTGGCATTTGAAAGTACCTCCAGCGAGAGTAAGGATGGGATCATCACGGCGCTATTCTGGTGGATCTTTGGCCTCTCATCGGAATTCTTGAATCTGCTGGGCGAGAGAGATCCCTTTGCGATGGTGATTCTGGCCTTTTTCTGTGCGTTAATGCACCGCCTGCGCGGGCAGTGGTGGATGGATAATTGGGCGGAGAAGGTGGCGCGGGATATTCGTGGATCCTTGGATCCCTCGCTAGCGAGCTTTGTTCCTTGGGGACTCTGTCTTGAAGACCGATCATGAGTGTGACTTGGCAACCTTCTCATGATGGGTCCTGAAATTGAGAGCTGTGCGGTATTGATTACGCTTCGGCAATAACGGGGCATATCACCGATATCGCCGACCTGCCTCAGGCACTAATCCAACCCTTCACAACTTCGGACGCCAAATCCCGGGCTCGGATCTGCCCACCGAACAACCCTCAAACCCGAACAGGTGAATTCTTTCTGAATCAGGGTCCTTGTCTTTTGATTTGGCCAGGATCGAATAATAATGTCCAACGAACCGGGAAGTAAAGCTTTGACCGCCGCCACCATGCCTCCGGATAGCTGGCTTGGCGTACTGGAGCCATCGCTTAGACGCAGATTACAAAACCGACTCAACCAGCGTGCGCGACGTAAGTACTTGCTGACCCGTGGACAAAAGTCCCGTTGGGATAATTCAGTCTTACCAAGCAGGCAGGGCGTCGTATTCGAGAGTCTCAGTCAGGCAGCAGCGCTGATGAACAACCGCCAACGCTTGCCGTTCGACCGACCGATCTCGTGCAGTTACTCCTGGGCATAACACAGGACCTGCACATTCTAGGTCCAGACGCCCGAAACACTGCGCAGAAGCTGCAGCAACTGGAGACAGCAGCTATGGCTCTGGCGTCTGCAGCCTGTGGCTCTCCGGTTGAGAGCCTGCGTCTTGGAGTGACTCGGCTCAACATGCTGCGAGCGATGCATACCAACCTCACGGTTCTAGGCTATGGCGAGCAAGACACGCATGACGAGGCTCAATCGACATTCACACTACAAGGGCCTGCTTCTCCGTCGAGTCAAGCCTACCCACAGAGGCAGCTCCCACCAGCATTGGAGCCAACGGCCATTCAGCGCCGCGTGCCGCATCATCCATGGCTGGACCTGTTTCCTTTCCCACACCTGCGCGACGCCCTAATTCTTGCGCAGGACTGCGTCGACGAGGACCAGCTGTGCCACGATATGTGCGGTCGTGGTCTGGAGGCGACGGGGATCTTGGTGTGGACGGAGCCGTGGGATCCCACAGGCTGGGAGGTCACCGAGGCCTTTCTGTCGGTATGGGGCTGGACTGTTCGTGATTGCCATGACCTTCTCCGTTCAACCAATCTGTGGAGATCTCGCCGTGGAGAGAAACGTCTGCGCTTTCCCGGGGCGGAAGGCAGCAACTGACACTATCCAGCACGCGGATTGTGCCCGAACCAGGATACGAATACTTCTTTTCGCGAATTGTTCTCCGGCACGAGATTACGTATCCGCTACACTACAGAGATGCGCAGCCGGCTTCGCGCTCGCGACACGAACAATACACAGACTTCAGCTGTGCTCAACGAATCTAGGTGTACATGCCAAAACGAATATGCTCCCGCAGTTGAAAGCTGCTTGCTTGCAGCCCTATAATGGTACGGAAAAGGACCATCCCATCGAACACTAGCCATTATCGGAAGCAACAATCTTCTCAGCCAAGGCTCTCACTAAAAGTCACGAAGGATGGAGATCCTCCGCTGGAATCACAATTTGAGGATTTCGGCGTGAATATAAAAACCCTCCGAGACGCACCGATTACTCGCACAAGATCCACGACCGACAGTCAGATCACACACATTATGCCTCCTCGTACTCTCGACAATCTCCCACTCGAGCTCTTCTGGCTCATGACCGAGTACCTGCATATCAATTCTCTTGGTGCTTTGCGGTGCGTGTCCAAGACACTCAAAGCCAAGACCAAGACAGCCTGGCTATGCAGCCGCGTGCACCCGCTCTCCATCCATATCGACCCGGAGGATGGAGGACGCATGCGCATCCGCCCTGAGAAACCGTTCCTCGCCCCTCGCCCCCTGCCTCGGCAGTATCAGGCCCTGCTAGGCGCGCGGCAGCTGATCCTCGAAACTTACGAGTGCATCCAGCAGTCCCCGAGTGCCTCCGAAGCCGCTCTGATCACGCTGTGCCGGATCCTGAGCGACAATGCCGCCCTGCAACCGCTCGCGCTTCAGCGCCTAACCCTCTGCGCGCGGGATCCCCGCGCGCAGTGGCTCGGCTACCACGACAGTCGCCTGAGCGTTCGGATGAATCCATTTCGTTTTGCGGGGCCCCGCGCCAAGTTCTCCGCGCACTGGGCCCAGCTCACGCAGCTGATCGTCCACTTGCCCGGCGCGTTGACCGCCGAGGGGTTTCTGAATGACCTGGTGGGGTGGTGCATCCTTCCGCATGCGCCGCGGCTCGAAGACTTCCGGTTGTTCTGCGAGCCCCGCCACCGCCACCGCACACCGTTCGGGTACATGGTCGGGCAACTGGCGCAGCTGAACCCCCGGCCACCGCTGAAGCGACTGGAGATCAACTTCCACTTCTTCCGGAACTACCGCGAGAGAGTCATCGACGTGCTGCAGGCCTACGGACGCACGCTGGAGACGGTCACCATCATGTGTCCGTACCAGTGGGCCCCTGACATCGTTGAATTGGTCGTTCCGCTCAAGGCCGCCTGTCCTGTCCTGGCGCATCTGCTCGAGCATATAGTCGACGGCGAACCGTTGTGGCGCGCGCTGTCTGGTCCCGCGGAGCTCTATGAGGAGCGGCCGCGGGACGACGATGGTTCGCTTGAATGGGTCCGGGTGGATGGCTCGCCCGAGTGGCAGGAGGTGATCACGCATGTTACTCCACTGTGATTGTGCGATCCTTCCCCTGTAACACCAGATGTGTAGTTGTTGACGGCGGGTATCCTTCCGCGCGCATCGGCCTGAGACCCAGCCAGACATCGTTTCACCTGCCTTTTCCTTTGACTTAGACTCAATTTCGATACATTTTCTACCAATACATGTTTATCATCAGAAACAGATCATATCCCTCACCCTCGCCGGACTCTTCGTATTGCACAGCCCTGTGCTCCCATGTGATGACCTCGACCGTGTCTCCGTTGACACAAGAAGCATCGTAGAAAGAAACACTACCTTCAAGATACGCTCTACCCTTCAAATTACAGCCTTCGATGGGGAGAGAAGACCCTACTTGCGTAGCTTCACAATCAACAGGTACTGTACAGTACATCCTACCCCTACTTTACAAGGGTAACAAACCCGTTTGTGCTCCTGCTGCAAGGAGGTAGACTAGCCCATTCCGAGTCTTCGGACGCACGCACCGGCCTACTAACGGACCGGCCCCATCGACTTGAGCTCTAGCCCTAAGATCAGCTCAACACCTTGCCCCCGCTGAGTCGCCGACGCTCTCCCGCACCCCACACCTCCCTAGATCCTTCCTGTCTAAGTTCTGGTATCCTCCCACCCCCCCACAGCGTATCTACATCTGTCGTGAGCAACTAGCCATCGATCATCACCTCAATGCGCCCGTGGGCACCTGAGCATAGTACATTCAGTGAAATAGCCTTAATACCAGTAAGAGAGAATCGGCCAGACCCCAAACACAGTCAACCCACCAACAACAAAGACAATAACAACAACAACCACAAAAGCGAAGATATAGATTAGTCCACATTATATAAATTGACAAATAGATCAACACACAAAGGATTATTATCACCACCGGAAGACACACAGCTCCACCCAATCCATTCCCAATCCAAGCTCTCCTCCCTGGTCTCTTCTACACACCCACCCCAGCGTGCTCCCGTATCGTCCACCCGCCCTCCTACCCTTCAACAAACAAAGAAGCTTTCAAGAATACAAAGAAGACACATTCACGAAGGAGAAATGACAAACCCTTGTCTCAAAACCCCACAAAGGATTTAGCGGATTTCCTTTGTCTATCCCCAATCACGCAGTACTCGACGCCGCAGCGACGGCCACGGCCGTAGACGACGCGACGTACTCGCAGGCGCTGGCTTCGTCGAAGACGGAGGCGAGGGAGATCAACGAGGAGTAGTACGCGTCGATGGCGGGGTCGATGGAGGCGGAGGAGGCGGGGATGGCCGAAGAGGAGGTGATGGATAGGTGAGCGGAGGAGAAAGTGGTTGCTGGGGTTATGGTGGATTTGGAGGAGGAGGTGAGGGTGTGTCCTGCACTCCCTGAAGGGGCGATGGTGTGTGTGGTGGTTGTTCCGGGCTGGACGGTAACGGAGGAGGCGGAGTGTGGGTTGGAGTTGGTGGTGTGGGTGGTCACGCTGGTGGAGGGGTCGGGCTTGGTGGTGGTTGATTTGATTGCGGTTGAGGTGGTGGGCTTAGTGGTGGTTGGTGAGGTTAGGGCTGTGGTGCTGGTGCTGGTGCTGGTGCTGGTGCTGGTGCTGGGGTGAGTTGTTGTGGTGGATGTTGATGAGGTTGCAGACGAGGTGGTTGAAGAACTGGTCGAAGAGGTGGTAGGCTGAACCGTAGTGGTGGAAGTCGTAGTTGAAGTAGTGGTGGTAGAAGCAGCAGCAGTGGTGGTTGTGGTTGTGGTTGTCAGGGCATGGGTGGTGGTGGTGGTCGTCTTGGTTGTGGTGGCAGCGACTTGCTTGGTGGTGGTCGTCTTCTTGGTTGACTTCCCTCCCAGCCCGAACAAGGCGGAGGCCAGCTGGACCAGAAGTAGCAGAGCGACGAGGAACCTCATGATGAACCGATTGAGAAGCGAAAGAGTGACTAGAACGACTGACTAGAGGCGAGGACGAGAATGCTGCTCAATCGACCAAGACATCGAACGGGAGGAGGTCTTATATCTTTTCCACTCCTCTGATATTATTCCATTGTTTACACTTGCCTTTCCTATTTTCTGGTTCAGTTCCTGTTGCATGAACCGTAGCCCCCAAAGAAAAGAAGTCGAAGCGAGGTACTCGACTAATCGAGGATCTTGAGCGTACCTGCGTGGGGGCTCTCGACCCTGTCAGCACGGTTACGGATAACATCGATTCTTCGTATCTGGCTTGGCCCCCACCACGGGGAGCCGAATTTAGACTCCCAAACGGTTCTCCGTGATTATGAAGGTGAAGGATCGCCCCGACTTGGAATCCACTCAATAAGCGAGTTCACTCATGGCGTGATATGCAGGGTCGTGACTGAAACAGGGTCCCACAAGCCAGCAAAGGTGCCAGCAGTTCTCGACATGACTCGCCGTAACTGCCCCAGGAACACGGGAAACGTGCCCTGAAAGAGATTCTGTCCCTCAGATTGAGTGATCCTGTTCCTGGCCCTGTCGATCTATCTCGTAGCGACTGGAACGGAGGATGTATTCCGCCCCAACTCGATTGACGCGAGGTGGTGATTATATCGCATTCCGGGGGCCGTTGTGATACATGGCTTGTGAATAGTGATCAACCTCCGAAAGCCCGCGATGCAGGTGCTATAAAGTCCAGGGACGAAGCGACTCCATGCCTCGAAAGCAAGCCTGAGCTCCCGTCCTCACTCATACACTCATTTGTTGTTTGCAACCACACCAGTCACTCGTTCTAGGATCTAACACCGACAAGCAGTATCTTCAACTGCCACCACACTCATTAACCCCGTGTTTCAAGCATCATCCCCACGATGCGATTTATCACTTACCACTCCACCCCTCTGCTAGCCCTGGCGCTCGCCACCCTCCTCTTCCTCCTCCAGCTCACCCACGCCCTCCCCGTAGCCACCACCGACGTCATCCCCGTCCGCCCAGAGAACGCCCTCGCCAGAAGGGGCTGCATCCCCAGCAAGCCCAGCAAGCCCGCGAGCCCCGCCAGAACCACCACCTTCACCTACAGCGTCGACAACATCAAGGAGGCGATCAACAAGGTCGGGCGCTTCGACATGGACACCAACACGTGCCTCTTCTACCTCGGACTCGGAGGCGCCACGGGTCAGACCAAGGCCCAGACCTGGTGGACGCGGAACCGGCCCGCGAGCGCGGCCAATCAGATGGGCATCGTCTGGGGCAATCTGCTGGCCGACTCCTACGCCAACGCGGTGTGGAACGCCAACGCGGTGTGGAACGCCAACGACGGCCAGATGCTGCCGGACCCGGCCAACCCGAGGCAGGAAATCGGCGCGGGGCTGGTGTGGGGCGGGCTGGTATCCCAGGCGTTGGCCGAGTCCTGTAGCGGCACCGTGTACTTCTTCACGCCCGAGAGCAACGACGGAACCGACCCCGTGACGAACGTGTGGAACGTGTACGAGCATCCCGCGCTGACCCGCAACGCCAAGGTGCAGCAGATCATCAAGGTCGACCCCGGCACCAGTAGCCAGGTCGTGATCTGGACCAAGGGAGATGCCCCGTATGGCCCCGTGCCGCCGGGAACGGGCTATTCGCAGGTGAAGACCTTGGCTAAGGCCTTGTATCCTGTTCTACCCTGAGATCTGGTGATGGGCTGAGAGGAGCAGGAGAAAGGCGGGATGAAGAAGGTGGTAGAGAGGAGAATTCGAGGGGGGAAGGAGGTTCTGTCAACGTTTCTAGATATAGTAATCGTTATGTATTTGTAGTTATCAACCGGGGAGACATTTGGGGCTAGCATACCGTGTATTTGTCTATTGTTTCATGCTTCCAACTTATGGGGAAACCCCTGTGCCCTTCTCACGTAAAACAAACAATTAACTAGCACCTCTCGCACTGCAAATCAACATTTTCCACGATTGGCGGCACAAAATCCTTGAAAGTCAGGCCCAGAGCTTGAGAATATCGGAAGTGCAGCCTAAGAGTTCTCAACTGAGCCAACCGCGGCAGCAGTTTCGTCAACTCGACGGCCACCTCATCAGTAACCTGGCCGTCGCTCCAGATCTCCAGGTTCACCAATGAGTTCGCATGCGTATGCAGCAGCGCTCTGATCATTGCTGCCGTCAAGAAGTGGGACTCGAAATGTCGATCATTCGCGCTCACGATGGTGAACCCTTGCAGCGGATGCATCTGGCGCACCACCTCCGGCGTAACGGCGACAAGCGGAGCGAGGCGGGATACATCCCGGTCGGCCACGCGGTTCAGCAACGTATTCATTTCGTTCCGCAACGTCAAGCTTTGAAGGTATTTGAGGTTTCGAAATATGGCGATGTTGTTGGTCTCCTGGTCGACGTCATCCTTGGTTTTATTGTTGTCGGAGGCCGCGGCATAGCCTGATATTGTCAGGTGATGCAGCTCGGCGGCGAACAGACGGAGGAAGTCCAGCGGAAGGAAGTCGATGTCCAGCTCCAATTTCTGGATCTGCGGCATGCGGGTCCCCAGAGTGGTCAGTAACAGACGCTGGTCGGAGAGGAATTGAGGGGAGCGGGCGACGTTTTGCATGACGAAGATGCCAAAGTCGCGGACCCCAGTCAGCGCGGCCAGTGCTTCTGCGACCACAGACGGGGTTAGAGGACCCACGGGGGTGGGTAAGCGGGTTGAAGCCGTTGAGACGATGCTTTGATATATCTCTTGCCACAATGTTGATGGCTTCGGCGCCGGCGCGGCGAACAACGAGCTGCTTACGATGCAATTGACGTGGATTGATCGAACCAGAGGTAACAGGTGCGCTGGGCTCTGGTGAGCCCATGTTATAAACTGGTCGAGCCTCTCGAAGAAGCGTCTCTTGCGCAGCACTACGGAGAGTACTTCTTCTCGCACTTGGCGGCAGACGCGGAGAAGGCTGTGCGGGGGGAGGGTGCGGTTCAACGCCCGATCGTAGATCTGCAGTCGCACTTCTACCGGTAGATGAAGAAAGGAAGGGCAGGATACCTTGGTGGATGCATTCATCGTGAGGCAATGTTTGTGTGTCTATGGTTGAATGAATCCAGTGAGCAAAGAGGTTGAAGAAAGCGAATTACGAAGTGTGAGAGGAGAAGGGAAAAGGTGAGATTTGGTGGGGGCGGAAATCTACTAGCCTAAGGATGACAACCTGCCCTTCTAGTCCTTACCCCATAACAGCCATTACTCCAGGCTGAGATGCACACAACAAAGAGATATTGCTGTGCAAATGAGGTTACATGATATGTTGTAATGATTCTAAGTACCTCAGACCGATAAAAGGAAGCAGAAAATACTTCGGCATCAAATGGTAATGTTAAGTAGTAAGCAAGGAGTTCAGGACTATCCACTGCACAGTCCACATATGGCACCCCTTCCCCAAAACACCACAGTACTTCGACTCAATATTCACTGGCCTTTAGTCATCTGGTACATACGCCTCAACAACTACACCCACAACTCCGGACAGCCCCTACCACACGCATGGATCGTGCCAGTGCCACAATTCTGATACCGATTGCAGGTATACCAAGCCCCAACCCCACTGTTCTTGGCCGTCCAGCACCACTCGCCGTTGTTCCCGCAGACCTTCCAGCAATACCCCCCTGAGCACCCGTACGGCGCATTCTTGTAGCAGGCCTGTAGCTCGGAAGTGTTGGGAATCGTGGGCTCTGAACGTCCTTCCAATGCAGCAGTATTGCCTTCCAGGGCCTGGACATCCATAGGGTCAAGAGGTGCCAGCGATACACCCTTTATGTCTCTATTCCGGCCGAGCGGATGGTCTCTGCAGATGCGGACGTCGCTGGGATAGACGCCTTCAGGGAGGTCCGCGGTGAGGACGACCATGATGCCTAGGTTACCGCATTCGGTGACGGGGTCATTGTCGCCCGTCATGGTTGGAGAGATGGTTAGGGCGGAGATAAGAGAAACTAGCAAGCTGAGCAAGGAAGCTAAGAATTCCATGGTACAGCAGATTCTGAGGGTGCAGATGCCGGCGTCACTAAAAAAGTGGGTAGAGAAGGAGAAGACAGGATTCACCGCACTAGTTGGAGACGAAGATTGAGGAGTAATGCTTGATGTATGCAAGAGCAATGGAAGTAGAGACGTCCTCCTAGAAGCATTGCTCAAACCAAAGAGGCCAGTTCGAGTGATCCGGAGATACTTGATTTTATACATTATCTTGCATAAGGGCAGGGATATGAGCTTTAACGGTTATCGGCTTCTAGTTACACAGCCAACCAGCCATGTCAAAGTCTTCTCAAGAGTACAGCATTGCTGCAGAGTAGTGGCAGCGAGGTATGACTAGAAGTCACTTGGCCGCCTCTTGCAGATAAATTGGTCACAGAATTGTTTCAAACAAGGGCTAGGAATAGATCACGTGATTATGACCACCCTAGGGACCAATTAACTGGCTGTTGGCTTACCAAAAGTGGCAAGTGCTGATATGACTTGCAGTGAATGACAACCTTGTCCATTAGAAGCTTCACTGTACAAGTTGGGACATCCCGAATCAGTAGTACAGACCAGGTACTATACTGCCAGCCCCTGCTCGGGGATGGAAGCCATATGCCTGTGATGGGTTAGGCGGGATGGATGCTTGTGTACTGTATGTACCTCTCAGGACTCCGCCCATTCACTACTAGGTGTACGTATTCACTGAAGTTAATGTATAGGCAGCAGCTAGAGGGGCAGAAGTCTCGGAGTTTCTTCGGGCACATTCCTGATCTGACCCCGTTGTCTGCCTTTTTCACACGGTGATCTCACACTCAACACCCCCCCCAACACAACTACTAAGAAACCTCAAACGTGTTTCGCCCTGGTTTTCTGTCCCACCAGATCTGTTCAACATCATCTACCGTCCTCCTCTCTACTCTCTACTCACACGGCACTCCTCTGATACAACCTCCTCGCCTGAGTCCTCAAGCTCAGTCGTTTTGCCTCCCCAGTTCATTTACTCCACCAACTCACTCCTCCTCCGAGTTCAACCACACAAAGCTCATCTAAGCCAACGACTCCTACAGAAATAAATATCCTGACCTACCTCCTGGTCGGGATCTACACCGCCACGACCATCCCATGGGCCGCCCCGAGTACCCCGGCCCCGGTGCGCGTGATGGTGCCGGTCACTTCCGTCGTTTCTTGGCGTAAAGAGAGCCATACAGTACGTCTTGGTGGTTATGGTGAAATTGGCAAAGCGAATTCGCGGCACCTTCCGAATCTCTTCGAGACATGGGCTTCGGTACCATGCGGAGCCAGCGATCTATCGGCACCTTGACTGTATCCTTGTTTGTCCAGACCTTAGGAAATCTCTGCACCAGTTCCTTAAGTTTATGCTGTTGTTCCATTATGCCATAGACTGTAACGCCGATGCTTAATTTCTTTGTTGTTATAGAATTAATATTGAATTTAAGCTTATTCTGTATTTTGGGTGTAACTGCAGTTAGCTTTTTAAGCAAATCTTGCAATTCAGAAGTTGTATAAGGCCGACCAACTGTTTGATGGTCACCCATTCCTTGTCGTTAACGTTTTCGGGATGGCGCTGGCGATGCGGATCCCGCTAAAGACGACCCCGAGGGTGAGGATAGCCATCAGGACATATACTGCTCAACGGAGACTGGCATGGCTTCTGGAACTTTTTAAGAGGGATGCTTGCTAAATCTCTCTTTCGTTTCCCCTCCCGGTCTGTGCTGTTGCACTCTGTTGCACCCTGATGGCGACATTGATTTATATAACCCTGATACCCTCGGTGTCACGATCTATCTTGCTCCCAGACAGTGCCATACGGTCAAACCCAAAGAGGATCCCTCTCAGCCTCAAAGGACTGCCAGCTTGGCACGTCGAAAGACATTCATTTCCCCAGAGTACGCGCTAAAATTGCCGGTTCGAACCCTGCCTGGCTCACGTGAAAAAGGCGGGCAGAATTGGTTCTTGAGGGGAACCCACTGCGAAGCACTCGCTTATTTGGTGGGCTTTCTCTTCAACCAAATTTTTGGATGAACATGATCTGCATGGAGCGTTACCGAAATGGCAAATAAGCAATCACTTCCTCGTGCGGAACCCGAGAGCGCTAAAAGAATCTCGAAGCTTTCGGGCTCCGTCGGCTCGGTAAGCTAACAAATCAACGAGACACGGAGATTTAGCGCAGCCATCATCCGGAAAACAACTTCCTCGGCGGTATACATTAGTCAAGTTGACGATTTGCACAATCGTAAGTGACCCACAACCTATATCTGCTTTTTGCAACCCTCATGGTCGATCCATCTACTGGATGAACATGCCCTCGTGTAAGTGGAGATACACCAGCCCGTCCGCAACCCATATCTACCTATGGATAAATCTCGATGGTAGCGATGACCCATTACAGAGGGACCTGGGCGATCTGCATCGATCGGGACTTGGGAAATCCGAGACAAGCATCAATCGCGATCTTCGTGTATTTCCCCGAGCACGAAAGGGGGATTGTTATGGGGCGGCGCTGCCAGGCGATAAAAGGCTCAGAGGATCCCGGAGAATGCGAGTGAGTCCTCGTCACTCAAGCGCAGAACTCGCAGAATAGTCACTATGAAGCTCTCAAACCTTCTTCCTCTGGCGGCAACTGTCGGTGCCTCCTGCATTCGGGGTACTTCCCTTCTCCCCCGCGCTGCCGATGGACTGGTGGCCATCAACTCCTACAACTACACCAACCTGGGGGGGCCCTTGACCTGGTATGGTTTGAACAACGAGACCAACGCCGCCTGTTCCCAGGGCAAGCACCAATCTCCCATCGACATCGTCACCGCGGAGATTGACTATGTCCCCACTGGTAGCCTCAGGTTCAATATCCCAGCCACTACAGCAGCCAAGTTTGAGAACCTGGGATCCGGTCTGGAGGTCGTGTTGACCAACGGCACTCTCTCTGTGGGAAATTCTACCCAATACAAGCTGGCTCAGTTCCACTTCCACACCCCGAGCGAGCACCGCATCAATGAGGAGTACTTCCCCTTGGAGAGCCACTTCGTCTTCGAGGACTCCGGTATAAGTTCCCCTTTCCAAGGAACCTTAATCATCCAAACTTACACTGTACAGAGAGCAACATCGCCGTTGTCGGGTTCGTCTTCCAGCTCTCCGAGACAGGTGTTTCCTTCCCCCTCTTCGACGCCGTCTTCGCCCACATCGATGACATCGCCACCCCGGGCACCTTTACAGAAACCGGCCCTCTGGACTTCGCTGGGCTGACTGCGCACCTCGACAGCCACGGGATCTACCAATATGACGGCTCCCTCACCACCCCCCCTTGCAGCGAGGGAGTTTCCTGGTACCTCAGTACTGAGCCCCTTCCCCTCAACGTTCAGAGCTACAACAAGGTCAAGCAGATCCTGAAGTTCAATGCCCGTTACACGCAGAATGCTCTGGGGGCGGATAACCTGCTGGAGGTGGCTGCACATGAACTCTATTAGTTGCTCTACGAGCAGGGAGCCAGTCGTTGCAGACGTATGTGCTTCTTCTTGACCCATCAATTCTTTGAGGTAGGTTGCAGGGGTAGAGGATCACACAATTATTCATCTACCTATAATATTGTATCAATACTGTGTATAACGCTACCAGGCAATAGACATCTGAACTCTTGGGAGGATATATTTCGAATTTCTTCGGATGATTCCTATGGCTATTTTTTGAAGGGTATATCTTGAGTTTACCTTTTCTTATTTAATTAACAAACTCGGCTGTCAAAGTACGGACTAAGACACCAAACTTAGAAAGGGCCTGAACAAGGCGGCACCAGACCCCTGCAGCTACTTGGTAACTACCAACATACTTATGCTGTTGTGTGTTTTTGGTTTTTGACATTGTCTTTGCCTTTGTGACCTTCACAACAACAACAGATGAATGTGTCAGTAGTTGAACCTATCCTAATGTATCTGAATCTTACATCACGGATCATCAAACGAAACTTGATAATGAAACAGAAGAGCCTTATCTGTCAGAATTCAATTTTGCTTTTTAATTGGTTATACCCATTGTATTTATGGCCTTTCTATGCTAGATATGGATAAAATAATGTAAAGAGATACATGCAGCGAGTGACATGTCATCCGGGCCATGGCAACCATCGCCTCGTGACAGAACCGCAGCAAGTCAAGGTGGCAAGCTCAGGGCTGCGGATTCGCCCCGTCTCCGCGACGGCGCTTGGAGCGAAGGTCAATCATGAAACCCATGAACGAGAAAATGACGAACATAGACGAGAGGTCCACAGAGAGAGTGTCGGAAGCGGCCCTCATCCCACCTGCAAGCGGGAAGTCGGCCCGGCCTTCCTTACTCCAGAGCAGCGGCGCCCCGGGTTGACGCGGAGACTCCTCGTAGTACAACCGCATGGTCTGCAGCGAGAGGCTGCTCACCGACCCCGCAAAGAGCATGTCCGCCGGGTAGGTGTGGTTCTGGCGCTGGAGGCGCCACTCGTGCTGGAGGAAGCGCTGGGCGAACTCCCACGGGCAGCTGCCCGCAGCGAGATCGGCGGGGGTCTCGAAACAGAAGATCGGGATGATGTTGCCTGTCAGCAGGGTCTGGTCTCCGCGGGCGGCGTCCAACGTCTTTCTCTCCGAGCTCACCTGGATGGCGTGGCCTTCGAACTCGGTTTCCCAATGGTACAAGTGGCTGGCGATGAATGTGGGTGCGGAAGCCATTGTGGTGATTGCGTCGATGGAATTTCGTGCTTTCGCGCGACTGAGGAATGCTTTGGGCAGGTTCTAGGTCGAGGGCAATGGCCAGAAGATTCTTCTGGGTGGTGATAGCATGATCTCCTGAATCATGGTGATGGAGGGGTTATTTATAAGCCTCAGGATTGTCTGGCAGTCTTTGTTATGTATACGTCTACGCAAGTGAACCTTGGATTACTGAGGTGGATCTATGAAATGGACCATTGCACTACGACCGACAAAGAATAAGGGTTGGCGAACTCCAGTTCAGGCGGTTCCTACAAAGCCTCGGGTAAGTCGAGTTTGTCTAATGTCTAACCAGAAGTCGACCACTCAACTATCCTCCATTCAACTTAGATGCAATTCCATTGTCATAGAAAGTGCTCCAGTTATCTCCCCTTATGGCCTATATCCTTTCCAGATTCGTCTTGCCCAGGTCCGGCGGCATAATTTGTTATTCTCGCCAAAGAAAGGACATTTGTACTAATATTCAGTTTAGCATGTGCCTCTCTAACTTCGGCAAGACAGTCGGTCAGACTTTGCAAATTGGATATAAGATACAGCCTTGCAAGTGGCCCCAATGTCACGGAGCGGACAGCCCAGGGGTGGTTAGGGAGCACGTGTTGTATGTTAAAATTGTTTTGCGGCCGGATTTTAAGGTGGAGATGATAACGGGGCAGCAGAGGGGGTAAATGTCTGCCTACCTTCTGGTGAGAGATCGTATTCATATTGTGCGCTTTGGGAAGGTGATATGTGATTGGTGTATGTTGTCATACCAGTCTGGGCGGGATGACAGTCTTTTGGACTATGGGTAGATGGCTTGTCTCGTTGTTTCTAAGTTTTGAGGAGGATTGTACCATATTGTATGCATGTTCTTTTCCAAAGACATGTAAACAATGTAAGGGGTACATATTAACAAATTTGATTAGTTAAGAGATGTAAGTACAAAAAAGAGTGAGGAACAAGCTGGCTTCAGCTGCGCCGAAATAGCACAGGTATACAAGCTGACTAGGACATATTAATCTGTGCCGCGCACATGTTCCCATAATAACCATTGTCAATGGGGTCTGCAGCAGACTTATCAAGCCCAGGCACATTGAGCCTTATGCCTGTGACGGTTTGTATCCAATACCAATGGCTTACGCAGAGGGATAGAGTGCAGGAAGAGCTTCAATGCGAGGCCGGGACAGCAGAATAAAAAGCATAGATAACGTGCAAGAGTCGGGTAAAATCAATCTACTTGTCGATTAAGGGTCTATTGATAATAGGGGTTTGTGGCTAGTGATGCGGACAATTAAGTTAGGGCTAATGAGGGTGTAGGGCGGTCAAGGACGACAAGTATTTGCAAGAGCGACATTTGTACACGGAAGCTTCTCAGTTCCAACACCGTGAATAGTCACTCGGATTGGCCGTGCAGGAAGGGGATGCATCCTAGGACAAAGTCCGCTCTTAGCTGCTGCTCATTATGTGCGTTCGGATCTCATCATCCATCCCCAATTCTGCCGTTCCGCTCAGAACTCTTACTTGATCCCGTCCGACACCGGAGAGCCGTTTACTTCACCGTTGCTGTTCCATCTTCCTGGCTTCTGCGCGTTAGTCACCAGCTCTATAGTAGTAATATCACTGTATGGCCCCGAGACTTTTGGCTTCCTGGAATAGCTATACATGTTGCTCGGAGACGTTGATAGGCTACTGCGGCGTAGTGCTCGCGAACATGCCCGGATTATGGGCGGCGCCGCGGGCAGACATGCAGCGATCAGCACAAATTCATTCTCGATGCTGTTCCACAGGGCGATCTGGATGGCTCGATCTGATGTATAATCAGCTTTGACGACAGCATATCTTGTGGAACAGAAACCGGAACGCTTACCTAGCTCGACGATTGAATCACTCACACCGAGGAGAGTGGTGTTTGAATACAGTTTGATGAAGGCAAAAATGCGAGACCTGCCTCTCCCTCAGCCCCAGTTGCTACAAACACTTTCCTGCCCGCAGAGAATGAAAAAATGAAAGAAACCAATTCAACGCAATACCAATGCTCATGAGTCCTATGGCACTAACGCGCTTCCAGGTCGGCATTTTCAGTTTCCAGATGATGAAACCAGGCCAGACGGAGAACAGGATATCTGTCAAGGCGGACAGGTCTAATGAATGAGCATTTCTCATCTCACCATATCTCCTGTCCAATTCCCTCCGGGATGCGGTAACTGCTTCACAGAGGATGGCGACCGCCTCGATTCAGGCGGTGGGGCAACGGATTCGCGAGCTCAAGGACAAGGACAACCAGCCAATATCGCAAACATGACATGCTCCGCAAGATGCTGGAGATCAGCGACGGGCCCCGCGGCCCAGCCCTCAACTTCACCCATAAGCATATCCATGTCGAATCGCCCAGTTCTCTGTATGGTGCCCTAACCTTCTTCTTTTCGCCTTCCGATGATTGATTTCTGTTTTGGCACCCCCTTTCATGTTGTGTAATGTGTGTCTACCCCCATTTACTAGCTAACTTCCCACACTTTGCTTGCGCAATGCAGATTCGCCGGCGCCGACACCACCTCCATCGCCATGCTCAGCACCCTATACTACCTCATGCGCGATCCGCGCATCGACACCAAACTCCAGCAAGAGATTGACGCCGCCTTTGCATCTGGCAAAATATCCGAGTCCGTCTCCTACCAGGAAGCCACCACTCAGCTCCCGTACTTCCGGGCGTGCGTCGAGGAAGCGATGCGCCTGCACCCGGGCGTGGGGCTCACCGCGCCTCGAATTGTGCCTCAAGGCGGAGTCACCCTTGCCTCCGACGTCTATATCCCCGCAGGCTACCGCGTGGGCGTTAACGCCGCCGTGGTACAGTACGACCGCGACGTATTCGGGCCGGACGCGGACCACTATCACCCGGACCGCTGGCTGGATCGGGACCCGGTGCTTATGGATCGGGCGATGTTTGTTTTCGGGCACGGAGCGAGGACATGCATTGGGAAGCATGTGAGTGTTGAGCTAGCTTTTTCCTTTTCTTTTTCTTTTTGCCCGGTTTGCGGGTTTCATGCGAACTGAAGGGGGACCGGGGCCGGGCTGACTTTAGAATGCAGATTGCTCTTTGCGAGATCTATAAGTTGCTACCGGTACTTCTGTGGAAATTTCAACTACGTCTGGTCGAGCTGGAGAAGGAGTGGGCGACGAAGAATTTCTGGTTCAATAAGCCGGTGGGAGTCAGGGTTCTCTTTGAAGAGAGAAGGGGTCTTTCCTCATCGGGTTGATTCCTTCCCAGAGCTTGAGAGCTTGAGATGCGCGCGGGGGAGTGGAAGGCTGCTCTCCGTCTCTGCACTCTAATCATGAAACAGGCCAGAGGTGGTCAGAGCACATGCAGATGATGATGATAGTCTATTTGAGCAATGAAGCTGGGGGACTGGCTGGGGGACTGGCTGCAGCTCTGAGAACACATGATATCTGGCCAGGTGGGCCCAGCACCCCCTCCTCCATGATAGATTTTCCCGGTGTCAAGTAGCTGAGAGCATGCTAGGTACTAATTCACGAGAGCACTGCAGCTAGCCATCTCCGAGTCAATGGTGGTTGAGCTCTCGTGGGCATCAAGTACTCTACCCAGCTCTTTTCATTCTTTTTCCATTTGATACACATTCAAAATAGCCATAGAATCCCCAATCCCTGCATATTAGGTAACAATTATAGGGCAGGATAAGATAAAATGCACCAGAGTGTTGATTCCCTGCAAGACAGGTTGCCACGCGCACACATTGTATCTATCAGATGTAAATGTGCTGGCGTTTGGGATAGTTTTCCGTACGGTTGGTTGAATACTGTCACGTTCATAGCGCAGAACACAAGTCGGTCAACATGTTCTGCCATAAAAGCACCCAGCTTTGAGAGCCCGTCTTTGAGCAAACTAGGTAGCGAGGGGGCTATGTGTTTCCCTATCCATAATGGTTGCATTTCCGGGTTTCCAAGATGGTTACGCATGTTCATCCTCCGCTGCACCCAGTCAACGACTGCTAACCTCAACACCAAGCATACTTCTCATTACACACCCACTCCACCCTCTCCTCACTTCCACCCTCCACGTCACCCTCTAACCCCATCCACCACAACCCCGGAATACTCCCCGTCTCGCCCACCACCACGGGAACCCCCTGCTCTCCGGCCACCACCTCCACAGCCTTTTTTATCAGAGATGTAGGATTCCACATCCGCACACTCCGCAGCCCTGCCTCACATGCCTCACGCTGCGCTCGCCGCAGAATCCCCGCGATAGCGCGTACCACCCGCCGCCCCTCCGCCGACTCCGCCGCAAACCCCTCCTCATCCCCCTTCCCACACACCCAATACAGGATATACAAGACCCCATTCTCGGGTAAATCGCCATACTCATGATTCCACGCACAGTACACCCCAACCTCATCATCCGCGGCCCCGCGAACCAACGGCACCGGCCGCGGCGGCTCCATCAGCCGGGCCGTGAGGTCCTCGCGCGCCTGGAACCACGCAAAATGCTCCCAGCTGGGGAGGATGGCGAATTGCACCGCCCCAGCAGCAGCACCAGCACCCCAACCACCAGCAGGAGTGCCAGCATCACCACCACCCCCAGACGAACTTCCTTCCCGCAAAGAAGCGCACCTCAACCTTTCGCGCAACCGACCCAGCACCGAATCACTACACATACACGCCCGAACATCCTCAGCGAGTAAATCCCGTACCTGCACCCCCTCCTCACCCATAGTAGCACTAGTAAGCTGCGCAGCAGCAGCAGCAGCATCAGCAGGAACCTCCCACCCCCAGCCCACCACAGGAAACCCCCTCCCCCCAAACCCGTGATAAAACCCCGTCCCAATCTCGGAGTACCCCATCACGAACCGCGCATCCCCCGCACCGGGCCCAGCCAGCCGACGCATCAGCGCGCGCAGCATGCGGGATGCGTACCCCTGGCGTCGAAGCTCGGGGCGCGAGTAGAGGTTTGCAATGCCGTAGCCGGTAACTTCGTGGAGGGTGCCGTGGCGGGCGACGAGGGCGCGGCGGCGGTAGGTTTCGCAGGCGCTGAGGATTTGTCCCGGGTTGGTGGGGTCGATGAGGATCCAGCATGTTAGGTTGCCGTTGGCGGCGAGGGGTTGGCTGAGCAGGGCTTGTTCGCGGGCGAGGTAGGTTGTTGTGGTGAGGGGGGTTTTCCATGCAGTGCTGTTGAGGTGGGTGGCGGTTGCGTGTTCGGCGAGGGTGGCGGGGTGGAGGGTTAGGGTTGGGGTTTTGGTGGTGGAGGGAGAGGGGGAGGTGGTGGTGGAGGGGGGGAGATC